CAATTGCATATGTGCAGTCAGAGATGGTCAGGTGGGGCTACACCAACAGCTCATCATGTGGCCCTGTTTCCCCCTCTGGTGGGACTGACAGTTACTCCTTTCCAAAATGTTGAGTTTTGTAGCTCAAAGTGGCTGGTTTTGTGGTCTTTTATGCTCAGAAGTTGGGGAGATAAGTTGCTAGACTTCCTTCACATTATTTGGCTTCCAGTTTTGTGGGCTTCAGCTGACAAGCTCAGAAATAATAGCCATAGAATACAAAGCAGAGATCAAATGAAGAATATTTATCAGCTTTTCCATGTGTACACTTAGGCTAATGTTGCACAGCTCAATATGATCTTTATGTCCCACAAAGTCAGCACTTTTGTCCTGAATAAATCCAAGGTCCATCCAGGTCCTCAGCTGCTAGCAATGAATAGTGATTTCTCTTTAGCCCAATTTTGAATTTATTTAAGGGCTGTCATACCAAGTGCATGGCAAGTACTAATGCCCAGTTTCCAACCCTTACAGTGTTACAAAAAAAGCCTGATTGAAACATATGCTCAGTAATTTTGTGAATTGCATTTTACTCAGCTTGTTGGTTCATCTTGCTCTCTGGACATTTTTTCACATGTGGAATGCTCCTGAACAGCTTTCTTAGACATCCCCAGCATATGATCTCTTTTCTGTTTTCGTGTTGCTGCCTTCAGCATTGAGGGGTGATGTGTCAGCTGGCTCCACTGGATCCGAGCTGGTGGTTGATGGAGTAACACACATCTAAGTGTGGCACTTGAACTGCTGGCAGTGTTTGCCTGAAGCACAGGTTACTGACACTGCTTTGCCCTGGAAATCTCCACATCTTAAATCATTGCATAAAGGAAGGTATTTCTTTCTATTTTCTACCCAGTGTAAGTCATCACAGGGGTATAAAGTGGTTTTATATCCTCAGGCTTCTATACTCTATACATTGTCATTTATTTTCCTTTATCTTTCAGACTGCTTTCCATATTGTCACAATATTATCAGATAGATCATCCATAAAATAAAAGTTATTGTTGATCTGGCTCAGTACCCTTGGACAGAAAGGGGGAAGTAAAGTAGTGTATCTCTTAGGATAAAGAAAGAGTTTATTTGTGGTCTGTGGAACACAGGTGGGTAGGTGGAGGGGAAGATCATAATATGCTATTAAATTAAATTAAAATGTCCATATAAGTCTGTTTCAGAGTCCAGTAGGATAACAAATTTTACCATTTTGTTACTCTCTCTTAACAGTCAATCCTGTAAGCTGGGATTGGCCACGCGATGTCTTTAATTTCATCACCAGTCTTTAGTTTCATCAGAGATCTCAACTCTAGTGTAATGAGCACCTCATCTGCTTGGTTTCAATTAAAGCATCTCAGTTGGTCTCAAACCTAGGACCTGACAAATGCCTTTATCACTACTGTTTAATTATTGCTGTTATTATTCTGGACAACAGCATATTACATCTTTGTCCCTTTTCCTCCAGAGAGATAAAAGTAATGTCAATTTCTTTTCTCAATTCTTATTCCTGTGACTGAGAGAAATGGTTTATCTTGAGAGGCAGTATTCTCTAGGTTTCTTCTCTGATGCCTGTCATTAAACAAAACAAAGACAAAAAACAAAGCAAAACAAAACAAACAGAAACAACCAGAAAATAAAACAAAGTCAGAGAAATTCATGCTAATGCCTTCCTTGTAGGTTGCCAGGACTTTTTTTCCTGATACCACTCAAGCTACACATGTTCTAGTGGTTTTTTAGATTTAATCTTTTTACAAAATTTGTAAATAATTTTGTGGGTTTTATAGCCTTTTTATTTTTTCAGGTAAACTGTTGAAAAGTTACTGAATAAAAAATTCATAATTCATAACTTCATCAAAATTCTTCCACTGGAAGTTGCTGAGTGGAAAGAATGAAACAATGCAACTATAGCAATAGTAAAAACATTAAAGAACTATAAATATTAGTAACCAATACCAGAATGCACACATATACGTTTTTACATATCTTGGTGGTCAGACTCATATACTCCATAGCTGCCAAAAGATGTAATGGTTTATGGTACAGATTTGAGAGAGATATTTTTATTTTGTATTTAATCAATTTCAGGGTTGGTTTTTTTTTTTTTTAATATTAAAACAGCCCTTCTTTTATCAGAAAGTATTTAATGTTGGATGTTTCCGTTTCTTCCTTTTAAAAAAAGAATAAAAATTATAATTGTTTTCAACTTTGTTATGGCAAGCACTGCAAAATACATTTCAGAGAGGAGGGCCCAGTTAATTCAGCAATGGATTCCATCTGTGTTGACGTTGGCTGCACAGCCCAGCCCGCCCCAGCTGTATGAAGTAACTGGTGCTCCAGCAGGGTCAAAATCAGACAAGCACCATTTGTGTTTCATTTCCTTTTTTCTTTCTTTCTGAATAACATTTTGTCTAAAAACAAGGATTTTTTTTTTCTCCTGATCTTTATTGGAACCTCTCATTTGTCCCCGGATAAAATACAGCTTTGGAACCTTGGTGCTGTGTCAAGTCAGAATTGGAATGACTCAGGACATGTATTTCCTGGGTGAATGAGGTTCAATAATGATAGGAATTTCATATATTGTGTACACCTGAAAAAAAAAATGGTTTAAGGCTAGCCCAAGTAATTAATTTGTCTAATGAAAAAGGTGGTATGAATCTATACTGCCCCAGGAACAAACTGGGACCCCAACTAATGAGAACAAGGTTCTAGCCATTTGTGTGAAGGGGAAAAATCAACTCTTTGCAGGCAGTTCTGCCTCTTGTGTCTATCACTTCAGGCTACACAGAGGTGATATGTGTAGAGAAATTCATAATTGCTGTCAATTTTCCAACAGTAATGAACATGTAATAATTTTTTATGTTCCTAATGCCTGTTGTGCAGCAGCAGCTAACCTTGAAAGACTCATTTATTTTGTCATGATATGCAGGTTGTCAATTTGATTTTTTTCAGCAAAATTACAGGGTCACTACACTAAACATCCTATTTTTTCTTTATTTTGCTTCTTCAACAGATAATTTCTCTAGCAAAGCTGGTCTGTGAGGAAATTGCATTTGGTTCACATTGTAGGTAACAGTAATTGCCAACTGTAATTTGTAATTGATTGTGATGTAAGAAGTTGGCTGTATCATTTGATAATGGAAGCAGTATTAGTGTAAATTTCAATCTGACCAGGAGTTTCTGTGTTCAGTCATGAATCAGTTCATTGTTCATGGAAAAGTTTTTGATTTTACTTGGTGTGCAAAGGTAAGTCCATGCTGGATGAGCTGAAGGGCAGGATTAGTCACGAGCTCCTTGCCTTCCTGCACACTGGGAATGCACAAGCACTTACCTGCAAGGTGGGATAACCCACTTGATACGAGTTTTAACTACAGAGCACCCTAAGGCTCATCTTAGTGATGGTGTTAAGAATTAGGTGACTGGTGTAGGTGTGCAATCAGCAATGAGATTTGGAGATGTCTAGCTTTGAAATATTCAAAGATGAATCCAGCCCTGAAAGTAATTACCCACACAAGTAATTTCATTACAGTTAATGGTGGATGTTATTAAAGCTCAGGCTCCTCCCAGGTAACTTCAGGTCTGTAGCAGAAGAGGAGCGCAGTCCCTGTGGCCTCATCTGTGTGATGTGGAGGAGGGCTCTGCTAGACTGGCCAGCCCACCTGAGGTACAGACCGAAAGTGTCAGTGTCTGACCAGTTTCTCACTTCAGTGTCTCCATTCATGCCCTTAGTTTACACTGGATCAATCCAGTGCAGACAAACACCGTTGCATCTCTGGCATTGCATGGAAGGGAAAAAAAGAAACAAAACCGGATGTATCGAAAAAGTGTCACTGCAGAAATGAGACTGCTTTCAAGTTAAATTTTGGTAATCATGTAATAAACCATTGGTGCTTAGAAAAGGCTTCAATATTTTCTCTAACACATAAATATGAAACTAAAAATTTGCAGCAAATAGGAATGGGTTCCATAAAATACAGTTGTACTCATTAAGGAATTAGAACAGTAAAATAATATGGAAGAAGTCACAAAGTACTAAATTTACTTGGTTATTGTATCAACATATCAACAGTTGGTCAGTTTTAAATTTAAAACAGGTTTATAATTAAGAAAAGCATTTTATAGTTTGACCTAGTATTTGATATATTTATTTTATAATGTAATAGTTTCTTGATGCTTCAAACATTTCCTTGTTTGTAGCTCTCTGTAGAAATAGCATTATAAACATTAATATGTATATTAAGAATTGATTTGCTATTGAAAAAACACCTATTGTGAAAATATGGTTAAATTTTCTGTCCTTAGTCTCTGCCAGCCCAGATACTGTTTGCTGCTGTAATGTTAATAATTTCAGGTGTAAAACACTAATAAATAAGCCTTAACACTATAAAATGGTCTATACATAGAAATCTCTTGCCTACATAGACCCCTTATATTTCCAGTTCTTAAATGGAGAACTGTATCTTTCCAGAATTTTTACCACCTAATGCTGTTGTAGAGAAAAATCCTTTTAATGTAGCTGTTATATTGATTTTGCCATCCTTAACAATGACAAGTAGGATTCTATGGTGTTTATCATCTCCAGAGGACTCGGAGGAAATGCAAGAAGGTTTTTTTTCCTTATCATGAGCAGATGTAAAGGTCTGGACAATAATGACACAGTTAAAAATGTATCAACATGTTATGAAGCATAATTAAGTTGCTTAACTGCTTCAAGTCTCAACCTTTACTTATTATTGTTTAATTATAACAACTTATGAGGAACCTGAGATTTGGGCTTGCTTCTCATCTAAAAGATGCTATTTGCACAACATCTAATTGAGCCCTCCAGAGCCTTGCCTTTAGAGATAGTTAATATAAGAAACAGTCACAAGAGCAGGTTTTATGAAGCTGCTTGCATTGGCACTGATCATGAGCAGATGGTCTGTCCACGTTTAATTTAACACCTTGTTGGTCTGTAATCACTTTTTCTTTCTTTGTTCATTTAGCCACCAGATAATGGGCCTCCACCACTGCCAACATCTTCCCTTCCTGAAGGCTATTACGAAGAGGCAGTGCCACTTAGTCCTGGGAAGGCTCCTGAGTACATCACTTCCAGTGAGTAAGATATTTCCAGGCAGTTTCTGAGCAATTGGCAATTCCAGTGTCCTTCAGCTTTTTTAGTATTTGAGAACCCCTTTTCTGTTGGTGCTGTGGTGATGTGTTGTAAGCTTTACTTTGACAATTTGGGCCAGTTCTGTTTGTCTGCTTGAACCATAAGCAGACAACTTCTAGACTGCTTTCAACCTCAGATGATGGGGGCATTGGACCAGGAGTCCAGAGTTAAATACTGCCCAGAGTAAACCCCTCTAAACTGATCACACTGTGGATGTAGAGGTCTCAGAAACTGGTACTGACCTGCACATCTCCCTGCTGTTTCTCTATTGCACTGAATTGCTTACTAAAATAGACAAATAGAAAGGAAAAAAAGGAATTATTGGGAAGATGTGATTTGCAGCATTTCTGATGACACATTGTGGAAAGGGATGAATTGGTGACAGCAGCTCCCACAAGCCATGTGTGAAGCCCATGACAGTCCTTTTGTGACCACTTGTTCAGGGCAATAGAGAGAGGGCTGCCTCTGGCTGTCTGCCAGAACGTCCTTCTGCAACACCCAAATGCTCTTTTTCACACACAAATACTTCCCCAAAGACCTGTGCACTTCAGTGGAGCTGTGCTGAGAGCACCCTGATGAAACACTGAAATGACTGCTGTGACCTTTACACAGGGTCAGTCAACAGCAAATTATGGACCATCTTTTTGCTGCTTTTTTATTGGCTGGGGTAATTTATTACTTGTGTGGGGCTGATTTATCACTAATCATTATCTTCTATGCTCCAAAGATTAAAGGCATATCTTCCCCTATTTGAAATTCAAGGTAAGAAAGAGTTTCATGTACTGGAAAGCAAATGAAAGAACATACAGACTTAGAAGAGCAGCAGAATCACTCTCCATTTCCTCCCTTGAAATGCTGCAGGGTGCTCCTGCTACACCCTGTAACCCAGTGAGATCCTGACTTGGATTTTGTTGTTAAATAAGACCATGCTCAGGAAGAAAAATATTAATAGTGCAAACATTAATACCACTGCTAAAAATCACCTAGGGAAAAACAAGACTAAGTATAAAGCTGATTTCTTATTGTACCTAACCATTTAAATGCAGAAAAATATAGGATGTCAGCCTTAAAAGTTCATTAATAATTCCATAATTTATGTATCTCCAGACATTTAAAGCTCTCTTAGTGTGACTTAGCATCTTGCTTGCTGAGATTTTGTTTTATTTTCTTATGTTCTGAACTTTATCATACCTTAAAAATTGTGTTAAAAGAATTCCTCTCTTCACTGGTGATGAAGTTGCTTTTAAATTCAATGTGCAATTAGTAATACATCTTCACTCATTCAAAACATCCATTAAATCCAGTAGTGTGGTAATTAAAAACAGCTACCAAAGAGTATTAAAATATATGACCTTAGCTGTTTGGAGTATTTGAGATAGAGAAGACAGTAGAAGAAAGTACTTGAAGTAGAAGCAGTGCAAGAATACATCTATTAGGATAGATATAATTATTTTAAGTAAGTCTTCCTATGGAATATTTTTGTAATGTCATTAGTAGCAAGGAGACTTACATACCATGTGTCTTACCTGTAAAAGTAAACAAGCACTTAAATAAAATTGCAGAACATGGCCATGAAAATGAAATATCCATAACTTTCCCCAGTTCCTCTAATTGGTTTGTAAATAAGTGCTTCCATGTAGATGAAAGCAAGAGTGTGTATGACTTGTCCAATAATTCTGTCTGTATTAAAAGCTACTGATCTGTGCAATATGCCTAAATCAATACAGATTAGTCTTAGGAATACACTATTCAAATTACATGAAAGTCCACTGTGATTTTCACCTCATAACAGTGGGAAATTTTTCTGATGAAGGTGAAAACCCAGTGTCAGAAGAAGTCAGATTAATCAGAAAGTGCCAAATATGCAAAAACTGGTGGATTAACAGCACTGGAACATGTTGTATCAGTGAATCCTTACCCTCTGAGATTTAACAGACTTCATAAATGCTCTTTGTTCTGGGGAGAGACAGATTTTTCTTCACATGCTAGTTTGTGTCTTGGAGCCTGGAAACCTTGTTTTGGATGTGATAGAGCAGTTTGGAGAACAAGCAGTGTTTAATGGGCAGGATATGGCAACAGGTCCCCAAAGATCCCATTAGCCTGGGTCAGGATGGGAGTCTCAGAAGCTCCTGTTGGCTTTCATCTCCTAGAAACAGAGATTTGGATGAAGCTGTGACTGCAGTTCCAGCAGAGTCCCTGTGCTGAGCATACAGCTTATGGCTAACAGGAAATCTGCACTTGGAATGCTTGTGAGCCACACAGGAAATACCTGTAGGGTATTAAACATGCAAAATTTCAGTTTCTACTGTGAAGTCACAATCAGCACTTTTTACAATTATTTTTTTCTGGAAAGTGGTAGAACTTGCTGTAAAAAATAAAGAATAGGCTTCAATGTTGTGAGGAAGAAGCAATTATTAAACCAACTAAATTTTCTAGTAATAAGGCAAGATAGTTGCATGGGGTTTATAGTCAGAAGAAAATCAACTTTTCTCTATAGGGCAAAGGGATGACCTGTAATTTTTACCCAAGGTGAAACATTCTTTACTGCAATATGAAAAAGTTAAATCATGATCTAAACAGAGAAGAAAAACAGTGTGTTGAAACAGATTCAAATTTTTAATTATTTTGATTGATGCACTTAAAAATGTAGTCCTCTGATAGAAAAGTCTCTGTCATGCAAACTTCCCATCTTCAGAGTGCAGAAAAATGACCCAGCTCCACTCTCTTGGGAAGAATATACTTGGAGATTGTCCCCCCTCTAGAGTTAAGCTTCAAGTTCATCTGATAAAATTTATCCCCTAGACACTCTTGCATTCAAAAGGTAGTTTCTTACTGGAAAAAATCTCATTAGTAATGACACAGAAAAATTCTACCAGAATACTGCATCCATATCTCAACATAAGAGCAGTGAGTTCTTACTTCTGCTTCTTATCTAAAAAAAAAACCAACAAAACCTGTTTTAGAATAATGTTTTTGCCAAAACCAAGGCAAAATCACAAATGAGGGAAAAGAATGTTGTAGAAAGGGACCAAACATTGATGTGAACATTGTGACATTGGCATAGCTGCAACAAAGATCACAATTGAATATAAGAAAGGATGAGGAGGTTATGGGTACTAATTACTTCTTTGAAAAGGGAAAGCCAGGAGCTGAAGAAGAAGTTCCCAGAGAGATGGCAGCTTTAGTTTATGGCAGCTTGTCACACAGCCTGTGCCTCTGGCAGATCTTGAAGAAGCTGATTTACTGATCAGACCTTCCAGTTTGTATTTGGTGGCTCCCTGTGAATTGTTTGGTCTCAGTGCCCAGCAGGCTGGCACTCTGCTGTGTGTTTGTGACTTGTCAGTGATGGCTCAAGCATTTCCTGATGTTTCTGGGTGAAAGTTTGTGGAAAGCTGCTCTGAAAGAAGTTGGAGCGGGGACAATGTTTTGGTTTGGTTCTGGGTTTGGGGGGGGATTTGTTTAGGCTTTTTTCCTTCTTCAGGGGTAGGAAGGATGAAGCAGAAAGTTCTATTAGATCTTATATATTCTTTTAAATACATATTCCAAAAAAAATACTTTGGAATAAATGTTTCCAAATCTGTCAGTTTAAATATTTGCCCTAAGTTTTTCCATCCTCCTCTTGATTTTTGTAATGCAAGTGAAAAATTGGAATGTTTTCCCACTGATAATCATCTGAGGCTTTTACCACTTGCCCATATGGAGCTGCCCCAAACCAAACACCCTGTAGCATAATTGACCAGAAAATGGCAATTCAGTTTTACAAATACGCTTCCAGGACTTTTAAGTTTTACTTTCATTTCATTTTGGGCTGAAAGTATACTGTTTCATCCACTTTTATGAAAACACAAATTGGATCAGAGTATCTAATTTTGATTCAGAGATGTGAGGTATGTTCCATTCTGACTGTGCTCATAGGGAGGAACTGATGCAGAATCAGCTTTCCAGCAATCCGCTCTCTTGTCCTCTTCCCAGTCATTCCAGTTCTCCTTCCTACATCTCAGTTGTTTCCTAATTACCTCGCTTCTGGCCTAAAAATATATCAAAGTCTATATGAAATGTTTAGTTGAAATTTTAGAAACATTCCAGTCAGTTTTCCTCCATGTGAATGTGTGCCAGTGGATAACAGGCTTTCTGGTGTTACTCTCTGAAGGGCTTTACATACATACACCCACAGAAACAAGTATGGATGGTGGAAGAGAGGGTTCTGTGATAATGGCATAACAGTTTGCTACTTGAGGGTACTGCTAGATCTTTCTGCATTGTTGAAAATTAAAGGCCTGAAGAAAATTTGTTTAATTAAAACAGAGGCTTGCCATTCCATCACCAAACTTGGAGCAGAATTAAGCAGCACAGAATAAAAGATTTTTCACAATGCTTTTACCTTCATCAAATCTATAGTTCAAGGGACAGCATTGTCTATTAAACACTAATTGTAGCAGTATAGGGGCTGTATTTGGGAGTTATATGAAAAGTTATGGTGGGTAGATATTGCCCCATAATGTGTTCTTATGACCTTTGTCATATGGGGTGTCTGTTTCTCCATGTGATGTACTAAAGCAAGATGAAGGCATTTCTCTGTGAAAGAATTACAAAAAAATGAAGCTAACTGTCCAATTATATTTTGAAGATAATGAAAGACTATCTGAAATTCTAGCTATGTATTCCCCAGCTTACAGTTTCATTAAAATTCACAAGATGTCTGTTTGGGTCTTCTATAAAGTTTCTTATTGGCATAGTATCTCTTTTTAATTAACTTATGCATTGATATTACTTTGCACTGAAACAGTAACTTGTTCATGGCTGACTTTCAAAAGCTTTCACTTAAAATGAACCATCTCGAGGTTTCCAGTTATTTCAATGTGCTTCATGGCTAAGTGTTTTAACCTAACACTTTTACACTTTTATTAAAGATTATGACTCAGATGCTATGAGCAGCTCTTACGAATCCTACGATGAAGAAGAGGAGGATGGAAAGGGGAAGAAAATGAGACATCAGTGGCCTTCTGAGGAAGCCTCTATGGATCTGGTGAAGGATGCCAAAATCTGTGCCTTCCTGCTTAGAAAAAAACGATTTGGGCAATGGACCAAACTACTGTGTGTTATCAAAGAAAACAAACTACTGGTAATTCTTATTTTTAGCTAGCTATATTTTCTTTGTACCTTTTAGATGATGTGTTTATTTTTACAGGAATCTGATTTTTGGAATATGTTCTGCAAACGGTGGCCAAGTCTGCAGTAACCTTACCAAAGAGTTCAGTCATGATTTACCCAAGAAGCACGGAAATTATAAGTGTATCATTTAGCCACTTAGAACTTTGATTTTTATTTCACTTAAGCTTGAACCCAGCAGCTCTCTGATATTGGAAAGAACGTCTGGCCCATTATCTTCTAAAATATTTAATTTGGGATAAAAAAAGTATCTGGAACTGTAAATCCAATCTTTCATTCCCTGCAGACAAAAAATCTCATAGGGAGCTCTGTGTGTGAACTGTTGGATCAGACTGCTGAAAAGAAAAGTCCCTTGTTGGACTGAGAATTCACTTGGCAGCATATGCTGTGGTAATGTATACACTTTAAACGAAACCTTTGCCATCTGTTCTGCAGTAATTACGATGCAGCATTCACATAATGCACAGCTGCATTATAAAAGGGATGGAAACAAGTGGATGTATTTATTCCTTAAGCAAGTGAAAGATTCCATGAATTACCCGCTCATAGATGTGTTTTTGTTTTCTGAAAAGAGAACATAATTGAGGGAAACACTTACTGTGTGTCATTATGAGCAAACAAATGCCTATATTAATCAATAAACTGGGATCACTGCTGATCTTGCCTCCTGATATGGTGCTTCCAGCCATTGTACCTAATTACATAACTAACAATTACTGCAGTATCCCAAATGTTAAAAGCTGATTAACAGGTCATGGAGCATGTTCTGTAGAACCTCTCTATTCTGCAGTGGTACAATGCAGTCTGGGTGTGTTCACTTTACAAGTACATACGTGCAGTATGCAGTATAGATATATATTTTCTGTGCAGTATAGAAAATAGCAGGATATGAAATGCAGGTAGGAGGTTTCTGAAAATACAGTTGGAATGAATTTGCTAGTTTGCAGTAGCTTCACTTTTTGTATACTCCTGTATTTAAATGTTGGAAAAAAAGTACATTCTGATTCAGCTTTTATTATATTCTTGTAATGCCATTATCCTTAATGCACATTTTTATCACCACATATCAGGATCATATCAGATTTCAGGACCATCTGATAACAGCTTGAAGAAAGGAAAGAAAGAGACAGAGAAACAGATTTTTCCCTGCAGTCATACAGCATTTGTTATACAATTACAATTACTGTTCCATATAAAAATATGTTATTTTCTATATTTTCATTTCCTTTACCCACATGTGTGGTCCAGAAAGCTTTTTTTTCCTTATAGGGATCGTCTTTCAGTAATTCTGTAATGGGGATTAAGAAAATAAAAATCACAATAGGAGTCTAACGACCAAGTTACACAAGATTGGTTTATTGTTGGAAGGAGGACTTGGACAGTTAACTTATGATATATGCAAGTAAAACAAATATGTGTTCTTAGGGCTTAGTAATTGCTTGTGTCAGAAATGCAGCTGTCATCATAAAACAAAAATATTTTAATTAGAATTAGACATTAGAAATAACTTTTAATAGGGAATTGCTTTTCTCTTAAAGTCCTTTAGGGACTCATTTTTCACTTAATATATACATACTTCAGTTTTAGCAATGTATAATTATAAATAAAATACTTAGATTAATATAAAAGGAATTACAAGCTGTTTATTGGTTCTTAAAGTGAATAATGTTGTACATCTTCAATATTTCATAGCTTGGAAACAGTATTTTTTAAATGTTGCAAATGTAAAATCTGTGAAATTGGAGAAACTTCGTTATAATGGACTTTGGAGAGGGAAGGCTTATCAGTCATCTGCAGAGGCTGGTTTAGAGTTGGCTGAATTTGCTCAGCCTAACTTGCAGTGTTTATAACATATTTTATCAGCTACTGTCTTGCTGACAATTGCATCCTGGCATGAGTACTGCTGCAGACATACAGAAGTTCATGTGCTTTTCTCTATTCACATAAACGCTCAGCTATTTATTGTATGTAGATACTAGTCAGTCCTGTTGATTGTCAGAGAGCCCTTTATTATCAGATGACTTTTGAGCCTTATTTGTGTGAGTGAAAGCCCAATTTACACAAGTGTATAAAACAGCTGGACATTTGTATAGAGAGCTAAACATTGTTCTGCAGTCTGGCACTGCAACAGCTTTGGGAGCCTCAGCTGTACTGATGTGCTGGAAGGTGGGAATGGAGACTGGGTCAGGACAAGTGATGTAAAGAGGAACCTTCTGTCTTCAGATCACCATTTCCAGCAGAGAACAGGTCATCAGTGACCCAGCATGAAACAGCTGCTCATTGACAGCACTTACTAGTGAGGGAAAAAGTGTAAGTACATTGCTGTAGCCAGGAGCTTACAAAATAACGTAGCATGGAAATTTGTGCATGGGCTATTAGACTTTATTAACTGAAAAAGTGTGACTTTACCCACTTTCCATGATTTTTTTTTAAACTATCTCAAGAAAATGAACAGATGAGTAAGGCATGTGCCAGCATCTTTGCAATTGCAGTGTGTAGGCACTAATGTAGATTTGCCTTCATATGCTGGCCTGTCACTGGAGGGCAAGGTAAACATCTGGGCTTTAAAGTTGTTAAGTTACAAGTTTACTCTGCTGCTACACATGAACAGATAATCCTAAATCACCCTCTCCCTACCTGACCAAGGTCAAGGTTGAGTCTTAAGGATAACACAGAGACACTTAATGCTCTCCATATGTTGTACCTGCCTTGCAATAAAACATCTATTATTGTCAGTCTGGAAGTAATTTTGCTTTACAGAGTGGATGAGTTCATTTTGGCTTAACTCTGTGGTATGTGGTAAAGGGATGTGCAAAATATAGTCAAAAATTTATGAATTAAAAATACAGCATTTGTACATAATAAGAGTTTTCCCCCAAGGTTCAGAAAGGTAATATCTAACTCTGGAACTTTCCTTGTTTATTTAGTGTTACAAAAGCTCCAAGGACCAGCAGCCCCAGATGGAGCTGCTCCTGAATGACTGCAGTATCACCTACATTCCCAAAGACAGCAAAAAGAAGAAGCATGAGCTGAAAATCTCTCACCAAGGAGCAGATGCCCTGGTTCTGGCAGTGCAGAGCAAAGAGCAGGCAGAACAGTGGCTAAAGGTAAGGGGGGTTTTCTGTCCAGGAGTTTTTTTACCCACAAAGGGCTCACGTTGCTCAGTTGCTGTTACAGACACAGACAGCACCTTCCACACAAATCCAGACCACTTAAATCCCATCTAATTTGGGACTGCAGAAACACTTTAAGTTCAGGCCTCGAACCAATTCCTCAGGGTTTACCCAGTGCTGCTGCTGTGATGGTTTTCACTACTAATAGCACAATAATCTGGCACAGAGAGGAGAGGTGGAAAATTCCCTTCCATCTTCTTCTCCAGAAAGATATGATGGTTAGGGCACACTGCTGGTGAGACAAAGGTTCAAATTCCCTCAGGTAGAGGCAGCTGGCATCCATATTATTCTGGGCATGGTGTCACCATTTTAAAAAGAAGACTCTCTGAGGAGATACCTGTTTTAATTGCTCTGGATGGAGAAAAATCCTTTAGCTTCCCAAAGGCCATTCAAGTTTCCTAGTTCTGGTTTTGCAACAAATCATCTGTTATGGTTTGTCCTAGGAATGCAGACTTCTGAGAAAACGGGATTTTGTCATCTTCTATTCCTCTCTGTTCAGTGTCTGCAAACATGGAAAATCCCAAGGCAAGGGCTGCAGTTACAGATCCTAACCAGATTACTAGTATTTATGTAGGGCTTTGCCAGTCTCAGAGGTGGAGGTCAATGAAGTAGTGTGGGAAACTATCACTGCAGTTGCAGTAGCAACTGTTTATAGACCTTGAAATCCAGCCTTTTAAATACATGTATAACTCTGAATGCATCAGACTCATTCTCCATGCTGTGCTCTGATCTAACCTTATATGGTTCTTCTTTTTCTAAGAATAAATTGTATTTTTCCAAATACAATTGAATTAAACACACAGGAATTTCCTGACAGCAGATAGTTTTTCTGCAGAAGAGGGAGACATAAAATTCAGCTTAAGCGGTATAAATTCTGCTGTGGGCTAATGTACTAAATGGAAAATTAATCTGTAATTTCCTATTTTGCAATATTTGAATATACCTTTTGGGGGTTTGCGGTTTGTGTGTGTTTGGTTTTGCCTGTGACTTTGTATCCCAGCTCAGAAAATGCTCTCTCTATTGTCATTTTAATAGCAACTAGTCCCAGCCATGTATTTGTTAGGCTTCTGCTAACATCAGTATCTTGTTCTAGGTTTTAAAGTCATGAAAATGTCCCACTAGTTCAGCTAGCATTTCAAAACCACTGATTGGAATGAAAAGAAGTTCATAAGTCATATTCCCTTCCAAGGGAATTCCGCTGTAATTAGATCATAGTAACTGCACCCTTATTTCCTGTGTTGTTCTAAATTTGGGTTTAGTAATGCTGAATTCATTGGCATCTATCAGATGTTCTTTCATAAAAATTGCTTTATTTTTTTTAAATTGTATATAAAGCATCCCCACACAGGCAGACAGAGCAGTACTAGATTTTTCCATTTCCCAAATGCATTCCAGCTCCTTCAAAATGAGAAAAAAAAGGGGGATTTAGTTCAGTTGCATGTTCACACAGTTGTGTATTCTGTGTGTCTGCAAAGCATTTGGAGACAGTCTGACAGCACTTTATTCAGCTCCTTCATGCTGCAAAGCTCCCTGTTAATGAAATCTTTCAAGTACATGGCAGTGTTACTGTACTCAACTTCCAAGTCCTCAGGGCTGCTTCCGCCCTTTGCTTCTCCAGTACAAATTGCCTGTCCCACAGCTAACCAGAAATGATCTGTGCAGCTCTTCCAACAGCTCCAGTGTTTTCCAAAAGAAGCTTGGCCTTTGGATAAATAAAATAAGCATTGCTTTCTGTATTTTTTAAAATACACCAAAATGTAAGGATTTTTTTTTTTTTATTATTATGTAAGCAATTACATTTGATCATTCAAGCTTTACTCAAAATTAGCTTCTGAAAATCATGTGTGGCTTTGTGTAGGACATTCTTACAGTGTGAAAGAGGTCACTGCTTCATCCTGGGAGATTTTAGCTTTCCCAGCCTGTCAGCCAGAGGGCCAGGGTGCTTCCCAGTGCTCTGCCCCTTACATGTGATTTCTGTCGTTAATAAAATGGGCAGATCCAGAGACTGCCAATGAGAAAGAACTCTGCAGCCACAATTTTAGTGCATAAGATGCCTTCTTGGTCAAAGATACTGCACCAGTATGTGCCACTTGAGGCAGATTATCACCCAGAAGCAATGGGTTCTCATGAATTCCAATGTTGAGTGTCAAATTAAAGCTTTACATTTAATCCTAAAGAGATCAAAATGTTTTTGGAGGCCAAATTGTCCTTTGAAAGCTAAACCAAATTATTTTTCTTTCCACTTCATGCATGTCATCAGTACAGAATATGTTTATTAAGTAAATAAGTTTAAAATATCTATTGGAAGACAAATTCTAAATCTGTGTAGAATACTTTAGACCCTTTTTTTTGTAAAGATGACACCAAAAAAGCCCCAGCTGATAAACATAGTGCAAATTGAAGTCTAGACTGGAAACCACAAAGGGAGTTTCAGGTTTACCAGCTAACAAATGCTTGATGAAAACAGATAGCTGATGTCACCAAAGACCCTGTCAAGATTTCAGAGGCAGGAGCAAAGCTAGTATAAATTCAGGCTAGAGCTGAGGTCATCTTGGTAATATGGTGGGCAACAAAAAGTGGTGGAATTTTCCAGACTTGAGTCCTAAAATGTTCCCACAAAAATGTACGTGAAAAAAATGTATGCAGTTACACACTCTGACCCAAAAATGATCTTTTTCCATGTGTGCTTGACTGTATGTGCATCTGTGCGCCCTTTGGTGGTCAAGGAAGGTCTGAAATATTCCTGTTTGTCTTAGCACATCCAGCTGACTGGTAAAGCTACACTTACTGTCAGCATCCCTGGGAAATGCTGCATTAAAAATAAAAGGACTGGTAGGACCATGACTGATTAAAAATAAAAGGACTGGTAGGACCATGACTGTACAAGAAGATGCTTGTTCAGTGGCTTCATTTATACAGATGAATGTGCTCTGTGTGCAGAACCCTCAGACTAGACCACAGAAAACTGTACTCAATATTAAAAATACATGGATGCCAAATAAATTAACTTGTAGAAGACTAGTAGAAGAAGGAAATGGTGACTGGTCCCACAGGCTTTTCTTTCTCCTAACATTCCTCTTGAAAAAATGTATTTCTGATTTATCATGCATGAAATGTAATATATCATTCTGGAGTACTGGCCTTGATTTTCATTTTTCCCTAACATTAGGCACCCTTTGTTAACTTCTCTTCATTTTACGGTGCTGTACCACCATGCAGCAATCTCTTCAGCTGAGGGTCTGTAATTGAGCTGTGAATCTTTTACAGCGATAAGGAGACATTTCTTCATGTATCATTTTGACAATGCTCAGTCAGTTCTGAACTTGTCACAATAAGGGGGATGTTTTGCCCTGAAGAGAGAATAAAATCATGGTTTTATGTGTGTCCAGTCATCCAAAGACCCTGCAACATTCCTTGTAGGGCTGTTTAGCTGGGTCACCTACCCAGTTTCTCTCTCTGATTAACTGCATGTTGTCTCTCATGAAAGTCTTTGAAAACATCTCTTTTTTCACTGCCCTGAGTTTAGTGAAGGGAGTCAAGTAACTTCTGGCCTCCAGTCTTTCTGTGGACAGTTTTACTGAAGAGTAAACTACTGACAGAGCTGTTCTTTAGCCAGTTTATATCAGCATAAAATTGAGCTTATAACTGTAAACATTGTGTGGCTCTTCTGCTTTCTGTGGGAATTTCCAGCTAAATAGAAGAGTTTGAAGAGATCTTCAAACTTCAAGCATTGCTTTCTTGGCTTATGTAATGCTCCCCAAAGAGGTTATTATCTCCATTTTGTAGCTGAGTAGAGTCAAGTGCTGAATGATAAAGCCTTCAAACTGGCTAAAGAACAAGTGGTTTTGGGGATGCCTACTTGGTACTAGTGATTTCCATGCAGTGTTAATTTGTAACAAACTTAAGGAGTGTACTGTAACCCAAGACAGGCCAGGTTCTTTCTCCGTTGCCCATCACCACCAGCAGCGAAGGCTGTGCAAACTAAATTAAATAATAAATAGTAATAATAAATAATAAATTCCTGGGCATTACACCCCTGTTGTCTCAAACAGACGGTTTAAAATACCTCAGTTCAAGTCACAGCAAGGTCAGTGAATTTTCATAAGAGCTGTTTAGGGCCTCACCTGCAGAAGTGATGGACCAAGCTTCACGTGGGAGTTCTGACCAGTCTGGGCAGAGCCAGAGGATCCCAGCTTGGCCTTGAGCCAGAGTTTGTGTGTGTGTGACCAGCACCATGGGAAACAATACATTATTAAAAAGAACCAGATGTGTATGTAAATTAAGAAAACCCAACCAAACCACCCATGAATACAGAACCACAAACATCCCACTTGTTTTCTCAGTGATAATCTTCCTTTGGGTTTCCTGGCTAAAATCACAAATGCAAGCTGTCGCTATCAGAGCAGAACCCAGGAGGGCTGGGACTTTCACTATTCCTCCTCTCTCCTGCTCACAGCTTTGGATGGAAAATTGTTTAAATCACACCTAGGTCAGACTCACAGCCTAAAGTGAGATGTGCATCTCTGCACCATCCAGGCTGGGGATGCAGCTCCCCTGGCACAGGGCACCTCTGCCCTTGGAGCAGCAGCACCTCCTGCCACCCTCCCCAGCCTCTGGGGAGTGCCTCCTCCCTGGGCTTTGCCTGGTCCAGCAGCCATGTAGGGCAATAGACTTCATGGCAATAACGCAGGAGAAATGATACAGGCCTTGTCTTGGTTGAGCAAGTCAGAAAAGTATTTCTAAGAGGATGCACAGGCACTGAGGACAGGCTGTGTGACTGCTAGTCAGCCAGAATCTCATCCTCACTTTGCTCAGGCAAATGGCAGTAAGTCAGAAAGATTAATCTTTCTAAGCTAAGGGATACCTGAGAATAATGTTTTCCAGTACGGAAGGTAAGGGGTTTCTTTCTGAGACTTAAAGTGTAGTCTATGATGGGAATAATTTCTGCCTTTCCTGCCTAGGATTTTCCTTTAGGTAAACTCCTTGGGGCATTTCTTCTCTGCACAGCACTAAGAAGAGTTTTGCTGCTCTCTGAAGAAGGAGGGTATTGACACTAACATATGTCATATGAAACAGTCCACAAGAGAGAGAAAATGAGGATATAGTCATGCCAAAATGACAGAGTCCCAGAAAGTCAGTACTCTTCCAGCAGTGAAAAAGGAGTGTTTCAGGAATGGGAAATACTGACTTATATCTGGAGCCAAACCCTTTTCCCTCTGCTGTGTTGTACTTAAGCAGATTTCAGCTTTGCCATATTCCTATTTCCAGAGTTAAGTGGCAGAGCCAAGGGATACAGCCCATCCCATTTCTATCAATTCCAGTATTTGTGAAACATGTGGGCAGAGGGGAACAAGTGGGTGGTGGCTGGGTGGATTTCTGGCCTGATTATATAAAGTAAAATAAATGTGCAGTCAGGCTGTGAGCTTTCTGTCTTGAACTTGGTCATACTAAAAGTGTGAGCTTCTCATGTGAATTCCATGACAACAAGATGATACAAAATGCTGTAATCACATCCCTTTGGTAGGGAGGCTGTAGCTTGAGCTCATCCATGGTATCCACTGGCAGAGAGGACTGCAAGCTCCTGGAGCACAGACCAACTTTTAGTCTTATTCCTTATCAGGTCCCAAAGAGATCAGCCATAAAGAACTATCAACAAATGTACTTTTACTGAGAATTTGTTTGGTTTCTGTGTGGTAGGGACAGGCTGGCAAGCAGCTGGCTTTCTGGTTTTGCTACAGAGACAGTGCTTTTTATCTGGAGCTTAGAACTTTAAAGCATCCAGAGGAATCTAATCTACTTTTTCTGACTTTGCATGTAGAAAGAATAAATGTTGGGCAAGTATTTTGCCTCCAGTCCTGGTGTATCTTTTAAAATAAGATACAAGAATTACAGAAATTTGTATGTAGGTATGAAGTTTTTTACATGTTAAATGTTAGTGCTTCTGTAGTAAGATAGTTTAAAAAAGAGAACTATTCCAGACACATCATGTGGCAGAAATTTCACTGACTTCACCCATGGCTCAGGCAGGGAATCTTTCCAGCTTCCTACCTACAAATATTTCCCCTCTGTGCTTGATGTCACTGCACTCAGTGCCGTACTCTGATGTCTGTCCTGATCCACCTGGGGATTCCAGGTCTAAAACCCAAGTCTGATTTGGAGCCCCTGAGGGAGCTGGGGCTGGTTAGCCTGGAGAAAAGGAGGTTTAGGGGGAACCTTTGTGTTCTCTACAGCTCACTGAAAGGAGGATGTGGCCAGTTGGGTATCAGTCTCTTCTCCCAGGTAACATGTGACAGGAAAAGAGAAAAAGATCGTAAGTTTCACCAGGGGAGGTTTAGATTGGATATTAGGAAAAAATTCTTCACTGAAAAGAAAGGGCTGCCAAGGAAAGTGGTGGAGTCAGTCCCTGGAGATACTTAAAATACTGTGTAGATGTGGCACTTAGGGACATGGTTTAGTGGTGGATTTGGCAGTGCTGGGTTAACAGTTGGACTCAGTCTTAGGGGTCTTTTCCAACTAAACTATTCTATAATTCTATAAATAAGGAATAATAATACAGTTCAGGTTGCAGAAGCTTTTTCCAGGTCTGCATTTGAAAGTGGCGCTTCTGAAGTCTGCTGATCATAACATTGTAATGCTAATTGTGGTACTTAAGGTTCTTGGAATGGAATAACAAAAGATTATTTTAAACGGATTTAGTTTTGAAGCTGTCCAAAGAAATAATGGGTCTTTAGTTTTCTGATTACATTTGCTCAGTAATTTTAAATATTTGAAGATAGTCTGTTTATGATCTCAGTTTGATTTTCCTGGCAGATCACACTGTGTGTGTACATGTGATGTACAAAGGCATTTGTGGTGAGAAAAAGAGAATTATTTCCTCTCTTTAATGTGTGAGAAGACTTAAGCTGTTATTGAAATATTTGCCATTACAAGGTATTCTCAGTGCAGCCTTCCACATGATGCCATTTTATTAAAAATAACACTTTTGAGGATTAAATTTTTTTTTCCTTTCTGGTTTTGAATCTATATAAACATATAAAAAATACGTTTATTCATATTTTTACACATTTCATTGCAATGGATAAAAGTTTGCTGAAATCCATTCCTCACTCTCACAATTACTTTCTAATGAAAATAGTGATCTTTTGTTTTCATATAACTCCAGAAGATGGAACATAGAAAAAACTGACAAGAACTTTTGAGTCTTGTGATTGAAATTATGCAAGTTGGCAATACTGGTGGAATGTTTTATCCTTAAAATTCTGAGCTAAAGTTATACACATGTGAAAACCAGATTTTTAATGGCAGCTGTCTGCAAATCTAATTATAGAGAGTGCATCCAGGCAACCATTATATATTAAATACATTTCATCCTGGTGAGGTGGAGAAGAATGAGTTTTGTGCTGTGCGTTGAACACAATTATATTGCACACAGAAGGTGATGAGCAAGTCTTTGCCAATGAACCTTTTGAACCCAAATGAAGTGTTGGCCCCTTGAATATCCATTTACTTTAGATCCTGCCACCAACTCCCTTTTGACAATGTATCATTTTAAAAATCAAAATTTAATTACAACCCAATTAAACACTTCAGTTTCTCCTTAAATATGTGGGGTATGATAAGAACCGGATTTACTTGAGTGCATGACTTAGCACATACTACTCAGTTAGTGCTGCCAAATCATTTCCCTCTGTTCTGTCTGTAACTCCCATTACAATCTGCCTTTGCCAAAATTAACTAACTGTGTGGTGTGAGCAGATGCTGAAAACATAAGCCATTGAATCAGGGTCATGCAGGAGACAGAAATGAATGTTCCCAGAAACTGTACAGTCACATTTCTCTAGGAAGAAGACAGCAGTGCATTTGCACCATATTGAGGACCAGCAATTGGAAAAAACCAAAACAAAACCAAAAACCAGACACATTAAAAAAATCTTACGATTTTTGGGAATTCAGGGCTTTGTTTAACTCTGCCACAGATATATCTACATATTGTGTTACAAAGGACACCCAGAGACATGAAAGGCTGGTCTTATTTCTGGAACAAAATATAAGACAGGTCAGACAGTCAGGAAAGGGTGCTGAAGTGTTTTGAGACTCTAGGTCACAGATTAAAGTGCAGGTTCATCTCCCAGCTTTGCTTAGGTTTTTTTATGTGTCATTGAGTGAGTGATTTCGTCATTCTTTGGATCCTGGGTTCTCCCTCTGTAAAATGGGGCTGGTGCTCCTCCTTTCTTTATGGTGTATAATGCCTGTAATTTATGATGTGCTCCTGAGTAGCATAAGGGTCTTTGTAAGCCCATAAACACTATTTGTTTTAGCTTCAGCCTTAAAGGGAGCATAAATGCTGGGAAAGGACTGTTTGGTGCCATCCTGGGCTTTTCAGTTTCCATTTGAAACTCAGCATGAGTTTGGATTGAGAACCTGTTCCATCAGCACAAGCAGTTTCAGGCTGATAATGGGCTGGTGGTAACCTCTCAAGAGATAAAAACCATGGGGAATCATCAAACATCCTTACTCATTGTGTATTTTTACATTTATGTAATTTCAGGTTTTTAAGTTCTTCAAATTCCATCAAAATACCAGCAAATTCCTGGTTCAAGATTTTTCTTTAACTTTTAGGAGCAGAAAGTGCCATTTCCATTTGCTACAAATATATTTACAATTATTTTGACCTTTAACTCTTAAGTTAATGTGCAATTATAATAAAAACATGCCATGAAATACCACTGTGCAGCATTAATTCTAAGTTGATCAGCACTTCATTAGTTCTCTGATAGCAAAAAAAGAGCATCTGTGTAATGTATTATACAAAACTCTTGTCCATTGGCTTGAGGTACCTTGGATCCTATTTTCTCATCATTGTAATGAAATTGGTTTGGTGGTGTCAGCTGAGTTCATACTGCAAAATTAGCTCAGGGAAGTCAGCAGTGCTATTGGTTTCTTCACTTACGAGAGCCTTGGAGCTTAGTCTGTCTAGAAACTGAAACCTTCCACCTCTAGACTTTATGTCTCCTTCAGGTCATATATGAAATGACTTAGGGAGGGAGCATGGAGAAGTTCTTGTAGTGTCAGCCTGCCTGAGAACTGCCAACCTAGTAATGATTGTGTGATTCTCCTTTCCATTCTCTTTCACATATAATATATATATATATAAACTATAAATAAAATAATTATTATTTAATTATAATTATTTATAATAAAAAACATTTTAATTTATAGATTTTTATATACATATCTATATATATATAAAATTTCTAATATCTCTGATTCGTATTTTATGAAAAATTAATAAGTTTTGCCTTGTCTCCTTAAGGTTATAAAAGATGTGTGCAGCAACTGTACAGGAGCTGTAGACTCTGATGGGCCGTTGTCTAGTTCTCCAGTACACAAAGTGGAGCTGGAAAAGGTAAAGTTATCAAAATGGTGAATGCAAAATTCCTTTTGATTACTCCAAGAGACACTGGTAGGCACTGGGTGTAAATCCCTTGCTGCCTGGTGTTGTTGTTTCAGGCACACAGTCCCTGTGTTGTGTTGGTTTGGTTGGATGTGTGCACACATCCTGCAGAGCTGAGATTTCTGCCATCTCACTTTGTTTGGCCATGAACAAACAGCAGGCTGGCTTGGGTCCAGCTTCTCTTCAGCCACAGAAGGGTGCAGGTTAATGGGTCTGATACATGTGCTGAGATGCAGAGATGGTCTCCAACAAATGCAAAGAGCAAGCAGGGATTCAAACTCTTGAGGAAGGGTAGATGAGGGTTTTAAGGGAAAGTCTCTTATTTTGGGGGATTTAGTCCATGAAGAACTCCCTGGGCATGCTGAGATCACTGTTTTGGCAGACCCTTCCAAGCATTCGTGTCTCAATAAAGAAACTTGGCTACTCACACGTGGTACTTGGCTACTCCACTGCCTTGACTCAGCAGGATGTGAGAGCACGAATTAGGGAAGTGAGCAGCTTTGCAGTGAATGATTGCTGCATGACCAGCACTACTTTAAACCCCTGCTTCATTAAGGCATCCGTGTGAGCAAATCTCTCTCCAGCCCCTGCTTAAAAATCCCTCTGACAGAGGTTTCATCACCCAGTTGCTATTGGGAGGTGCCACCCCCCTGGTTGGTGGAAGTGCACCACTGCCTGTGGCGTTACGTTGCTTTGATCCTGGGAGCTGTTCCAAGACAGCCCAGACTTCCTGGTTTCACAGGCAAAATCTGTTGTGTTTGCATGTTTGCACACACCTGCACAGTACTGACAAAGTAACTTAGTGTTGAAAAGTAGGGTTTTTTTTCTAAAATGCTTGCCATGAAAATGTGTGATTTATTTTGTCATTCACTCTTTTTTGCGATCGCCTTATCGTGATAATCTTCATGGCTTCACCACTTCTGAGTAATGTGGTCATCAAAACTATGCTGTCATAAGCTCTGTCTGCTCCAACCCAGACCTCGTGCATAACCATTACAGAATAATCAGTGCTAAAAATTTATTTCAAAAGCCTTTCTTGCAAATATTGAAAGTACTGAAGCACCTTATAGGAATACACTATTTTCTGATAAGTTGTAGTTGCAAGTGCATGTATGAAGCATTCTTTAAAGATACAGCTTTTACTCTACTCATATGTGATCCATGTAATTCTTTATTGCAACATTTAGAGTCTAGAAATACATTAAAATATATGGTGAATAATGAATATTTCACTGTTCTTAGTACACTTTCAAATACATACTATTTTATTGTTTCTGTGATTTTCTAAACTGAAGTTTTTATTATCTCCTGATTCTCTTCTAAGTAGATGAGAGCTTGAAAGTGTGTTTTATTTCACAGTAAGTATTTTCTTAAAGGGGACTCATGACACTTGATTTTATGGAGGTGCAAACATTGTGTGTCAGCTAATCTCTTTGCCCCTGCAGAAGTTGTCATTTGAGAGGCCCAGCTCAGATGGGGAAGGTGCTGTGGAAAATGGTATCACTACTGTGTGCAATGGTAAAGAACAAGGTATGTCTGGTGTAAGTAATATGTGCTTAGAGAAAGGGAAATGTTTCACTTTTATCTGTCCAAAAAAGTAAAGTTTTTGGATGGTTTTATTTGGATTCAGTTTAACTTGAAAGCTCAACTATGTCAAGAAGGATTCCTTAAATTTTGGCAGTAACAGAAGGCATTTGATGTTACTGTGCAGGTAAAATCAATATAATTAATATAAGAAAACAGAATATGGAAATTTTGATTTGGCCTTTTCTCTGTTCAAAAGTACCGTTTTTCAGAGCTTGGATGACTATAGGCAAGTAACAGTTTTAGTGACTGTATAGTGGCAATATAAATAGTGGTGTAAAACTTCTAGGCAAAAAAGCTGTAATTAAATACTAGAAGGAAAGAATCATGCATATTTTTATATATGTATTTATCTAGGTTTTATATCTGTGTGTGTGCATAGATACCTTCATATATAAACTATCATATTACAAATGATTTTTATATTAAAAAAATATATAGTCATGCAGTGTCAGTGTATTTTTGAGTACATAAGTATATAGTTTTGCATATGCTGCTTTGGAGTCATGCATGTTCTGTAGTCCTTATAATCTAACAAAGGTAAATCCTAAATCCAGAGAGAGTTCTGGCCAAGTTATATTTAATACACTCAACCTTTATGCTCTCTTCTCCATCCTCTTCCCTGCTCCACAAAGCAGAAGAAATTCTGTGGGTTCCTTGATGTGCCACATAGCATGGTGTAGCTCAGATAAGGGATTTTTCTGCTGTTAAGTGCAGGGTAATGTGAGCTGCAGTGAGCACAATTGTCAATACTGCCCTTGGTGCCAGCACTGTCTCGCCTTTTGACTCATTTCCCTTATCTCCTCCCTGGGTCATTTTCCAGCATTTCCTGGCTGTACAGATCTCTGAACAGTATGGGACAATGTCATGGTTTGTGGTTTTCTGAAAGTCGTGGTATATTTTTACTTTTTTTTTTTTTTTTTTCTTTTCACATTTTAAAATCTTCTATTAAGTTTTCACAAAACTCCAAAACCTGTGGAGAATCATTTGTGACCCAAAACCTATGCTGTCCACGATGTCCAGAGGTACCTGGTGGTTCAGGTACCCTGCAGAAGGTGTGATGATGCAGCTGGAAAAACAGCCCAGCTGAGGTGCCTCAAGGAGGGTCATTTAAAATACCATTGGCTTTTGAGAATTGACTTTCAGTACATAGTAGGAAAAACAATGGGCATTAATGACTGCAAGAAGGCTGAAGTGTCCTTGATGAAGTTAGCTGTGCATTTTTGAAATGGATAGGAAGTGTTTAAGGGAGTAGGTGGGAAGGAAGGCTTCAGAGAATGATCATCTCCAGCTGGCACCAGCCACCAGCCTCTGCTCATAACCAGCTGCTTACTTTGCTGGGGGGAAGGAAATGAGAATAAAAGGCTTCTGTGAAAAAAAAATCACTGGCAGTTGGGCAATTAGTATATTCTTTAGACTCAAAAAGATTAAATCATGAAGGCCTTATTTCTGCTGCCTCTCTGCTCTGCAGGAAAAAAAACCCCAGCAACGTAAAGGGAAGACAGGACAGAAAAACAAACACTAGAATGGCCTAATTCCACTGTTGGCCTTTGGCTGCTGCTGTGTGGGATGGAAACCTGGCTGAGGACAGGTGCTGTGCCCCAGGCAGGGGTTCATGAGCTGAGTGGATGGGTGGCCTTCCTCCCTCCAACAAGGGAGCCTGTTTATGTTTAGAGAGCACAGTGTAAGTTGTGAACAACCTTCCCTTGAAAAGATAATTAGACCTGGATGTGTTGGAACTGGCTGGGGGACATCTATTGGCACTTGCAGAGCTGTCTTACACCCTCAGCACTGGCAGATTTGTACAGTCACGGCTACAGATATAATTTCTAAATAATGTTCTATGATTGCTAACAATTAAACTAAATATGATAAATTATCCCATGGTGAGTCCCAAACTGCTTCTCTATTTTCCATGCATTCTTCTTCCCAGCTCATTAGTTCATACAGTCATTTCTCATGTGAACGTTTTCTCTATTTTTCCCCTCAGTTTGTGCAAGTCCATAACCACTAAGTGTTCCCTGTTGCAGAAGGAGTTTGTATGTTGGGGATAAAGATAGAGCAAATCAATTAGTAACTATTTTAAATTAAATGTTCATCAAAATCACATATCAGGGCAAGTTGATGGAATTTTTGCTGCCTTTTCAGTTAGCAGAGACTTTTGCTCTGTTACCAGAATCCCATTTAGTCCTCTGAATGCAGTTTCTGAAGTTTATTTTGTTTGTTCTGTTTTGCAAATAAAAGCCCTCTTTTTTTCTGAATCTGTTTAGTCTTAGAAACTCTTCTTTAAAAAAAAAAAAAGTATTAGGATTTTAATCTGATAGACACTTTTAAAAACCTTATCCATAGTCCTTGCCATATTGCATTCAGTGGCTGAACATGCTTCAGTTCTCTGAGTGGTAATATTTCTAGTATCAAATGAAGTTAGTGGAAGCATAGACTGGATGTTAGCAAAATACCTCTTTTCAGCGGAGTTTTTTCTTTCCAGTGGTCACAAAAATGGCCAGCTTATAGCTATTGAATATTCATACTGATCTCACTAATTTCTTAGTAGTTAATTCATAGTCTTGTCTTTTCTTTCTAAAATATCCATTGTGATAAGATTTCTTAGCCTAATTCTACATAGAAGTAATTTTGCTAAGCAAGCATCTTGCTATCTTTTTTTGTGTACCTAATTATTAAAGTATTTTGAGAAAAGTGTTTAGGAACATTGAAGAAAACAATGAAGAAATGTCTGAATGGATTTTTATTGCTGTGTGTATGAGGTAAATTTATATACAGGTACTTCAGTCATACTCCTAAATTAGATGATGACTTCTGTGGAAAGAGACTTGAAGCTTGATTAGATTAAATGAAGTTGCAAAATTGATTTTTGTTTTATTATCCTTCAGAATGCCACTGTTTTTATAACAGAGGTAATGAGAGGTAATTTGTCTCATTGAAATCTGCAACTCTTGTACAAAGGTTTGTCTTGCATAAGATATTTTTGTCTGAACTTCTGTTTTTATTCAGATTCTCTCTCTGGGTTGGTGTACACACACTACTAAATAGACACTTCTTTCTTAACAGTAAAGAGGAAAAAAAGTTCGAAAACAGAAGCCAAGGGCACGGTGACTAAAGTAACAGGGAAAAAAATAACGAAGATCATTGGTTTAGGAAAGAAAAAGCCATCAACAGATGAACAGACCTCATCAGCTGAAGAAGATGTTCCAACATGTGGTAAATGATTTTTCCCCTTGAGTCTTAAATGCTCACTGCTATTAAAACTTTATAGCATTCTAGCCTAGGAATTTCTCTAAAACTGCTTTTACTGCAACAATTCTTCCCCCAGCATTGGAAAAATGCACCCAGACTGCAAGAGGAGTAATCAAGAGTTTGTCATTTGCAAAGAGATTAAAATAATTTGACTTTTTAAATAAAATGGTAACACAGTCTCAGGTATCACTGCTCTTTGCGAAATTGAGGAGGAAGAGAAATGTGAACATGAAGCATAAAGAGACAAGCACTGTTCTCAAACAAATGGTTATAAAATGAATATAGGCTGAACTATGAAATAAATTGAGGCTACAAAGTAGAAGACGGCTCTTGGAAAGTGATCAGGTCTTTTATAGTAGATTGTGGTTAAGGTTTTATGGAATAGCAGACAGCAGTCAATTGGCCTCAAGCAAAGTGATTTGAGTTTAATTATGAGTTCCTAAAGTGGTACATATTCGACAAAATGAAGTAACAAATTTCTAGTAAGCTATTTTAACTCTTTATTTTGACCATTTCATATGACAGCTGTAGTGCTCAAGGAGGCATATAAAAAGGGATGCAGAAATGCTTGTGTTTTGTATCATAGCTGTTAAGATTTGCTCACAATTTAAGACTTTGTGCAATGCACTTAGCTGATGTCCTCACAGCTCTGCTATTTTAAAACAATGCAATGGACTTACAGTCTCCAGTTTATCTTTGGGTGCTTCAGTATTAGGTAATACTTGCATACCTCAATGAGATTAAATTTACTCTTCACCCAATCCCTTCAGAACAAGAATTTCCTTAGAAAGCTTTGAAGCAGTTGCGCCAGATTCTGAGTTTGGATTTTACCCATTAATTGACCAGAAAAACTTAGGGAAACTCAGAAGTCTGTGATTAGGGAGCAGTTGGCAGAACTCATTGGAGCATGAAGTGTGATAGATGCCTGCCCAAGGTGATGGATGGTGGTGGTCCATGGACCACCAGAGAGAACTTTGTAGATTACAGGTGGCTTTCAAGCCACACTTTGGGAATCATTTGCATAAGCAAACTTTGATTAAGTGTGTATATATGTGTCTATACATCAGCTAAGAACAGATGTGATTTATTGACCAAAAGAACAGCTGGGAAAAGCTGTGTCCAGCCAGATGCATTGTCCAAAGCATCTGGCCTCCATAAGGGCCCAGACTTCCGGGCTCTCATACTCCGTTGATTATTCTGCATTATGTGAGAAGCTAACCACAGCTGTACAATCTAATTCCTCATATTTCTACCATTAGTTTGGGTATGGACATAAATACAGATTCAGCCATTACTATTTGCCTGCATTTGGCTCTACTCAGCACCACTTGCAGATTTTAAAGGAAAATATATGAATGTCTAGGCTTTGGTCATTGCAGGAAGTCTTTGCTAGAAGGAGTTTCTCACCACCAGCAGTTTGGCTCAGTTCAGTGGCCTCTGGGAGGCTGCTCCATAAGTTGAAGGTTTTTACACTTTACCTCCCATGAACAAAGGGAAAAATCCCAGCAGGGCTGCAGATGTCACCCAGCTACTGTGGAAACTAAAACCCACCTGCACTTGTTTTCATGGCAAAGCTCTTGCCTACATCACTGCTCCTAGACTGCCTGCACTAAGCTGAAGCACTAATGCCCCAAAGGGGAGCACACTTGAGGCATTTTGGTCATGTCAGCTTGTGAAGGTTTAAGCAGAGATAACTGGGGGGGAAAGTAGGATCCTGCATAGTTCAACTCTGAAGCAGGAAGTTTTGTGAGAGCTTTTCTGAGAGGTGCACTGGCAGCAGAGGGGAAAAAAATGCCAGAAAGAAAGGACTCTCACTCCAAAACAAGCTGTATCTGGCTTGCACAGGAAGGTTTTTTTTTCATTTCTAGGGATTGTAATGCAATGCACAGTGATACAGGGTTTTGTTACAGGAGGAGGGAGGAGAGCTGAAGAGTGTGTTTATCACAAGGAGCCAAAACCAGAGGATTAAGCACATCCTCATTTTTTATAGTGCCTTCCAAGATGTGCACAATTCTGATCTGCTATATCCTGTTGGATCACACTTTGACATTGGAACCATAATATTGGAAAGAAAACCCAGAGAAATTAATAATAAGTCATAGCTTTAATGAAAACCAAAGATAGAGTTCTATAACAGGATTAAATGAAAATCATGTCTGAGATAGATGACAACTTTTTAACTTCACTTCTGGCTTTTGCAAGATATCATTTATTTCCCTCCCCATAGCCTGTTTGGAAGCAGCAACATGCTGAATTCATGTACTATTTGTAATGTGGAAGCAAAATTCAAAGGTTTTGGTTTGTTTTTTTTTTCTACTTCCAAACTATACTAAGGCAGGAAAAATGGGCATTGCTTTGATTGTAACGTTTGAGTCTGGAATGATTTTTGCTATGGCACAGAGAAGGAAAACCACAAAACTCTACCCATTTAATATTATATGCCTAGACACTATATTAATATAGAGCATGGTAAGAAAAGTGGGTGGTTTCAAAAGAAAAATTTTAATGACATTTTAATATGTAAGGGTACTGTACCATAATCACTTCCTGAATTTTAAGGAAATATGAATTTTATTTCTATTTGCATAGGTAACAGTCTTTTAAGTTCTGGTTTGCAAGTGCTGCAAACCAGATGTGCATTCTTCTTTCTAAATGTAATTAGAACATAGAGCATCAACACTTAGTAGGCCTTTTTAAACACTGCTTTTGGAGTTACACAAGGTAGCTCAATACATAATTATATAATATGAGCTTTATATTTAATATGAATTTAATATATTTAATATGAGCTATTATATAATATGATTTTCCCAGAAAATTTTGGTCAGCCACAGTTATCAGTCATTACCCACAGAGAGGCAGAGTGAGCACATTGGCTGTGTATGGAACTTTTTTTCTCAATGTCTCTCTCCCATTCTAACTCAAATCCTGGGGACCTGTGTGCTCCTACACATCCAGCTGCTGCAGGGACTGACACAGAGCAGCCATTTGCACATGAGATGGATCACATATTTATATGCTTTTTCTGGGTTATTGGCACAGTGAAAGTTTTCATTAAAAGCAGTGGGGCAGGGTCATTTACTTGTCTTCCTAAAATCCATCTGGACTTTCTATTAGAGAGGAACAAGTTATTTAAAGGCTAGCCTTACACTGAGAAGTAAGCTTCTTTTTTCCTTCCTTTTCAGAAAAAGTGAGGAGTGAAATATCTCACATTTCATTTTATTGCAGGATATCTCAACGTGCTCTCTAATAACCGTTGGCGTGAGCGCTGGTGCAGAGTGAAAGACAATAAACTCATTTTCCACAAGGACAGGACTGATCTGAAGACACACATTGTTTCTATCCCACTCCGTGGCTGTGAAGTCATCCTGGGGCTGGATTCGAAGCATCCCCTGACCTTCCGCCTGCTCCGCAACGGGCAGGAGGTCGCTGTGCTTGAGGTACAATAGCTGTGGCTTCTAGGAACTCCCACAAGGTGAATTAGAGAAGAATTCATACAACCTGCATCTGTCCGTTCAGAAAAAAATCTTAGGAGTAATATTATTGCAGAGCTGAACAATAAATATTGAGAGGAGAGAAAAAATAGTAAGCGTTGTACTCAAAGAGAGAACTGAGATTAAATGTAGTTCAGAAATCTTCTCAGTAAAATACTTTTATCTTCACTGACCTCCCCTTCACCTGGTACTAAAATATCCCTTTGCTCATTCTGTGTCTGTATTATGTATTTAAGAAAATGCAGTGTGCCAGCAGCCTGGTGTGTCTCGACTCTCCTCGTGTGCAAACACCTTTATCTCTGTTAGGTGGGTCAGGCTTTTTATAGGGACTTTATTCATCATCTTTTAAAACCTGAAATGAGCAGACACTTAAAGGCAAGTATAATGAGCAGGAGGCAGCCTTTGCTTTCAGTGGCAGGACATGCACTTTGACTGCTTTGGGTTTCTGACTACAAGTCATGTCTCCTATCCTTGCAGCCAGGCCTGTTATCTGAGAGCAGTTCAGAGAACTCGAAAATCTAGAAAACAGCTCAAGGAGCTGTGAAAAGAAATTAAATACATAAAAATAAGAAATTTAGAAACCACTAAATTTGTTAATGACAAGTTGTCTTTCCCCCACTTCTTCTATCCAGTATTTGTTTTGCTGCTGTTTAACTTTTGAATTGGTGACTTGAAGCAAAATACGAAAAAACACTAATTATTTTAATAGTATTACTGCTTTTACTTGTGTTATCAGGAAGATGAATGCTATCATCTAGAGAAATGTAGCAGATTTTTTCAAAAAGCAGTATTAAAATCTCTTCACTATTTTGTTCCCTATTTCCTCTTGTTTCTGTTTAACAGCAGCACTTTCTTCTCAGGAGTCATGCTATCTAAAAATACACCAGCCTAACAAAGGAAAATAATTACGTTAAAGCTTTCAATATTCTGAAGTCTAAAATAAGCATTACTTGAATCAAAATCCAGTGGTCTTAAACAATTACTTTTTCTTCTTTTTAGTGGATTGCCCTCTCTGTATTACATCATAACTGATGAACACATAGTTTACTTAAAGTACCATCCTTCTAGCAAAGCAGATTTAATATGAAATCCTGGGCTTTTTAGGAGTTCAGCAGAATGAAACCAGAGCCTCTCATACAATGTGGTAGCAGTTTTTCAACGGAGAAGAATGCGCATTTTGCAATAATGCTCAGCCCAGTGGCAAAGCAAAGACCTGACCTACATTTTTGGCCTCTCCTCACAGGCCTCCTCCTCCGAAGACATGGGCAGATGGATAGGAATTTTGCTGGCAGAAACAGGATCTTCAACAGACCCTGGAGCTCTGCACTACGACTACATCGACGTGGAAATGACGGCAAGCGTCATCCAGGCTGCAAAACAGACCTTCTGGTGAGAGCTGTTCGCTACCTGCCTGCTTCCAGGGCTCTCAGGATTCATGTCCATGTATTAACTCCACTGCCAACACAGCTTATCAAAATCCACCTCCCCCTTTGCCAGATACTGAACTCCTGAAGTGTTTCAGCATTGCAGCATGTTAGTAGATGTGTTTATGATGTAGTGTTGGAATCCTGCTAAGTTCTGTAAAAGATGCAAGGCACTATGCAACTTTACCCAAATCTTTACTAATTTTTCTCAGTAAGTCCCCTTATCAAATGCTATAGTTTAATCTTCTATTTTGCCTAAAGTCTTAGAGCTATCCCTGAAGAGAACAAATATTCTGAAATATGCAGCTATGTAATTCACATTTATTGGCTGTATTTGCTGTACATATAGGGCATAATACAGTGTATTATTGATCAATATATGCTGCACACTCACAGTGTAAAACAAATTTAAGTCTTGGGGAGTCACATAATCAGTGTTTCCTTCTCAAGTTCTTTCTGATTAATTAAAAACTTTGTCAAACTCACCCCAGTTCAATTAATTTCTGGGGCTTAAAATATGAGGTGGAAATTGGGAAAGTGTCTAGAGGGTGCAGCATGGAAGCTGTTTAAATTGCTAATCAGTACAACGAATTCCCCATTTCTGATCCTGTGCTACAAGCATATGCATACTTAGCATATACAGTGATTTACATATTCAAATCATTTGAGGCATTAAAGCAGTCTTTGGTGGGAAAAGACCATCATTTTTCCTTGGCTAGATGAGGTTTTTAGAAACGGGAGTGAGGAAACAGTGAGGACAGGGGAATGCCCTGCTGCAGTTGTTCCCCATGGTCAGAAAGTGGGTGGCCTGAGAAGACAGCTGGCAAAGGCATCAACCCTCATCCCACTGCAAGATGACACTCCCTAGACTAATTTGGAATTTGTGTGACTTAATTCATTTAGAGAATCACAGCCCATCTGCCCATCATGGCTTTAAACAGATAGAAAATGGCAAGGAAAAAACAAAGGAAAAGAGTTTTGGAGTTTTCCAAAAGAAGATCCTATTGCCATTAGCAAGGTGCCAAGAGAAGTTAACAAGGGAAAACACCCAGCTTCAGAGTCCAGTTTGAATGACTTCTGATAGAAATCAAAGTGACTCAGTGTTAACACAAGCCCTGTTTTGTGAAAACCAAATAGTTTTGATAGAATTAAAATGCACTTAGAATGCAGACTTATGTTAATATTTGTTTAGAAGTTAATAGGGCTCAAAAGGTTTGTCCTGTGTTGACATGTATTTTTGCTTCAGTCAGCATCTAGCAGTAACCACATTTAAGAGAAATAGAATGGTAACCTTTTTCCCCTGAATTCTGCATGGCTTTCCTTTTCTGCACATATGTGGTACTAATTGGAGCCAAGTGAAAAAACATATGCAACCAGACCACATGTTACAAAGGAATGTCAAACAACTTGCAAAATAGCAGAATTTCCCTGTTAAGAATTAATTAAAATTCATTGGGTGTCCTTAAGAGCCTGTCAGGGCTTGCTGATAATCAATAGAGTAGCTGTCTGCTGATTTTCAGCTACTAGTGGAAAATGAGGAGAAATTACAATGATACTTAAATGTTAATGAACTACTACATTTGCCCTTTATAGAATGAATATCAGTATTCCAAATCAAGTGCAGTTATCATTAAAACTTAGTTTATCTCTCAGTCACTTTACATTATTGGTTATTCACTTACTAAGACTGATGCTTTGCAAAGCTGTCAGCTCCTCATTAATAGTCCCATCAATTTCCTTCGTGTAAATCATTAGGTATGGGGGAAAAGCTGAAGAAAAAGTGCTTCCAGGCAAGTTTCTCCATTTTCCTTCTAGCAGTTTCCAAATGCAATTAACTTGCATGGATGCACCTGAAAACATGATTAATGAAGATTATTGAAATATTGATTATGAATTGTTTGCAACTACTGAGATAAATCCTGCCTTCCTTTGGTGGTGGAAATAGTTACTACAGGTGCATCATATGCCACTAATGAATATCTCAGTTTTCAGACATGGTTATTATATATTGTTGTAATTGGAGCCCCTTAACTAGAAAGAAATTGAGCAATAACTCCAAGCTCAGTTCTTCAGACCAACGAGAAACACTTGTGTAACGCTCTTCTTTAAGAACAGTAAACAAACACAGCCCTCTAATAATGCCTAACAAGGTATGAGTTACGATAAAAAACACTTTTATAATGGAATTTTCCTTGGGCTTTTCGCTGTTAGTTTGTTTGAAGTAGGGAAAGCTTCTGTCTAATGGTTTTTCCATCCCCACACTGCCCTGAAAGGTTCACACCGAGCTGGGCAGGTTTGTCCCTCCTGTGAGCCCAGGTTTCCCATGGCTCAGGTGAGCCCCAGTTCTCCCTCTGAATGAGAAATTCAATGGACTCATGTTATTCCAAAGCCAAAAGAAAGCAACTGTTGAAACCACAGCATTCCTGAGCTCCTGCCAGCGCTACAGAAGACCCTCTCTGCTTTAGCAGTGCTTTATCATATTTTATGAATGTCAGCATAGACTCTGAATAGTTCCATTGTTTGGGATGGAAAACATTGTTTTCCCATTCACGTACACCTGAAACTGTGGGAATGGAATTATTTTGGATCTCACTCTGTACCTTATTCAATTCCAGCAGTTGCTACAAAGGAAAACTCTATCCCTTTAAAGTTTCCAGAGGACTCAGGTCCACCATGTGTAACAGAATGAGAATGAGCATATAGACTATTTGTGTCTACAATTACCCAGAGAGGGTTGGGAAGCATGGTGCCATAGCTAGCCAGAGGGTTGGGAAGCATGGTGCCATAGCTAGCCAGAAGTTCTGATATAGAAGAGAAGAATTCCCAGGTTTTGAGGAAGTAATTATTCAGGAAATTTTGATCAATATGTTAACTTGGATCTCATTGAAATTATGTGGGTTCTTCTCAAATTTTTGCTGGATTTTATTCTTGGTTCTCTCATTTCCTAAGTTTGCATCCCCCTGAGCGTGCATGCACACAGAAACACTTGCTTCTCCCCAGTGCAAAGCAAGGGAAATCTTCTGGGACCCTGTCAGGCTGGTGTATAATGGAGATCAGCAGGTTCCTATGTAAACAGGCCACTGAGCAATCACAGCTGTTGCCCTCCTGGCCTTCACACAGTCGTGTCCCCACAATGGAGAGCAGGAACATATGCTGTGTTATTGGCTGTAGCAGCTATGTGTGGGTAGCAAAGAAAAACTGCCCTGCAGAAAGTGAGCAGCTCTGTGCTTCCAGGCTACATGATCAGGCAGGGGGAATGTACCACTGAATCATCATGTAGGCTTAGGTTTAAGTGCTGGTTTTTATTATTTTTACTTTGCATTATTCAGTTTCATGAACAGGCGGGTTATATCTACCAATCCGTACCGGGGAAGCGCTGCCAATGGCTACGCCTGTCCGAGTGGAATGGCACTTCATTACGATGATGTTCCCTGCATAAATGGATCGGTAAGAGCTGAATTTGCACAGAACAAATGGTTTGCATGTGTTGAATGAGAGGACATCTGAAAATTATATTGTCTAAAGATCCTCAATGGGCAGTTTCCAGATGAAATCATATTTTTTTGATTGGGGGTTGCAAACTCCTCTCACGCCTACAGAATATAAGGGCATGGGACATATTGTTTACATTAACCTGCATGTGAGCCAGTGTGCATTTAGAAAGCAGTTGCCTGTTGATGATTTGTTGCCAAGTCCTTGAATGCAATATTCACTTGAGGAGGTATTTTTTTAGATCACATGGAAAAGGGCAAAATTAAGGATTTAATTACACCTGAAACTTTTTGGTGTCTGTTGAAAAACACCAAACCCCAAACACTTCTCAGTCCCTGAGGCTGCATTCCTGAGGACAGCAGGTGCTGCTCATCCCAAAGGAGAACCACAGGGGTCACTTCCATCTTCATAAATTGCAGAGCTCATTGAAGGCAGATCTGTAATAGGATTTAACATCTAGTGCTGCTAAACAATAGCAATATGGGGTCCTCAGGAAGATTCACAGGGGAGCTACAGCTCATGTCAGCTCTTAATTTGGGCTGTTGTCTAAAGGCCACGCTGAGGGGAAACTCAAGAGAAATTAAGAGTTTCAAAGTGTCAAATGGTCCAATATGTCAGTAATGTCTGAAAGAAGTCCCCTCTTGGAAGCAGTGCATGATCATTTGTGTTGAGAGCAGTCCCTGCATAGTTCTTGGGTGTGCTCATACCTTTGTTTGAGTAGTGTACTGCTGTGGCCAGGATGGGTTAAGGAAGGATATTTAGCAGTCAGATTGGTTTCTTTTAAGGTTAATCATATGAATCACTGGAGTACTGTTGTTGAGCTTTCCATTTTTCTAAAAATTAAAAAAAAAAGAAAAGAAAAGAGAGCTATTTTAGTCCTTGCAGCTCAGAATAATAGATCTCCATCAAATAAAATGTGCTAGCATACCAGCAGCTGATATTCATGGGAAAAACATGCAGCCTAAAGAAACTTTTAAAAAAAACAAACTAGAAAAATCTTGGCTTCTGATAACTGCTAGGCTGTATTACTTTTAACAACTCATGTACCAGATGTAATCCTGTGGATTCATCTGTGTAACCTGTGAGTATCCCCCCGTTAACACAGTCTGCCTGTGCTGCCTTGCTGCTCAAGCCACCAGCTGAAGGTGCAGACCCTGAAACAGCAATGATGATAGGCTTGCTTATACTAAGGAACATGCTCAGGGCTGAGGCTGTGAGCCATGGAATGCAATGCTTGCTTTCCACACAGTGTTCTCCCCACACTTTCTAAATAGTTTAAGTGTAAGTGTCTGCTCGCTAAGCACTGAGGGCTTGCTGGAGCCCAAAGCATCACTAATGTTTTAATTTCACTTGCATGGTGCTCTGTTCACTAACTGCCAAGGTGTGTGTGTTGCAGTGGGAACCAGAAGATGGCTTTCCTTCTTCTCGTAGCAGGAACATTGGAGAAGAAATGCTTTATGATAACGCAGGCCTGTACGATAACTTGCCGTCTCCAAAAATCTTTGCGCGCTATCCGCCAGCTGACAGGAAAGCCAATAGGTTATCTACTGACAAACTCTCCTCTAACCATTACAAATACCCTGTCTCATCCAATCTGTCTTCTGCTCAGTCTGTCACTAATACCTCTGCTGTGGGGAGGGGATCTGGCTCGCAGGTACTGTACTATTTAATACTTAACAAACCTTTTTATTTGTTGGCTGTTCTGTTTATCTGGTTGTTATCTGAAGGGCCTCGTAGAGTCTCTTAGTGTTAGCACTGAAGTGCCTGGAGTTTAGCTGTGAACCCACTGCAAAAGAAGCAGGATTGCAAAGTTATGAATTCCAATGTGGAAATAGTGGTACTTGGGAAAGGCTTTGTCCACCTGTTCTTGATGATTTACAGATTGTGAATAATAAGAACAAAAATAAGTGTGACCTTCCACACTTAACCTGAATGCATGTCTAGCTACCTTCTGGTTCCTCAGGCAGAGCTGTCTTCAAAAAAATCCCCAAAAATATAGGTGACATATGACCTGACTGACAGCAAATTTGAATCTTTAGAATTGTACTAATCTATATATCAAGCATACTGTGGTTATACATTTTTGTGAATATGCATAAATATAAAAACTTGATATTATATATTTAGTAAATTATGTTGTATATATTCATATATACCATCTTTATATTACTGCCTGTTATTTTCTCCCTCATAAAAAAAAAAATAAAATAAGCCTATGTCTCTGCTGCTTTCTGAGGGTGGCTACAGGCTTTTGTACCTCAAATAGGAACCTACAGAGCAGATGAAGTCCTCTGAGCTCAGCATTGTAGCAGATGGGCACAACCCAGCAGGGGAGCAGAGCAAGCCTTGCTCACAGCCATGCCAGGAACCTTCTCAGAGCCCTTAGCTGGGCTCTGAAAGGTGGTCATTGGCTTAAACCAATATATCACAGTGTGAATATTTCACAGTGATGGGTGGTTTTCAATCTAATCTGACATGGAACAGTTAAGATAAATGTTTCCCTTGTATGAAGTTCCTGTCATACTGTGTGTTAACTCACTTAACCCTTACAAAAACCTTATATTGGAATATTAGAATTCAGTGCAGTTGCAGAATTGGAGGTGGACATGAGCAATACATTACTGCAGCGGCAAGCTTCTCAGTGCACTCCCAATTCAGTCCTCACAAACTTTTGGAAGCAGGAGAGCAGAGCATGGCACTCATTCCCTCTGCTTGGCTGGAACATCCTCCATGGATACACTATGAGTAGTCAGGACAGGGTTATCCTCCCAGGGTTCAGTTCATTCCCGTGAGTCCTAAATGGAAACCCCTTGAACATGAGTTGTTCTGTTCCTGGTAATCTTCTAAGCCTGTCTGGCCATTATGAGAGGGTTCTTTAAGTAAGAAAAGCTTTTAAGTAGTAGCTAGAAGGTGTATAAAGGGAAAACGATATGTTAACTCTTAGCACTTAAAAACATGTAATAATGTAATATTGTTTAAAAAAAATACCTACCACAAGGATGGAAAGGTCATAAGTAAATGAGAAACAATGTTGAATTTTTGTGTGGCAAACCCTGGTGGGTTTTACTGTGTGAAATTAACTGAAAAACTTGTTTTTCCAGAGTCTTTACAGTAAAAAATTTTCAAAGGTACATTTTTTTCTGCCTTGCAATTAATACTGTAAACGGCAGACTTCTGAATATATTGGAAAACATGATGCCACCAGAAGCAGGGAGTTCATCCCCTTGTTATCCTGTGATTGCTGGCACAGCTCCCGCTGAGCCGGCAGCTCCCAGAGGCATCTCTGGAGGAAGCGCCGTCTCCAGCTCAATCAATGTGCTCTGTTAAGGCTGTCTGATGCAGCAAGCAGCTTTCTGTCAAGCTCTGCCCTTGATGAAAGGGTGAAAGTGATGCCAGTGGCACGGGAATAGCTGGAGTCCATTTGTACTTTTGTTTTCAAACAGTTTAAAGGCAAGAAACCTCCTGTGACTACTAATGGGATCACCGGAAAAGCAAGAACCTTAAATAGCCAGCCGAAGAAATCTGAAACAGTTTCCAGTGTGAAGCGCACTGCATCCAGTAAGTGTCTGTCCTCACTGCTGCCTCACATGGGAGTGGAGTCAGGAGGGTGCCCAAAAGAGCTCTTGTCTTTGCAGACAAGGTAAAGAACCAGTGTGGTTTTTGTGTGGCTGAGAGCCCAAGGAGGAGATGCCAAGACTTTGAATCAATAGAAGATAGATTTGTGACTGAACTCCAGCCACACCACACAAGAAAAGGGTGTCATATGGGAGAATGGTACGCATGAAATGTGGACCTGTGGCTTCTGCAAAGTCATGAGGGCAGCAGGGGAAAAAAGAAGGCTAATGCTTCCTCATTTGGAACAGAGGAATTCTATCTTCCTGTTGGAAAAGGGGGATGAGAAGCTGGTGTAGACGTAAGAGCACTGTGTTGCTCTTTTGTTGTATCAAAAGTGGACTTACTAATGAAGTCTTAAGATGCTGTGGGTTTAATGGCAACAAGAGAAATCTGTGTTAGATTTCAGGACAAAATTAAGTAGCTTCTAACTGACTAAAACTGGGTTAACACCTCTTTGTCAGGAATGATTTCATATCACAGAGTGTGCCTTCAGATATGTGACAGATGAAGTGATCTCTTAGCTGACCTACCTTCTTTGAGTCTGCAACTGGAGCAGAGGTATAGAGGGGGCTGTGATATCAATCAGGCCACAAATATATGTGAGCCATGAAATGAAAGCATTTGTATGGGAGATTAAAAAAGAAAAAGAAAGCTGTCAAGAATCAAAGAAGTGTGAACATCTTTGTATTCTCTTATGTAAGGTGAGAAAAGGTGTGCACTTGAAGTAGGAATGAAAGCCAGGCAAAAGGCCAAGCAGGTGGTTTTTCCTCTGACCCTTCCAATTAGAAACAAATGGTTCATAGCTAGAGAGGAGGCTCCTTTCTATCTTCTCAACTACAGAGAAAGGCAAGGCCATTTTTCAAAACCTGTGTGCTGTAAGATAACTGGCTTTTCTCATTTTCCTCATGTAAATATAAAGAACAAACTCTCTCCTGAATCATTGTTGTAGCTGTGCTGCAGAACTTGGCAGAAGTCATGGACCTTGAGAAAGAGCCAGTGGAAGAGGAATGCCAAACCTTTCTTTCAAACCATAGAATTATGGAATGGTTTGGGTTGGAAAGGAGCCTTCAGGATCATCTAGTTGCAACAGCCCTGCCATGGGGAGCCATGACATGCTTCGTGTCGTGTTTAGTCTCAGGGAGTAGTTCGGAGTTGTACTGTTAGTTTAAATCCTAATTAACTACAATCTGATACATGCAGATGCAGAGCAGTACAAATATGGCAAGAATCGTGTGGAGGCAGATGCAAAGAGATTACAAAGCAAAGAGGAGGAGCTGCTAAAGAAAAAAGAAGCCCTCCGGAATAGGCTGGCCCAGCTCCGGAAAGAAAGAAAAGATCTGCGTGCTGCCATTGAAGTCAATGCTGGTAGGAGGTGCTTTTTTTGTGCTGAGTTCTCACCTGAGGATTGGACTTTATTGTCCAATCAGCTTTGTATTCTGTGCTGAAGACAGTAGCCTAAACAAGTTTTGGTTTCAATGCTGAGCAATACTCTGTAATGTCTGTATTTGCTTTCCATAAAGATACAAAATGTATAAGATAAAAAAACATATGTGTAAGTGTATATACTTATTTTATATATGCATGTGTATGTATACTCATGCCTAAGGAATTACACTGGTGAGAACTTCAGATAAGCAGAACATGGGAATAATATTTTTGTCACTAGCTAATTATATTTTCATGAAACAGAAAAACAAAAAACAATACTGATTTGAAACCAGACTAGATATCAAGGAATGTCACTTGATAGAAAGCATTTGATTTATGCTACTAAACTTTTTACTTTTTTACGAAAAAAGTGTTTTATATAGAGTACCTATTTTTTTTTTCATGTCACTGATTTGTAGTGACCTTGTTTCTGTAATTTTTTGGAATAAAAAGAATTCTCTTAAGTGCCAATTAAGTATCATTGAAATTATAATATTGCTGTGAATGACAGGCAGGAAGACCCAAGTGATTCTTGAAGACAAGTTAAAGAAGCTGGAAGAGGAGTGCAAGCAGAAGGAGGCTGAGCGTGTAAACCTGGAGCTAGAACTGACTGAGGTGAAGGAGAGCCTTAAGAAAGCCTTGGCTGGTGGCATCACACTGGGCTTGGCTATTGAGCCCAAATCAGGAACATCAAGTCCACAGGTATGCAAAGCCATTGAACGTGCCAATCCCAGTACCATGGGCTGGAGTGTTCAGCCTTCCCAGCTCCAGCAAAAATGAGTAGGAATTGACAGTTTATAATGGTCTATTAACCTGAGAAATAAGAGCAGAATTAAATGCCTTTGTGTGTTACTTACATTTCCTACAGCAGCAGGGAGCAGGTAGACATGGAATGACATGCAAGTGTTAGGATATTGTGCAAAAGTCAACACCTTGTCCTTGTCCTTGGTGGTTGTAGAGGTACAGGAACTGAGACATTGCTCCAGCCCAGGGAGCACCAAGTCATCCTGCAGTGGTGGAGACCTGCTTGTGCTGGTCCCCTGTCAGCTGTGTCACACTTTGCAAAGGCTGTATCCCACACCTTCAGGGGGAGCTTGGCAGTCCCAGCTTGTGCTATAGATCTTTGTCTGAAGCAGCCATCACAGAAAGCCCAGACAGGGATACATCAATTCCTCTGGATTATCCATAATTGTTTAATCAGATCTGTAGTTTAACAGAAAAGAAATTTCAGTTTTCATCACAGAACACACATGCACGTTTTATTTCTTTTGTTCTAATCTATTTTTCATTAATTCATCACTATTATGAATAGAGTGTTTTCAAAAAGGAGTTCTGCAGTTCTGAATTTAAAGTAGAAAATATTGCATGTGTGACTACTTGGAAGAAACTCAATATAGGCTTTTCACTCTTTACTAGTCTCCAATTTTCAAGCACCGAACTTTGGAGAACTCTCCAATCTCCAGCTGTGACACCAGTGATACTGAATGCTCCATCCCTGTGAACAGCGCAGCAGCTCTGAAGCGACCTCCCTCATCAAACAATTCTCCATGTCGAGGCCATGTCCTTCGAAAAGCAAAGGTGAGAGATGTCTTCATTTTCTTTTTCTCTGCTTTTTCATGCTTTCTTGCAAAGTCTTATTTAGCCTTAAAAAGAGAATATCTAAATTATTCATATTACTACATAAATACTGCTGGTTTGGGGAGCCTTTTGCATAATAATTGGTGAGTAGTTTGGGAGACAGATTTGACTTTTCTCAGATTCCATGTTTTTCTCTGTTGCTTTATGGATTTATTTTGCAAAGTAAGTGGTCTGTGGTGTAGACAGTCCATGTGTCCACTACTCTGTGTATCAGAGAAGTGGTTAAAAGAGCACTGTTACAGTAAGTGATTAAAAATGGCTCGAGATTGGGTCTGATCTTTTCCAGCCACTGCAATAACAGAATACATGTACATTATAATTATTGACAATGTGTTGTGCAAGGATCTACTTAATGTACATTCAAAGTAAAACTTGAATTACTTGAATTTTGTCTTGCGAATATCAGGCTGAAATTTGCTGTCCTCTTGTTACAGTTTGCTAATTTTTGTGGTTTAGTTTAAATGGGATTTGTATGACCATTCTTCTGGGCTGAATTTGCTGGCAGCATGAGCATGTGGGCAGCACATAACCAAGGGTGACAGTAATAGTGTTGGGCCCAAGCTTTTGTTTATTTAGTAGTTCACTTCTAGTTGTAATTGTAAGCAGCAATAATCATAAACACTTGTCATTCATGAAGGGTATTTCCTTTTTTCATTAATGTCTTCTGTACTGGGATTTCTTGAAAACTTGAAAAGTTTTCAAGTAACTTTTGTTACATGTATTCATTGATTATATATATTTCCAGTGCCTGGAACGTAAATGTAGTAGATACTGAAAATTCAGCATCTCAAAAACTTATTTTATTATTAAATTATCACAGTATAATTATTTCTCCTGCTATACCATTTTTGAGAGCTTTCTCACCCTTCTACCCCCTTTCCATGGACATCAACTGCTTTTTCCTGCCAGTTTGCCTGATTCATTTAAATCCATCTAATTACACTCAACATAATTACACTCAGGTTTCAGTTCTGATGAACTTTGAAGTTTGCAACTTGTGTTTCAAACCTGAAAACGGATTTATGTGCTCTAAAGCTTATCTGCATATTCAAATTATACCCTAATTTGTCCCATAATATCATCTCTAACTGTGTACTTGGTCTTAGATGTGGATGTTAGCTCAGCAGTACTCAGGAAATGTGCTCCAGCAGAACACAGTCCTTGCAGATGGGAGCATGAATTTGTGCTGGACAGGCACATTAAATCCAGCCATCTAATTGTTACAGCTGGAGAAACAAGGGCATTATAAAAACCTAAACATTTTTGGTGTAAAGAATACCTTCTTGTAGTACATTTTCATGGTCAGCATATATCATACAGGGAAAATCCTGCTGCGTTGTTTGGTGCCGGTGTGCTTTGGGATGGCACAATAAGTTAGTCAAGCTTTTTGACAGAGAAATCTTGGATATAGGATTAGGTGAATCAAAAAGGAAACAAAGCAACTAAGCATATTTTTCCCATGCTGGGAAAAACATCTCAAAGTATCAAATTCAGCTTTAACAGCTCTTTCCCTAAAACCTCACACACTAAATATTAAGAGTGAAATTTTGCTGAATTAGATAGTGCAACCCAATCTATTCCCAGCCCATTGGCAGCCACAGCTGCCATCAGATGCACATCTGCAGCACTCCCCACGCTTGGGGGTGGCTGTGCACATGCGGGGGTGGAATTTGGCTCTCAATTCTTTTGGCCTTTTGCAGTTGAGAGTGAGCCCAGGCCTTGTAGATGTGGCTCAGGAGAGGGCGTCACAAGTGAGTATCCCAGAGCAGAACTTGGCTCTCCACACATGGATGTGAGTGCAGTTTGTGGGAGTGAAACAGATCTCACGTCTGTGCTTGCACTTGCAACTTGCAGCTGACACATCTCCCGGTACTGAGAGGGAGTTGTATAAACATTCAAAATGTCAGAATGTGTTTTGTGTATTTGAGTGCACTGAGTGCCTCCCTTCCTCCCCTTTTCCTTGCACGGAGGGTGCTGAGCCCATCACCTGCCAGCCTCAGCCTCGTGTCACAGCCCTGCTCACCAGGCAGCAGCGCTGTGCATGTGCTGCTGCTGCTGTGCTGCTGCTGCTGTGCTGCTGCTGCTGTGCTGCTGCTGCTGCTGCTGCTGCTGTGCTGCTGCTGCTGTGCTGCTGCTGCTGCTGTGCTGCTGTGCTGCTGCTGCTGTACCCTGCACCCCTGGGCCTGTGAGGGGCACCTCAGGCACCTGGGACAGCAGCTTTGGAAGCTCTGCCACCATAAACTTTCTCCTCTCAGATGCACTGACATTAGAAGGAAATACAGAATGAGCAGTAAGGCAGATCTAGTGTTAAGTGTAAGAAGGAATAGTAATTTGGGGATTGGCTGTTCAGGATATACACTATACATGCACACAAACATGCATGCATAAATTTGAATTTTTTAACTTTTCTCTTCGCAAGTATCTTTAAATTTTTTTTAGAAACTTATTATGCATATTTTTAAGCAGCCAGAAGGCATTTTAATTGCAATTTTGTCTAATCTGTACTTGGCTAGAAATGGAGACTCTAATTAAAATATGGAAAACAATATTCTGTGTCAGTAGTCCTAGAGAAGTAAAACAATTCAAATATCCTTGCTGTAGAGCAATTATTTAAACATTTCACATGTTCATTCAAATATAAAATTAGTTTCTAAACCAAATTTTTATGTGCAGCAAGAAAACTGAAGTTGGTATTTCTAATTTGTTTCTGAATCTAGTGGGCTGGTGAATGTCAGCATCTTACATCTTGCTTGTGTTCTAGGACTGGAGAAGAAAAGGAGCTGTCCCAGTTTCCCAGCTCCCAGTCAGGCTGTCATTGTTGACTTAGACATTCTTTCCTTGGTGTGAACCTGCAGGAGCAGTGGAAAGAAAGAAAAAGTTCTTTTTGCACCTGCAAAAGAAGCTCCTACTTTCAAGGCTTATTTAACACTTCAAAAAATCCTCCTCGCAGTTGCTTAGCCAAGGACTTCCTTTATACCTTTGGTAGCATATCCACAGAGAATATACATTTAATAGAGTTTTTAAAGTAATCTAATTTTTGCCAGTACTGTGCTTTACCTTTTGAATTACCTTAATTTTAATTAAAACTGAATATTTAAAATACACTGAATTTTAGTCAAAGTACCATCTAAACGAAGAACACAAGTTTAGAAACAAATTAAATTATTGTCTATCTTTAAACCCAAGGGGTTGTTTTTCTTACACTGATAAAGCAGCCATCAGCTGTAACCTTTACTGTTACTTTACAACAGCTGAGAGGTGTCATGGTCATACAGCTGTTCAGCCAAACTAATGCTATTACTCCTTTCAGCAGCAGAAACAGCTATTTACATTGATAAGTAATGGATTTCAGTCTGAGCTCTTAAATGCTGTGGAATGAGTGTTAAATTCAGGAATTCATGTTTGGAAGCCAAGTCCAAGCAGGCTGCCTGCAGAGTGTCTCTGCAGAGTAGATGGGTAAGAGAGGAATCTGCAGCCCCCAGTGCCTGGTGAGGAGCAGCTGAGCAGTTGCTCCAAGGGCATTGCTGGAGCCACAGGCCACCCTCTGTGGATCTTCTGTAGCTCCTGGTGGCTGTAAGGGTGTGATTCTGGGAGTGGTGCAGTGTGCATGTCCTGAGCCCATCCTGCCTCAGCCCTTCTGTTCCTGTGTACTGTCAGGAAATGCTGTAGGTGTCTGTCGATAGCTGCAAGTTTTACTGAACCGGGTGTTCAGCTGTAGCAATCTCATGATTTTCACTTGTGTGGCAGAAGAAATGGAAGTACCTTGCTCTGAGACATAGGAACAAAAGCATTATAGATTACATGTTTTGCTGAACATGTTTTCCTTGTCCTCAGCTAACAGGTAGAGAAACTGAGGCACAGATAGTCAAAGCAATTTCTTTTAACTTGCCAGGCAATGGCTCAATTTGGATTATTTATAAGGGAAACAAATACAATGCAAACTGGCTTGTTTTTCTTAACTCTGCCTCTTAGTCTCTCTGCTAAGTTGCTCTTTTTAGCCGTAGAATTATGTGTTTGCCATGAGTCTTATAATAAAAAAATTGAAGAGCAGCAAAGCAATCACTTGGTGTCAGCTCTGAGAGATATTGAGGGCTTCCTGCTGTCTCTCACAAGTCATTTAGAGAGCCCTGTGTGCTTAAATCAGCCTCTCCTCTCCCTTACTCAGGGACAGCTGAGTGCTTTACACCAGCTGTGGGGTGTGAATTGCTCCAGAATACAAATAGGGTTTATTTGCACAGCACTAGAAAATCGGTTGCTGTATATATGTATAGTTGTGGAAGGGGGGATGCTGTGCACAGACTATCAGAACATACTTGTTAGCATTCCCTAATTTGTGGCTGAATCCAGCAAAGTTAATGGAAAAACTGTTATTGACTCCAGCTGTGGCTTAACAGATACGATGACATCAGTGAAATATCCTGATTTCTTTTAACATTTTCTGTATCTTTTTTTTCCCCCCTTTCCAGGAATGGGAGATGAAAAATGGAACATAAACATAGCAAAGCCACTCACTTTCCATAAAGGCCTTACCTACTACAGACCAAGACATAGGCTGCAAAGGACTCACCTGAAAGGTCACATCAAGTGATAAAACATAAGAAGTTTTATAACTCTGTTAAGTTAATGGTAGCTTGGCGCTAATTTGCCTGTATTCCCTCTACTGTATTGCTGTGTAACTACGTGTGCCCCTTTTTATTAGCTGTAACTCCTTGTTTCCAACTTCACTGGTAAAGAAAATGAAAACCAAACAAACCCAACCACAGGAATTAAAAAGGAGCATAAAGTCACAGTTGAAAGTTTGCTTTGCTGAGCCAGCAAAGAACCAGCAGTGTTAATTACAGTGCATCAGACGGCCAGAACACTGCTGAAGACTGGTGTGAAATCTTGACTCTCACAGGTTAAAACTGCCTTCTGGACTGTGCCACAGGGCAGGTGTAACTCCTCAGCAGAGGCTTTGCTGGTGCTGCTCACATGGCAAAACCAAACTGAAGAGATGTGCTCGCAGAAGCAGCAGTGCCTGCTCGGCCCAGGAGCTCTGCACGCCCGCCGGGGCATGACAACAACCACTGGTGAAGCGTTTTTGGGATACTTTTTAGACAGATGCTTTTGTCATGGGGAGATGAAAAGCTGCCAAACTTCAAGACAGATGCGTTTTTCTGTGTTCTCTTTATTGCTGTTCTAAAGCACCGGTCATTTTCAAAGGTCATGTTCTTGAACTATGACTTGTTCCTGATTTTTTTAAAAGGCAAACAGGTATTTTTAGATACTGCTTCTTTTCTATACATTTTGAAGAAGTAAAAGGAAACAATTAAAATTAGTCCTCAACAGATAATGGCAACTCAGAATAACTTATGCAGTCAATCTTTTTTTGTTTTTTATAATGTAGTATTGTTAAACTTGAGATATAGAACACTGCTGTACTTAGTTTCCTTTGTCTTTTCAGACCTCAGCTATTATTTTTGAGGAAGATGGACTGAAAAGGTGATAATTTTCAGACTCTTTGATAAACAGTTTAACAAATAATTGGTGATTTTCTCAAACAGGACTCCATTTCTGTTTACTAGAAAACATCATCTTGCATTTTAGCCCGTAAAATTATAAAAATCTGTTTTCTTTGTCTCTCTCCATCCATGTAATTCCCAAGAAATTACATGCAGTAAATTGCCACTGAAGCCCTTAAAAATCTCAAGATTGGTTTTAAAAAATCAGAAGGGGGTTAGGGGAAGAATGTATAATAAGATGGCTTCTTTTAAGTTCTTTCTCTTTTGCTTTTTTTTAGGCCTTTGGAGAGCTTTCAATCATACTCTCAAGATTTTTTTTCCTCCTCAACTGTGAGGAGTAGAAAATTAATTTTAAAAATTACCTCAAAATATGAGTAGTATTTTAATCACAGATGTTAGGGCTGGAGTCTTAATAATTAGTTAAGACTGCAGTTAAAATCACAGAAGTTGTAAAGACAGCAGTCATCAAGGATCCCTTTAGGACAAAGCCTGCAGATTATCTCTTACCTTTAGGAATGGGTGTGTGCAACTCCTGGGGGATCCACTGGGATTCTCAGCTGAGCTGGATGCCAGAGGACTTCCTGCAGGAGCTTGTGGGATTTGAAGGCACAGAGCTGTCAAAAGCTCCTGGCAGGAGACAGGGCTGTGTCCTGTTCCCAAATGCATTTAGGGCCAGGGATCCCCCTGACCTTGGCAGTGTAGAAATGAGGCCCAGCATGAGAAAAGGCTCTTTGCTTCTTGTGACTGTACTTAGTGCAAAGTGCCACAGGAATGCAGATACAGTAGGAAAGCAAGTGTCAGTGTGGTTTTCATTGAAAACACAATTTTTTAATTTTCGTTTAGGTCACTTATTATTAACTCTCTAACTAGAGGGCACATTCTGTACTGTATGACTATGGACTAAACAGCATCAAATGCCCATAAATAATAGCAGAAACAAATTTGAAGCAAAAGTAAGTTCATTTAGGCTTTTTATTTCAAATTAAGTTATTTATTTGTATATTTCAATAAATATTTAATTTATATCTGTACATATTTATAATGCAAATTAGGCTTCTAGTCAACGTTAGCAATGATGTAACAGTTGCCATTAAGAAGTGGTCCCACATGAAATAATGCAGAGTAGTCAAAAGCCAGATCAATTCTCTTGTTTACCCAATATTGGCATTGTCTCTTTCCACCCCCTTATCCCATGGTAAAAAAAAAAAAAAAAAGTAAAAAAGAAGAAGAAAAATTCCTTGGCAAGGACAGGTTTTAATCTCTGACTGAGGTAGAAGAGTGTAAATCTCTGCCCAGGCAAACAGAGTGTGTGGTGCAGCCTTCCTTCAGATATGCTGTAGGTGCAGGTCTCCCTCTGCACCTCCAGTACACAGGGCCCCCCATAGTGCACACAGGGCCCCCATAGTGCACACTGGGCCCCCATAGTGCACACAGGACCCCCATAGTGCACACTGGGCCCCCATAGTGCACACAGGACCCCCATAGTGCACACAGGGCCCCCCATAGTGCACACAGGGCCCCCATAGTGCACACAGGGCCCCCATAGTGCACCCAGGACCCCCATAGTGCACACAGGGCCCCCATAGTGCACACAGGCCCCCCATAGTGCACACAGGGCCCCCATAGTGCACACTGGGCCCCCCCATAGTGCACACTGGGCCCCCATAGTGCACACAGGACCCCCATAGTGCACACAGGGCCCCCATAGTGCCTGCTGCACAGGGGCTGCCACCTGTACTGAGCATCTCCCACTCCTCCAGCAAAGGCTGCACGAAGCCACCACTGCTTTAGTCTGTTCTATACAACAGCCAAGGTTTTGAAAGGAGGAAACCAAAAAGCTTGGGAAATAACCTCTCTATAGACCACTCTCAGTGCTGTGAAATGTACTCTGTTGCCTTGAATAGCACTATTGCTGCACAATTTTTTATAAAGAGCGACAGAGCTTGTATTTTCACTGTTTTTAGATTTCAGGTTCACCAGGCTAACTCAGCCCATAGAGCAGTATGACTTCTGTTTCAAAGGAAAACTTTTGTATTTTTAACCATTTCTATGTCTTCTATGAAAATGTTACACTTATGCTTCCTCACCAAATGCCTGTTACTGTACCAGGTGCTTTTTAAAATTTTGTTTGTTTGTTTGTTTTTTAATGGGTGATGCTTTTGTTTTTAAAAAACCCCAGCTCACAACTTTGGGGGATGAAGGTGTTTTTTTAATGAGATGATCGTGGCAATTTGATTTTTTAAATTGAGAATATTAATTTAGTATCAAATTTTGTTAGACACTTTCAAATTAATTGGCCCAGGGTGTATGGTGTATGATACTGTTCTCATATTAAGAATGTAATTATTTCCTTACTGTATTTTTTAAAAAACAAAATCATATTTAAAAAAAAAAAATCTCTGTGAAAAGCATGATAGAAACATGAAAAAAAAGGTTTTGTTTTATTTTTGTTATTGGATATGTTGGCAGTGCCCATTGTAATTGATTGTAAATATAGCCTTTCTACTGTATTTCTCAGTGTATTTAAGTTTTTTTGACACACATTCATGGACATTTCTGTTAAAAAAAAAAACAAAACAAAACAAAAGTCCAAAATAGACCCACCTTCAAATGTGTGTCTTAGTAGCTTCAATTAACTTTATGCCTTTCTAGTTTATTCTTCAGAAAGTCTTGCAAAGTGTGAAAAAAGACTGGCACCTGGTAGGTGCGACAGATCCGAGACCATTATTAATAAATTTACCTGTCAAAAAATGGATTTTCTTTGTTTTTTCTTGATGTTTGTCAGTTCAAGAAGCACCTTAAGGTGCTGAGATGGCACCTTAGCAGGTCTCCCACAATAGCTGGCCTCAACTGAGAACCATTCTCCTGAGCCAGGCAGTTGAAAAGTGTTTGGACATTATCATGAGTATTTTTTGGTATTAGTTGCATCCCCATTTAACTGAGTGTTGATCTCCTGCAACTTGCATGCAGCCTAAGCCAAGCATTCTCTTGGCAAAGGAAATGTGGAATTTGATGTATTGAGAGCTCATAGCACCACTTCCCATTTGCCTGTTGCAACTGCACCAATTTGCTTAGATGTCAATTCCACTAATAAATTATGCAATATGTAAAACGTTAAAAATTACCCCTAAGAAATGAAAGTGGATTTAAATTAAACAGAGCTGATTATCAGGCTACTTAAAGATGAATGTAGCAATTTCTTATAGATGACTGACAGATGAGATTGAGAAGTGTTAAGCTGTAATTACTCCTTGCTGCTTTTCGTAGATTTTTCTCTTGCTCCTGTTACACCACAATTATTACCAAATTTATAAAGTAGAAAGCTTAAGTAGAATATACATTTAATTTTCCCAAACTGAGGGAAGCAACATTTTGAAGTAGTTAATTGGTTTCTTCTCTATAGTTATGGCCTCCAAGATCATAATGGAGTTATAATACGTAGGTACATGTACTGCACAATAACAACAATTAAAGACAGAAAATTAAATGAAAACAAACAAAAATTAACCTAAAAATGCAACAAAAAAAAATTTTAAAAAATAAACCTGCCTTAATTCTGTGGTGTAAAATGCAACAAGTATCTCTAGGCTCTGTCTGATTCACAAAACTTGCAGAAGCAAATGGCAAGAAAAAGCAGCCCACCTGCACTGCTGGTGTCTCATCTGCCTTTGGACCTATACAACATTATCCAAAGTCTGAGCACTGACTGCTATAAATAGATAAACTCTGTGAGTGATGATAGAAGGGGCACAGCAATCCCTCCAGATGAGGAAAAATCCTATTCATGTTGCAATGAAGTTCAAGGGAAAAACAAAGATAAGGTCATTCCAGTGTGAAAAAAAAAATCTTGAGGAGGGGACTGTGTTAACAGGTTATAAAAATGGGGAAACAAAATACTGCCTGCCACTAACAGAACAAACACTGAGGTTATCAAAATTAATGATCAGGTTTAAAACAACTGTCTAATTCAGCTACAGAACTTGTCACAGAATTTTATTGATGCTAAAAGCTTGTATGGGTTCATAAACAATAAACAAAATTTGTGGCAGAAAGTAATTACTTAAAGCTATCAAACACAAAGCTCCTTGCTTCAAAGCAGAAAAGTCCAGCTCCAGGGAGGCTGGAAGTGTGTTCTGTTTAAGTGTCCTTGTGTGCTTCCCCCTGCTCCCCCAACATACTGCTACTGAGAAATAAAGCTGTTTTCTTTCACAGAAAAATACATTTTTTTTCACACCCGCGGTTACAAAAACATTCCCTTCTATAAAGCACTGTATCATAATTTTTTCAATTTGACTTCTAAAGCAAGCATCTCTCTTTTAAGGTCAAGGCAATGAAAAATTATACCTTCACAATTTATTAGATAACAAAAAAATTAACTTTTATCAAGGGTATTCCTCATCAGTAGTCTGATTACAAGGGAATAATTTTCCTATTAGATTTTGTAGAACCAGTAGAATTACAGCTACATGGTCCTAAGCTGAACATAAGATTAATTTCTGGTCTAATTACTAATTTTTAAATAGACTTTTAATTTACTCACTGAATTATTCCTTAGATTTATTACTTTTTTAGCCTGTTTTTTGGCATGTACTGCTGATTTTGAATTTATTTTTTTGAGATCAGCTTTTGGTATGATGCTGTAATGGCAAGAATGGATCCTTTTATCACTTTCAAAATACCCTGTGCAGCATTTGTACTATTTTGCTTCAGCTTTTGAAAGCCATGAGGGTCAGAGTACAGTAGCATTTTCTCCACAGCAGCTGGATCCATGAGAAAGCAAAACATCTTTCAAGGCATAAATCACAAAAAGAAAAAAAACTGAAAATAAATCAATGTCTTAATGGAAAACAGGAAAAAATACTGGCTGTTGTTTATGCCTCAGAAGTTTTATTATAGAGACATGACTTATGATGATGTTGAAACCATTAAGCTTCAAAATAGTATAGTAATTAATATGACTTTGATGATGACAGCAAAGGAAACAGAAGGGATTATTCTTTCCACGGAAATCAGTTTCTGAAGTAAAGTAGCCCTTCAGGTTAAATATTAGCAAATTTTATTTGGTATCTCATTTATGGGAACAGCTTGGCTGTGTCTGTTCTCGCTCCTGACCTTCCAGGTCAGGAGCTTTCCTTGGAAAGAACTATTGGAACATAATTAAAAATAAGAGACTTTAGAATTTCTTTGCGTTTTTCTTTTATTTATATCACAGTACTAAATTTGGAAAACGAGATGTCATTTGAGATTCATCAGTCTGCTGTTGTTTATCTCTAATAAACTGCAGTTTAAAGTTTCAGCTAACCACAATATAGGATTAGAGAACTTAAAATGACAAATTGCAATGTTTGCTAGCTGAGCTACACAAGTAGGGGAAGCCTCAAGCTTCATTCCTGCAGCCAGCCTCACACCGAGCATGGTGTGCCACAGGGTAGGGTCAGACTGGCCACACCACAACGTTCCTCCAGCTGCCAGCTCCTTCAGCAGGCACCATGAGAAAGTGCTGAACTAGGGCAGACTGAGAAAATGCAGTTTAATCTTGTCTAAATTATTTTTCCTCTTAGTTACCCATCTTTAAATCTTCAAAATACAGCCACTCTGTGAATAAATAATCCATTTGTGGTCCTATTAAAACTTCATTGCAGTCTATAAAATTTGTATAGCTAATTTAAAAATGGAAAGATAATAATTCATGTTGCTGCTTTATTCCAGTATGAGGTTTAATAAGACTTCACATTGCTCATCCAGAACCTCAACAACTAGCAACACCTCTGTTCTTCCCTGTTGTGGGCACCAGGCAGTGAAAAGAACCATCAAGCTTTTATTCTACCAGTGTCAGACTTTCCATGGCAAGGCACCAAGCTACACAGCAGCAACCACCTCTCAGAAAACCATAAACTCTATTCCAGCCTGAAATATGAACTACACCAAAAGCAGCTCATCTCTAAACTTTGAAGCAGGAAGGAATGCCCTGTCTAGGGATTCAAGGCGTATTCTGACTTCAGCAATTCAGTGAGCTTTGCAAAGACAGAGAGCACTTGCTAGGTAGGACCAGTAGGAGAAGATCTTTGGGACATTAAGTCCAAGACTTAATAGAAACACACTATATAATTTTGCATTCAATTTCCAAAGACTGTAGGCAGAGTGAAAGAACTATCATATGCAGTAGCTGGGCATGTTCAGTGGGCATAATTCTGAGGATTTTGGTTTTCCCACCTTTGTATATGATTGAATACAGTTTATAGCTCAGTTTTATTTTTAGTCAGGGCCTGGTCCTTGCACACAGCTACATCCAGCTTAAAGGCTAATTTTGACTTGCAGTTCCCTCAATTTTGCAAGGAGAATGCAGCTTTTACAGCACAGGCAACTCCTCAGGAAAAGAGTGGTATAAAGGAAGGGAAATTAATAAAATAAAATAAAATAAAAAAAGATTGGAAAAAAGGCAGAGGAAGGGAAGAACACACATACTTTTGCTCTGTTCATGGTGCTCAATCATAAGGAGATCAAAGCTGAGACCCACGGAATTCTTTATCTAGACAGAAATACTCAGCCTCTGATTCAGTGACTTCTAGAACAGCAGCTGCACAGCTTCTGTCTCGCCACAGGATGTCAGCCTCCACCAGCTACAGCAACAGCTCCCAGGGAAAAGGAAAAACGATTTTTCCCTTTTTCCCTAGGAATGGAGTCGAACTGCAGTGAAGGAGGATGAAGTGGAGTGGCTAAAGAGGAGGAGAATGAAGGTTTGCTGCAGCCTTTGAGCTCAGTGTTGCTGAGTTGAGTAGTTTGCTGCTGAATACAGACACACAAACTCTTGGGACTGGTTAAACCGTTTCCCCTTCACAAACCCCATGAAAAGCTTCAAAAGAAAAACAATGCAATTAATATTTAGAACCAAATTTTATTAAAGAAAAACCTGGAGTGCAGGTTCTCAGGACAAATGCATACCTTTGGATGCAGTGGAGTACACAGGTACGTATACAGTAGTTTGCCTGCTACATGTTTGGAAGCTGAAAGAGACCGTGATAATCTGTACTGCACAGTTCATCACCACTGTTAAAAGTTGCCAAAAACTTGCTTGTGGATTGCTAACAGATACTTGGTTATGTGTGTGCACTACATATTGCACAAGACTTCTCGATTAAGCTATTACTTGTGCAATTGAATCACAGTTAAGTGTTACGTCAAGCATATTCAAACATATATTTGTTTCTTTGTCTCAAAAACAGCACGTCACTACAAAACTGCCATTAAATGTTACATATTTACAAAAATATACAAATAACACTTTTCCCCATTTATGACAATGCACCAATTATGGATTTATTTCATTCTTCACTTGAGCCCTGTTACTGTATACAAAGAAACCTGCTTAAAGTCAAGGTCACCTGAAACAAAATTAGGAGAAGGCATGTTCTGTTTTCACAAATACTAGAATGTGCAAAGGCAGAAGGAGAGGACTGTGTAGTTGTGTATGTTAAAGGTTGGGGTTAGAGCATTCTGGTGACTGCTAAGAACCTTCACATTTAGTGGAATAACCCCTTGGTCAAAAACCTGGTTGGAGACAGTTTAAGCATTTGCTGACCAAGCAGTCATAAGCAGTTAAAAAATTCAGTTCTACCTTGGTTGTAATTAATTTCATCTATCCAAAGAACTCTCATGCTAGCAATGGAAATAAAAATTACGGTGAAAATCAGTTAGTAACCTGTGTAAGTACAGGTGCATTGAGAAGAAAACTGATTTTAACCTGCAGTTGCTTTTCAAATTCACCAGGGATAAAATTCTTCTGTATCACAAAGCTGAACTGATAATGTCTGGGGAACTGCATGGCCATAAATTAGGGTAGAATTTGGCCCTGTAATGCAAAATAAACAGTGTTCCACATTAACATCAGGGTAGCAAGACACGCTTTATTTTCACAAGATATATGTCTAGTTTTTATTTTATACGTTGTCATATACTTACCCAGAGCTGCAGCTCTAATTAGCCAAAAAACACTATTTAGGCTTGATTTAATTACCATTTTTTTTCTCCTTTTATTTTCATGGGTAATGCCAGCAAAATCTATATTTATCTGTCTGTATATAGATTAAGAGATTTTGCACCCACCTGTGCTGGAACAGCCACAGATGCACTGTAAATAAGCCAGCTTCCATCCTTTACTCTTAAAAAGGAAAATTCCCCCATTCCAACTGTCATCTCTCCAAATATTCCTCCAATCTAGGATGAAGCAATATTCTTAGTGCTGCTTCATAGATACAGAGCAATTATACCAATTTCATTTCAGTGATGAAGGGCAATACCTGATGCCTCCTAAACCCACTTTTGCAATGCACTAGGGTGGTATTGTTTAAAACCACCTTCTGCAAAGAAATCTATCCAAGTTTAATGGAGAGGTAAATCACAGGTGCTGTACATATTTGTAGAAATAAGTGGTAAGTGAAACATAAAAAGTGGAAGCTTCCCAAAGCACTCTGCCAGATGATTAACTTCCCCACCCTCTTCCAGTCTGCTATTCCTCTGCAAACTTCTCGTGTTTATTTTTCCTCAGCCACGCGGAAGAGGATGAAAATTAGATAATCACCTTTTAACATCAATGCTGTTTATTGGCAGAATGACAATGACAGAAAAGCAACTCAGAGAAGACTGTGATCAAGAGAGGAGAATTCAAGTATACTTCTCCATTTGATTGTGTTTTCCCTCCAGAGCCTTCTGCACTGCAGCAAGCACAACCCATGACTTTACACCCATGAGGAAATAAATCAAAGCCTGTCAGTGACAAATGAAAAAAAGGACCTGTACTCAAAGGCCTGGTGTGTATATGAAATGGAGGAACTCTCTGTTCCTAAAATTAAAATTTCTAGTCACATGTTCAGTAAACTCCAGTCACTGGTGTGTACCCTGAGGAATACTATACCAGCTCCATTCATCTTCTTTAAACATTATAAAATTACAGCTCATAGAGGCATTCTAGCAAATTACATTTAAACAGTATAAATGCAAGACACAGACTCTATAAAATAATTTTTTTCCCTTGTCTCCTAGCTCAGTGCTGTGCTAGGGAGGAACACCATTAGCAAATGACCCACAGTCATCTGGAGCAGACATACAGGCATCTTGGCTCCTAAAGCAACATCTTTTCCATGCACCTCAGGTGGGATGCTGCTGCAAGTCAGATCTGTCTTAAATTAAAGGCAGAGATGGTGATAATTTTGCATGTTCCTCGTGCTGCATCAATTTAGATTCATGGTTTAAAGTCTCTGCATGCAACAAACAAAATAAAATAGTTGCCATTACAAATTAAAATAAGCTTCAAGACTTAAGCAAAGCAAAATCAACAACATGTGGTAAAATCATACACACTGGTAACGCTGACTTTCCCCCTGCTTTTTCTTGTCCTGTTTAGTCCAGTGCTCCCCTCCCTCCCACATCTCTCTCACACTCCCTAAGACAGGCTGTACCCTTCCAAGATACCGCTGAGCTTCTCAATGATCTTACTCCCATTAAGTTCTCCAAGCTCTTCCAGCATGATGTTTCTGCCAAATCTATCCGGTGACTTTGCTTAAATTTATTTTATGGAACTTGAATCCAAGCCATTTTCCCCGGCCTCTAGGAAAGGTTCCTTACAGACCCATTCCATAAACCTGTCAAGTGAAATTGCTCCCGACCCTCTATTAACAAAGAATTCTCTTTACTTCACCTAGTCTTCAGCTTTGGGCTGTAACAATATCTCTAAAAGGCTGTGTCTGAGCTTGGGTTTCAGCATTTCCCATACTGAAATACAAATGCAGCCCAGTGGTCTGGCAAGGTGTCTCTACCCAACCTTGCTGCAATTCTGTTCCTGACAGAATGCAAGGCTGGCAAAGCAAGCCAGCCCTTGCTGTACTGCAGGAAAGACATGGGAACTCCCACTGTAACCCAAGAGGAGACAGAGGAAGATATTTGGGTGCTAACAGGTGACCATCTCTGCCAATTAAATATATAATTTCACTACAGACCAATGGCAAAATCAATATATACACTGGTGAGAGAGGAAATGCTGGTTTTTATTCTTTCAGGGAGTATAATACTCATCCACATCTCAAACTAGAAGCATGTGGTCTCTGGGACGAACATCTGAGAAAAGTTCTTGAAAGGCAAAAGATAAAGAGTTCCGGAAAGATTTAGAGAAAATGAGAGCCAAAATTAAAGCTGAAAGGATTAAAAGATACTAAAGTGGGAAAGAAACAGGAAGGATGGACTGCAGTGACACAAAGCACAGGGAACCTCAGACAATACAGCAGAGCTTAGAGGAGAGGCAGGAATGGGGAAGAGATTGTGATTCTTCTCGCTAGAGATTGTGATTCTTCTCACTATCAATTGGGTCACAGTAGGGTGCATACCCAAATAAAAACACAGTTACATAAAGCAGAACAAAAAGCAGGGAAGAAAAAGTGGGACTATAGAGAATTGTAGTCATCTGGAGAAGCCAGGCAAATGAAAGAGAACACAAGGACTACAAAAGAAGGGGTGGGAGGAAAAGGAGGAGAAACAGAAAAGAGTGGAAAATTTGGATATTTTTTTTTTCCCTCTGGTTTCACAAGTTACTTGGCAAATATTTGGAAACATGAAACAATGCAGGTGACTTCATGAACAGTTACTTTGCTACTTCAGCATCTCCAAAGATTAACCCCAAAGAGAGGAGTGTATTCACGAATAAATGGAGCCCGTGAGTTTGGCAATTCCCTCAGCATCTTGTTTATGAAGATATTCTGTAATTTTAGCCATTTAAAGGCCCTAATGTGAACCTGAAACATACAGGTGGTGTATTACAATATTGTCCTTTGGACTAGTTTTACCATTTGTAAACTGCCTACGTGCATGTCACTGATGTTTGGGGTTATGCTTCTGCACAGTCCTTTCTATTCAAAATCCGTAACAAGAATATCTCAAAAGCCACATGGATTCAAAAGCCTGTTGTTTTCTTGTATGAGTTGTTCTCATTAAAAAGTATCTTTTTCACCATCTCAGAAAGATTTCCTTTTAAAACTCTTTTAATCAATAAGCAGTGTGAATTAATACTTTTTCTAAAAAGCGGATAAGCCAATTCATTTGCTTTGATCTGCCAGAGATCACTGTCAGTAAGAACTAAATATAAGTATCAAAAGCTGGCTAAAATTAGCAGCAAATAACATAGAAATATAAGACATGCTAAGAAAGTTATTCGGAATGTCTGGCCTTCCTGGTGATTAATATACTCTTTATACCATTAAAAATACGTGCAAAAAAGGCATTATTTAAGCAGTGCCAGGTACTGCTGTTTGTATTATTGCTGCTCAACAGGGCTTTATGTCCACTGTATTGCAAGTAAGCAGAGTAGAGATGCAAATTTTACAGAAACTCAGAAATCAAGGCTGATTAAGACAGATGAAGCTTGTGTGAAATGCAAGTGTTGCAAGAAAAAAAATATTAAGCAAAATTACTTGTGTAAGAATGCACTTCCTTTAAGGGCTAGTAAATGTTGCTTCTGAAAGCAAATCAATCTGGAAGGAGAGAGAGGCAAAGAGTTTGCAATTAAGAGTATGTATTTTTAGAGATACTATTAAAAAGTATTTAATGTAAACCATAACAGCTCTTTGATAAGGATTTTTTTCACACAGCTCTGTTGTTGTATTTCAGAGTACATATTTCTAAGCCTTCCAGAATTTCTTATGTCAGATACTGTCTTACAGAAGATCATCTCAGCTACCAGCATATAAACTAGCTGGAAACAGTATTGCTGACAAGCTTCACAAAAGGACAAAAAGGGATGAAAAGAATGGAAGTCAAACATGGCTCCACAATTCATAGTTTAAGTAATTTGCTACTCCATTTAACAGGAGGAAAAAATCTGGGGGTGAAGACTTGCAGAAATGAGATCTCATATTAAAAATCATGAAACCAACTTCCTCTATGTATCAATTTCAATAGAAAAACATTCCAAGATGTTGCATTCTTTAGCCTCCAGAGCAGCCTGAAGAACTGTCACAGGTTCTTCTTTCCCCAGTAATATGCATCCTCTCTGCTTATGCAACACACTTGAAAAGAAGGAACAAATAAGAACTTTGTCTGCACGACATTCCCATCCAGATTTGGGAAATGAGCTGTTCTAGGCTGTTCTAGGTGTCTTCTGCACCCCCTCCAGTCTGAATGTGCACAGGCAAGTGGAGGCAATGCTGCTGAGGTGATCAGTTGGGTAAGAAGGGCTGGCTTGGGACAGAAGGTTAAAAATTTCAGAGGACACAGCTTCACATTTCCCAAAGACTGCTGGGCTAGGCTATTAATTGCAAAACCTAACCGGGGGTCTGAGTTATCTGTCACTTTGAAGATTTTAGTCTAAAAACAAGTAAAAAACATTACAGGAATAAAAATGCATTTAAATGGCACTGAGAGGGAAAATGCTAAGATACTGAAATACAGAACATGAAAATACAAACTTAACATTAAGAAAATTATCTGAGCAGACCTTACTTATAGGCAATTAAATGCCATTCTAATGAAAGTTTTAGGTTTTCTCAGACTAGTACTGGCTGTGTGCCAGTCTCCTGAAGAAAGCTGTAGAAGCAATGCACAACTGGGACCAAAACAGAGAAAATGAGCCAGGAAGCAGCTTTTTGGATGGACTTAAAGGACAAAATAAAATTTTGCATCTCAAAAATCAAGATTCATAAAGGTAAATGCTTATAAATTTTGTCCTGGTAGAAATCCAATATTTTGAGAGAAATGGGCGCTTACTTTCATCTAAAATGCTGAAATAAAAATGAATATGGAAACAGTACAGTGGTATCAATCAATATACAATAACACAACTATAATAACTCCAACTATCAGGGACTGTGCAATGAAATAAAGTGTTTACTCTCTCTTTTCCCCCAAAGTCTCATTAATGAAAAATTACAAAACTTTTTTAATAGGAAACAGGAAAAATCTATGACTGAAATTGTCATCGATTCTATCTACTTAGAAACATCGACGTGAAATAACACTAGAAATTCAAAACTTATCAGAACCTCTGGTTCATCATCAGAAAGTTACTGCAGTGAAATGCATGTATTTAATTTCTTATAAAGATTTTCTTTTCCCCACACATTTCTTTGAGCATGTATTTGTGTAAGGATGGAAATCACTGCAGTTCCACTGACCTCCACTAAAGACACAGGATACAGTAAGAGTCTCCCCACTAGAAGAAGGTCTCATTGCACTGAAAACACAGCTAACCATGATAAGCATGTCACATGAAAACTGCTTGGCACAGAAACTATAATGGCAAAGCACTGATTTGTCTTTGTCTACAGGACAGTTAGTTAACAAATCATCTACTTTATATGAATAAACAACTTACTCCTCATTACTCATCATTGAAAGAAGAAAACTCATCAAGAAGGATGGAATTCAATGAGAATATCATAAAAGAGTTCCAAGAAATTGGATGTGAATTGTGGATAACAACAACATCTCGCCTCAGGCTGGTACTTTCTATTTCTTCACAGCCATTTCCACCACCCTCTTCAACAGAGTATAAAAATATACACTGGTTTATATTGCTTATATTATTGAAAAATTAATTAAAATTGTGTGCATTTTCCTTAAATGTCCTCTGAGCATTTCTGAGTACTTGATATGGACAGGCTGTTCCAAAGCCATATAAAACATTCAATGTCAAAAGAGAAAGCAAAGATAACAGCTGTAAATCTTGATGGCTCTGTTAGAATGCTTCAGATCATACTGCTTGGAGCACTCTGAAAATTACAGAGTGTTTTTGAAACTGCAAATACATCAGATTTTAAGAAGACCAAAAGAGGCCAATGAGGCCAGTACACTGCCAGGTTTTTTTGGATTCAGTATAGTTCAATATCAGTACTGATAAATATCACTGTACCCATTTTTATAAGGTTTTTGATCAAACAACAATGCAGAGGAGTTGACAATCCTAGTGTGTAACAGCAAAATCACAGCCAATGTTGCAGTTCTACTACATAACAGTATGTTCCAATAGCAATGTTTAAATAAAATTACCTTTTTTTTTTTTTCAGTTTTTTACCAGTTATGCACCTTTTTTGGATTATGCATTTTTACATTTATACATAACTGCAGCTGGTTTTAGTAGAGAACTTTTAAGAACAGTGATAATTACAAGTAAAACAAAGAAAGTTAAACCATTGATAACTTATGCCCACAAAATTCTTTTGCTCTCATGATCCTGAACAAACAGTTTTAGCCTCACAATACCCCTGTGAGGTAGGTAATTATTATCAGCCCCATTTTATAGGTGGGGAAACTGTAGCACATACAAGGGAAGTAACTTGCTCAAAGTCTAGAATCCAGGTATCTGACTGTTATCTGTTTCTTAGCCACCACATTCCCCCTTCCCCACTAAAAAAAACTTAACTAAAATATGTACAAATACTGCTTGTGTGCATGCACACATGTGTAACTAGCACTTGTGCATAGACGCAACTCTGTGTTTCTGAATACTCAGAATATGTATCAGGATTTTAGATACATATAAAGGATAAAAAGCTAAGATATCATGGATGTAGTTCAAGAGATTTGAGAACTAGTACTAGTGAGTCTTTTCATTTACAGGTAAACCAAGACACCATGAATGAGAAAATGGTGATAGTATTTTCTCAGTTTTAAAATAATTAATTTTAAAGTTATTATGAGGAAATCAAAGGCTTCCTTTATTATCTGCTGGGTATTATTAATACAGTTATGGAAATACCAACATGTCTTTAGAAAACAGTGTTTTTAAGACATGACAAACCAACCTCACAGGAGTTCTGCATGAATCAAATTAATAAGCATCAGAAAAAATTATTACAGGCACTACATTGTGCTAAGTGTTAATTAGAGTACCAAGCAGTTAAATATTCTACCGTGTTCCAAAAGACTCCTGTGATCAGAGACACAAATCACCCTGAATTAAATGTATAAAAGTAGCTGTTAAAGCATAAATTAGGTGTGTGACCTAGTTCCAACACAGTCCTTTACCAATCAGACTAACCATGTGAGAACAACCCCAAGCTGGAGCTTCCATCCCATTCCTTATCCATGAAGCTGGTTTGCCACTCTCCTGCCCTATACAAAAAACCAATTTTAGATTTATTTCACAGGAACAGGTAAGATGTTTGCAATGTTATTTTATTCTCTGCTCCAGCTCCTTTCCACTAGAAAAAGCAAGAGCTGGTGAGAAGGGAAAGCCCCTGGTGCAATGATCCCAAGAGTTTCCAATTCACAGCATGTTTTGTATATGCACTTCTCTTCAAGAAACCCAGACTCAGATACATTTAAGACCTTGGATTTCCACAGTCTGGCACACAGCAGTCAGCCAAGGCATTGCTTCTCTGTTAACAAGTTTACATGGCACTATACAACTAAATAGGCAGAAATTTTAGAACAATTTTTGTAATTATTTTCCTGAGCGGTTTGCAAGTGCTTTTCAGAATCTTCATTCTAACTTTCCACCTATTTCCTTACAGTAAATTTAAAATCTAGATTTTCTTGTGCTTTACACATACATCCTATGGGGTTCGTGAGAGCCTACAGTACTACACTGAATTACTACATCCCAGTCCGCTGCATTTGATGATAATATGCTCTATATTAACAGCTACATGGAAGAATGATTCCAATGCATACACTGATTTTAAGACAGTTCTTTTCTATTTGACTAGCATTCATTATTTTCTGTTTGCATATTCTGGACGATGCACTATCTGTATCCTTCTTAAACAGGGTGGTGTGTGAGCTTGTCACTAGCATCAGTATGACATTCAGTGAGTACAGAGTTATTTATCCTCTATCAAAGGCAAAAAGTGAAGAGATTATATAGGTTTCTGAGAGAAGCATCCTAATCCCAGGCAGCTGTGACACACAGGATGCCAGACATTTAAACTCACCACACCACACTTGTTTTCCTACATGGCTAAAATAAACCACAGGGAAAAGACAAGAGGAGTGTGGATTCACTGCATTGCCGTTCCCTAGGGAGGCAGAGGTTGAGACTAGGAAACTCTGACCCGACTGACAAAACTGGGATTAGGACACAAGGACCCGACTCACAAGCCCTTCTGCAGGCAGCTCTTCCTGCCCTTCCCCTGCCCTCCCTGCAGACAAAGGGGCCAGTGGTGGTAGGGACTGAGAGACAGCCTGTGGTGATGGGAAGGAAACAGGAAGCCTAAATCCCTTCCCATCATCCCTGTGACCCTTTGGGTTTTGCCCACTCTGGCCAGCAAGGGCAATTGCCAGAGGAAATCCCAAACAGGGATGTCGTGGGAAGGAGATGGCAGTGCTACCCAGCCCTTCCCAGAGCAGAATTCTGACCCACCCGGCACAGCTGCCCTTATAGGAAGTTTTAAAAAAAAAATAACCATACAAAGAAAGCTGCATAAAAGAGGTATTTACACTCTCTGGAAATTTAAAAAGAGACAGGCCACCAGCCTAGGGTTTAACAGGATAACTCATCTGGCAGCTGCCATCATCCTAGAGGGGCTCGCTCAGGAGAAAAGAAAAGAGCAACTAAAATGAATGTCCTCAAGTGAAGGCACCTGGTCTGGAAATAGCATCAAGCTGGTGTTTTTCTTTCACATGTGGTGGGACTGAGGGAGATACTGGTGCTGATAGTTTGTCAGGACTTGCTACACTTACAAGAGAATTGTTGTATATTACGAGATATCCTAATTAACATTTTACTTCCTTCAATCCTCAGACGGGCCTAAGCCTAAATTTGTTAGATTGTCTCACACACGTTTAAGTTAAGAGCTTGTCTCAACTAGGAGTGCATTTGTCTCTTGCTCAGTCCTTTCCCAGTACAGAAACACTTGGCCTCCTAAAAAAATTGTCACTGTGATCAACCAACCATCTGTTCTGGTCTAGTCACTTGTGTAAAAATCACCTTTTTTGGGCTGAAGACTCCCAGCCTTCCACCGAATACTTCAATTAAAAATATAATTAAAAAGTTACAGTCAGTCATTCTAAAAATAAACATAAAGAAATAGAGCATATACAGAAAAGAAATAAGGTGGCATTGAAGGTGCCTAGGGCTACAAATTTGCTACCATCGTTTGAGTTTCAATCGCAATGAGTTCCCAGGCCATAGAGTGAGCACAAGACATGTTATCCTTCGCCCTTGGTAACTGATGATGGATGCTTTTTTTCCACAGGACTGATAAGAAACCTCCTCTCCATCAGCATTTACAGCCATATTTTCAATTTTGGGACATCACCAGGGAAAAATAAAACGGTACAGAGAAGAGTCTTTTGGTTTTTGCGTTGAGCTGCAAATATCAGCTAACCAGGTAACTGTGCATCTCTCTGGAGTTGATGCTCAAAACCACGCCTGAGTGATTGCCTAGAAAAATACAGAAACAAAAGGCCAACATTAGTGTATTTCAGGTACTCCACAATAAATCCCCCTTTTATTGCAGAGACAAGTAAATTGCATAAGAGAGTGTCTTTATCAAACAACAGGTCAGGTGAAGGTTGGTGCAACAGCTCCATATACCTACAGCACACTTTTGCACAAAGCTTTTGCTCATGGTGGTGGATTTGTGGTGAATTCCTAGGGTTTCTATCCCAGTGACAGCATAAGTTGGTTCTCTTTGTGGCTTATAAAGGTGTAGTTGTCTCGAGGGGTGCAGGTGAGGGAGGAGAATGGAACCTGAGGCGTCCATTCGACATGCCACTGACCTGGGACTGGACACTGACCGGCATCAGCAATAAGGGAACTCTGTAGCTGTTCAAGTTGCCACTTCTCCCAGAAGGAGTCACTGCAAGGTAATGGTGTTGAGGAGTCCCAAGGTGGGGGTTGCGATAAAGTAGGCAACATAAAATATATAGAAAACAAAAAAAGTGGATGGGTGAGTCTGGAAATACTGTACTGAGGAAATTCAAAAGTTATGAGAAGAGAGAGAACAAACAGAAACCCAGGCCTGTAACTCCCTGCTGCACATGGAGCGGAGGCGGCTACTGACATCTCCCAAGAGGGAGGGAGAAAGCTCACCAGAACTAGAAGGGATCTCCATAGCATAGGAACCTTCTGCAAATAATGTCGTAAACCAGAATTTAATATAAAGCAGGGATTATAACATGTTTCGTACTCTAAGCCAGATAAAATAGAGTATCATTAACAGGAATATTTCCTTGGCAGTACTGAGCAATACCGGAGCTAGTGGAAAGTACTGCAAATAACAAAACAGTAGAGCGAACAGGAGTGTATTTTATGTATTAAGTAACATCTTGTGTCTAAAGGCTGCACAGTAGCTGACAAATATGGATGATTATGATCCACAAAAATGAGCTTTTTACACTCTCCTGGAGAGTCTGCTGCTGCAGACACCTGGTTGAAGCACAAATCACCTTGAGATCATATTTACATTCTTATGCCATCAAAACATCACGATCTTGTAGTCTTTAACCCAAAAATAATGCTCTGCTCAGATGGAAGATTTTTGTTTTCTGTGATTAACAAGTGCAGGGCAAACAGAGATCAATTCTAAATGTGTTACAAATCAGGGTAGCACTTCTTTATTAGAGCATCCCAAGCTGCATTCTTTTAAATATACCATGTGAGATTTTCTACCATTATAAGAAGCTAAGCTATTGTAGTAGAGGTGTTTGAATGCTCCAATTTAATAGGCATGTCTGAAAGGACTGATAGCATTCAGCTTCTCCTCTAAACACCCTGGAGACAAAATGACCAAACAGATTTAACATAGACCTTGTTTTTCAGGTTTGTTTTTGGAACTAACTCCGGTACAGTCAGGAGAGCAACCAAGATCATCTTGCAAAATCAGAATGAAAGCAGTGATATTCATACACAAGGTTGTTAAAGAAGGGATAGAAATACACAGAGCAAAGCAAGAGGCTGGATTCTTCCCTTGTGTTCAAAGCTAACACCTCCAAGAACCTAGAGCAGCACACAGTTCAGCAAATGAAAATAAAGACATCGACAACAAACAAAAAAGGTGAAACCCAAGATAAAGAAATGTCTCCTCAGACCAGGTTCTGTCTTGCCCAGGCTACCTCAGGTGCAGCTAAAACACATCTTCTTCCTCAGGGTTCATGAAGACATTACAATTGCCTTTCACACCATCAAGCTGCTGGTACAAATCCCAAAAGCTTTGGATCACCTGATTTATTTTCAAAAATTTTCAGAAATGGAGTTTAGTGTTTTTTACATTGTCCAACAATTTTCAGACTGTGATCTGGAAGCAGTCTGAAGACAATGTATTATAGATCAGAACTCCATGATGCATTAAAACTAACCACAGGGTGCCAGGATATGCACTTTCACCTGAAACCATCTGCACTGAGAGATACAGAAAGTTTCCCTTATGGGTTCTTTATAACCTCATGAATACTAGAAAATCAACAGCTAAATTAAGGAAGACTTATGATACTTTTTATACATGAATAAATTTAATGTTTCTAATCACAAAAAATTTAAATGCCATTGGAATATGAAGGCAAATAAAGCAATTGGTCTCCATACAATCCATCTGAAATCACAGAAGCATTGACTCTAAAAATCCTTCTGGTCTGAACTCAATTTTCCACTAATTCAGGGGATTATTGAGTGAATTCAACTGTTGCAGATTATATCCCATCCTACTGAATATAATTTATCTCTAAAATTGTCCAAGTCAGTCTCCTGACATTAAACTACTGTCTCTGTACCATGCTCTATATAGCACATCATCCATACATTAGCCTGTATCTCAAGCAAGCCAAAAGAAGGCAATTGAGATAATCCCTTGTTAGTGGTGTCACCATTTGCATCTTTTTGAGACTGAACAGAACATGAAAAAGAACTAAAATTAAAACAAACATCAATTTAAAATCAACTACTTATGAAAATTTATAAGCTAAAATCGAAGTTACCTCTTGCGTTACCTAGTGTTTGAGAGTCCAGATCATCATCAATAAACTCCTCACCCTGGATGATGTTCTGGGTGTCCTCACTGTGATTAACAGGGCTTGTCATCTCCTGCTCTTTTTCATTGTGCATCTGGGCGTAGACATTTCTGCCTGGCAGTTTCCTAAATAGGACAAGAAGAAAAAATTTTGGAATTTTTTGTGTCACAAACACACTGGCATCAGAGCAGAGCTCCAGCAGGGCGAAGTTCTTCCGTAACAAAAAAATCATCACCAATCCCATCCTTCCTTAATTTTGTGATCACAACCTAACTTACCAACTCTTTGTTCTCTGTCACAGTTTTATGTAACCACCTTATCAGGAGCTTCATACTAACATAGTAATTAATAATCCATTTCTAAGATTGACAGACAATGAGCAATGTTGAAAAATAATTACTAAACCACAGAAAACCTGTTTTAGGAATACAAGCAATAAAAGGGCCCGGTGGGTGCTCATTCTTGGTCCCAGCTGTCTTCACATACATTAAGCTGGGCTGCAATCATCACATCTCCCTGAGCATGTGGGCTGACATGGAAGTGTGATAGCATCAGATGGCACACATTGTCAATCAGGGTCAGAGAGAAAAAGTCGGGAGAAGTCCAGGAGACAGCGAATGGAAAGGAGCAGAGAGTGAAGAGCCAGGGGGCCAGGACTAAGGGCTAAGGTAAGAAGGTAAACAGGCATGGATAAGAGCACAAGACGGAGGAGGTTGTTTAAGCAGGAAGCACTGAAGGAGACAGAGTATAAAATTTGGACTGGGAACTGATGAATTAGACAAACTCTACAAAAGACAATAATTCACTCACTCTGACTAGAATCTAGGGAAACAAAAAGCATCTTATTAAATGCCTCTAATGGACAATTAGCACCATGGCTGAGACTGGGAGGATTACGACTTAATATTGATAAAGGGTTCTTAACTAGATTAATTAAAATTAGACTTTGTAAACTCAATGGGAAAAATCAGGGACCGCTAGCTTTGCAACAGATTTTATGGTTTAAACTTTCCTCAAGAGCCATACCCTTTGTGTTGTATCTGTGTTCACCTGCAGTCTGCCTAGGCACATGAGGAGATCCTTTCCCAAGCACCAAGCAGACACTTCAGATTAGGGAGCTGCAGGCGCTAAGCTCCATTTCCTACAGCGCCAGAAGCTGCTTGACAGCTTGAGCAGCATGACAGCAGATCATGGCTGTCAAAGTCTGTGCTTAAAGCCAGATTATTACAATGGGCAGACAACGAGAAGAAAAGAAAAAACAGGGTTGAACAGCTGTGGTTTCTGTTGAGCCCCTTTAGACAGTGAGAATAGAAAAAGTGACACTAATTTTTAGGCATCTCTCTAAAAGCAACCATCCCCTGCTCCAGATTATGGCAACAGTTTAAAAGCTGGATAAATACACAGATTCCTCTATTTCCTCTAGGCTTTTGAAGGAGATCTGTTCTAAATGCCATTTCACAAGGTGTTTTTAGCCAGGGGCACCATTTTAGTCTGAGATAAAAAAAGTTACTGCAAGAAGTTATTCTGAAAAACAACTTCCATTGCATAGAAGTAATGAAAATAAATGAAAATTACTAAGAAAGTAAAGATGACTGAAGATAATCTCCTCCCTTTAATCTGAACAATCCAAAAGATAAATTGAGTCCTATATATCTACACAAACACACATATCTGTATAGGTATGTGTATACACATACACACACACACACATCTCTAAGTAAAAATTAGGTATTTTATCCCATTATTTATAAGCAGTACAAAACCAAAAGGAAAAGGACAAGGATGGAAAGAAGGTCTAATGACACAATGCTGTGCTATTACGAACACTTCAACAGGTCTGAGGGCTCCTCCAACAAAAACATACACATAAAGCCAAGCCCTGCATCATTCTCCTTCCATTATATGGATAGAAAAAAGCCATTTTGCAAGAGGGAAGGACAGTCCTCATTACCAAAACAAATACATCAGGTAATTAATTTTGATTTTTTTTCTCTAGGGCCAGTAACTCCAGACTGTTTTTAATGTGTCTGGTAATGAAACTGGTCATGTGGAAAACTGTTCTCTCAATCAGACCTGCATCAAACCTGTCAAACTGCTCCCTTTCAGTCCACCATCAAATGCCTAAGGGAGACAAAACTCAGAAAAATGTCTCTGTAACACATCTGCAGAATTAGCACATATGTTTCTACAATAATTATAATAACCTTCTCAGAACTATTTCTGACAGATTGGAGAAGCATCAATGGCATTATTGAAACAATTCTGACATAATAAAAAAGTTAAACATCTCAAACCCATATGGCACATCAGACCTTTGCAGTTAAGTAAGAGGAGAAGAGCTTCCAGTGTGACTACTGCCTGTGACCTGGATAAAACCAGGTCAACAAAATGTGTCCTTTGGTGTAAATCCTGAGGCTTCAACTCACAGCTCCTGCATGACTTACTAGTCACAGATAACCATGAGCAGAACACATACTAGTAATCATATTCAGGAAGAATGAAGAAACCTCCCAAATTCACAAATGACTATTAAATGTATTGTTGCTAAGAGCATCTCCTTATTGTTTAAGACTAAAAGGAAGAAAAATAATGTGAGAGCTATTATTTCTCACTCGCCTTATCCTGCCCAATTCTGCTAAGTACAGATCCTTTGCGAAGGTATAAAGCTGAGGTACTCAGTACTTGCACACTCTCCTTTGCTCCTCACACTTACGTGGGAAAGACTGAAACACTGAATGGATTGGAGGAAGGAGAATATCACAGGCCTTGAGAAGAAGTATGGTAGGCATTAAACCTTTTATACACTAGAGATTTCTCTGTGTTTCATATCAGTTCAGTTTTACCAGGAATACACTCAATCATCCTGAAGGAAATGATAGTCCAAGCCTTTTCAAGAGGCATTTTTAACACATGTGCCGGATGTTCTGTTTACAAGAGACAACCACACTGTGGGATGAAAGAGGATGTGGATTCTGGAGCCTTGCTAAAGAAGGGTCTGATTCTGGCAGTTCTGCTTCTCACTGCTCTAACATGCAGGAAGGAGGCTGCTACCCCTACTTACACAGAGTAAAACTCCAGTGTACCCTGATGTGCTTTGCTCTTCAAGAAGCAATGTTGAGTCCAATGTAACTGTTTGAAGCAGGCAGAGCTGAAATTTTTGGGTCTACATAAAAGACTACTGTGAAAACATGACAAGACATGAAATTGGACCCAAGAGATTTGTATCAGCAATATGAAAATTGAAAGCACATTTAGAAGAACAGACAAGAAGATTATGCAATAGCTTCTTTGGGGACTTTACTCTTCATCTGCAAAATGCATGTGCTTCACATCCATCACTGGAGACAATTACCTCTGCTGAGCAGCACTCCATGGTTTACATTTTTAGTTCCTTTTGTTTTTCCTGTAGGATTTTATTTCAATAATGAAAAAGAAGAAATATTATGCCTGCTTTGAGGACCATAAAAATATGAGCTAGAGATGTAATTCTGCACAGCACTACTAAAGAAAATTGCAGCACATGATTTTCACCAAGCTCTCCAGGTCCCCCACCTTTTAGAAGATATTGCAGGAAGTCCTTTGTTTTCCTTCCTTTATCCACAAATTCTAATCAATTCATACCCCAAACTGTTAGCACTTAAAAATGTTCAGCAGGAAGGAACAGCAGGAGGGGGATGCGATATTGATTCCTACTCATTTAAGCTCTAGTTTATTTGGCTTTCAATTCCTTCTTTGTAGAAAAAAACATTCATTTGCCTTTATGAAACTTCATTCATTTTCCAGAGGCTTGATTAAAATTCCGTTTAGTATAAAAAATACGAACATATTCACATGGCAAAGAATATGGAATAATGTAGCAGTCTCTTGGAACTTAAATAAAAATAACAACAATAATAACCCATTAAATATAATACTTTATTGTGGTGTTGACTTTATTATGTTTGGATTAATGTTCAGATGACTGACTTCTTTGTGCTTTAAAGCACTCCTGATATACTCTCCTCCTTCATTTCCAAAATATTTTCTGTATGCTATTACTTTGATTTCTGAGGATATTTTTACAAAATATTATGGAACATTAAATTAGTGCCTGTTTTTTTATCACTAAAAGGCACGGATTGGGACCACGCTTGCTCTCATGGAACATAAAAGTAGTATAAGCAAGGTGGGGAAAAAAGATAGCTTTTCTTCAGAGACTGAAAATGAGATAGTAAGTCAATGAGGCAGAAAGATAACACAGTTCTGCACCAGATTGTGGAAATGACCCAGGAGGGGGTTCACTTACCAAAACTGGTACTTGATAGTAGCAGGCAAAAAAGGAATACACACAAAGTGGTATAAATCTGGGTGAAGAGGATTCATGGTGATTTGTGAAAACAATGTATGCAGCTTTAAGTACATCAGCAATAGTTTGCATACAAATTAAAAGAGGAAAATTTTCATACTCTTTCAGAGAACTGAATTTGCTGCAATTAACCAAGTAAAATATGCACAAAAAATAAGCATAAAAGCCTCTATTTTCTCTGGTTTGGCTACTCTAATATCCTGCTATTATACAGAAATTAAAAATAAGAAAATTATGATTTCAGACCTTCCACTAGTAGCATGATGATTACATGGCAGCTTTGATGTGGCTAAAATATAATTCTCCTTTCCTCCACCTCGCCTGGTACAGACAGTGCTATTTCCCTTCTCTATACTGTTGCCCAGGTTCCCACACCATAAAGCTTCCTCTGATAGGATGAAGAAATCTCTTCTGGATGGCAGCTTGAAAACCACAAAAAAATACATTGTTTCACAGGGAATGGAAGAAGTGTGTTTTTACTGAACCAAATCAAGTAAAGATGGTATGGTATAGAAAAAATATACACAGATCCCAGATCCGCATTAAGAAATAGCCCTGAGTTTTTCAAAAATATTTTCCAGCTGCTTCATATTGTTGTGGGCAAAAGAAGCAGCTGCAGTCCATTTTACCTGAATGCTTAAACAACTGGAGCATACTAGTGAGCACTGCAACATGTTGTTTGCTCCAGGCACCCGCTCGGTGATTTCCAGGGAGCAGAGCAGAGGCACTTTACTCATGGCTTTACTCATGGCTTTACTCATGGCTTTACTCGTGGCTGTACTCGTGGCTTTACTCATGGCTTTACTCATGGCTTTAGTTGTGGCTTTAGTTATGGCTTTACTCATGGCTTTACTCATGGCTTTACTCATGGCTTTACTCGTGGCCCACCACCCACATCTGCCGACGGCGCTGCTCCTCCTGCACAGCCGTGGTTGGTTCACCTGAGAGCAATGACCCCTTGCTCCTTGCTACCATGCTCAAAATTCCTCCCCTAAACTGCCTGAACCAATAGCTCAGATAAACCGAACAGCTCATTTGTTGAACACCATTACAATTAGTTTTTAAAAAACTGTCACATTTATCATTTAAAATTTAAATTTTAAATTATATCTGCCACATACAGAGTAAAAATAGCCCTAATCTGAAGTCCTTATTTATTTTGATCACAAAGGATCAAACCCTTGTCTTTCTCAAAACATTTTGGCTTCTGGTTTGTTTTTTTTTCCTTTGTTTAAAGCAACAAGCCATGCTTGGGATTGCCAGGAGTCATCTCATGAGCTCAGGGGACTCCAGACCAAATATATTTTTATTTTTTTTAGGGACCAATCTTTCAAGGAGTGTCTGGATGCACAAAAAAGCCATCAGATAAAGTTGGGAGTGCATGAGGTTGAGGAATGGGGACATGAAATGATAAATGCTTGCAAATTTACAGCATGTAAAAACAGAGGGCAGCAGTCTTCCTAGTCAATGCTTAGGTATTTGGGAATAGGGCATATACAAACAGATGTGACCTACAGTCACCTAACCATTAGCTAGACAGCCATGACAGATCTGGTTATCCAGCAGATCATAAAATTTTAGACTTGATTAGAACACTGAGAAATTTTACCATTTACATCTTTTCTATGTAATGGACATCCCTTGAGGAGGGATGAGATGGCATTGGTTTGTACTATGCTTGTAACTAATCAGCCAAAATCCCACCACCTCTAGATGAATTCACCACTGTTTTTCCCCTACCCCCCTGTCTAATTAGATGAAATACTCTTTTCTTTTTGTGCATATGAGGCATTGGACAAAGACTCTTACGCACAATTGTTATTTTTAGATCACCGCCCTCTCCTAAACTAATTTTATTAGATTTACTTCTTGTCAGGGACACCAAATTTTAGTATTGAATATTGCAATTTTCAAAAAGGAAGAGAAATTAAATAGGAGCAGCAAGTTTCATTACTTATGAAAGATTCATTAAAAAAAGAAGTATTGGATTAGTCTCTGATGTCTTGTCAACACCATCTTTCATTTCCCAACTCAGTCTGACAAAAATTACTGTAAATTTATACCCAAGTTCTTATGTACTTCAGGAATAATTTGGGCAGGTGACCATGCTTGGGGGACAAGAAGCATCAGCACTCAGAAACCCTGGGGCAGTTTGGGCATGTTTCACCATTTTCAATCAAAGCTGAAGGTCTACGCAGAAGCCTGCTATTTTCTCTCCTTTTTTCATCACAACTCCTGAACTCTGTCATTGCAAATAGATGACATGCTCTCATGTATGAAGCTGTAACCTCCTGTCAATCCAGTTACCATCTTATTTTGCAAGCCACTTTTTCCATCTTGCATCTTTTCAGATATCAAACAACACTGGGCCAACAAAGAGAGGAAGAGAGAGAGCAGCCCAAGACCTGTTACAGAATCACAGAAACAGAATCACTGGGTTGGAAGAGATCTCCAAGATCATCGAGTCCAACCCCTGCCCTAACACCTCAACTAAACCATGGCACTGAGTGTCACATCCAGTCTTTTTTTAAACATATCCAAGGATGGTGACTCCACCACCTCCCTCCTTGGTGCAGCTTAAGACTGTGTCCTCTCATTCTGTCAGCTGCTGCCTGGAGAAATCAGCTGTTCATATGTTCATACAACCTCTTGCAAACCACCTGCTTTGCACGTGCTCCAGCGCCAGCTGCAGGTCCTGTCCACCCAATCAGTGTAGTGATAAAACCAGGATTTAAAAAAATTTCACTGATGTAGGGAAAAAGGAGTTTTAACCCTTCTATTAATCCGCATAAATGAAGGGAAAGTACCACCAAATGTCTTCCAGCTCCTCCTTAGGTTTGTAAATCATACATCATAATTATGTAATATGACAGTATTATCATTTCAACACTTTACACATCTGCAATTTCTCTGTGGAATTAAATCATATTTTCATTTCCCCAAGTTATCTGAGTTACCATAGGCCACAGTAATTCTGAAATTATCACCTACAATTGAGCATTTTTTATTGCCTATGGCATTCTTTCAGCAAATTAATTTTTAATACCCAGGCATATAATATTGAAAAGTTGCCTTTATGCATTATAACTTGCTACTTTTATATCTATAAAGGACACTCATTTCATAGCCTCAATCCCCGTGGACCAGCTTGTAAACTTATGTACTCACTGTACTGACTTTAAAGGGACTGTACTCCCAACAAGTACTCCATGGGGAACCAGCAATGCAACAACCATTTCCATAAACACAGGAAAGACTTTTTAAAAGGGATTAAAGATTTTGGTGGGACAGGAGTTCACAATGAGCCCATGAGGAAAAAGCAATTTTTGAAACATAGTACTGATTAGGTGCTCAATATTCTTTGAAGAAGAAATTGTAGATGAAGGATGCAACTAAAATATTGTCAATTTTGAAAAGCTTAGCAGGAATATTTAAAAAGGATTCTTTCAAATATCTCAGAAACAGATAAGATACAGACTGAAATTGAACACTACTGCATGGTCATTCATCAATGCCAACAGCAGTTTTTAAGCTACTTACAAACTTTTGAATAAATCTCACAATGGTCCTCACTTGCATCCAAATTACCCCCCAACCCCAAATATAAATGCAAAGGATTTTCACAAATTATATACAGAAGTGTGAGAGACATTAAAGCTCACAATTTGGAAATTGTATTATATTTTCCTCCTTAATAAAAGCCCTACTTATAAAGCGATGGTTCATTGGGCATTTTAGAAAGAACTCAAGGAAGAATACGTTTTTATCCATTTCTTGAATATTTTATACTTCTTCTATCATGCAGTAATTGTGTCTGCTATTTAATTGCTCTCATTTAAGAGCTAATAAAAGATATAAATCAGATATCTTTTACAAGATAGTACAAGGAAGTTTTATGACCAAAACCACAAACAGAAAATCCTCCATTGTATTGCTATTGAAATAATATAATTACATGACATCAACCATTTTTATGTTTTTCCTTGCTTCAGGCACCTAAAAGAGTAAAATGGATTTTTATTTCATTGTAGACAGTCTGATACAGTATTCTGTGCTTTGTCCATTAAAGAAATCAGTCACTATGAGCTCTAAAAAACTTAGGTTCTTGAAGGAAAAGGGGTTTTCCTCAACTGACATACAAATACTTTAGCTAAACAAACTCTTACTTAATGCTAGCTACATTTACTGCTGTCACAAACTCAATGCTGCTCCTAGTTCTATAAACTTGTATTTATTTTAAATAAAAATCACCCTTTAAAAAATTAGCTAAATCAGTATGACTCCTCACTGAGGAAGGATAACAGGAGTTGATGATGATGATGATAATGATGATGATGATGATGATGATGGAGGCTTGTTTCCATTATGCTCAAACTCAACAGCTTCTGAATGCCTCAGAGATACAGGAATGCCAGTAGGACAGACAATGATAACACTGTCCCATGAACAAGAACAAATTATTTAAATTGCACAGAAGCTTGGATTAAAATAATTTCCAGACTAAAAATATATTGGACTGTCCAAGGCTGGCATTGCTCAGTTTTGAGAATATGCTCCACATAAGGGCTGCTTGCAGAAATATTTCTTCCCTCCACACACTCTAGTGCCAAATTAATGCTAATCTCTTTCTGTCAGTCATTCTCCATGGCATTGCCTCAGCAATTAAAATGTAATGTGTGCAAAGAGAAGCCCCAGAGCATTACATGCTTTGATAAAACTACTTTTTTAAGCAAATCAGCATTGCAGATGCACTCCCTGTCCCAATAGTTTCAGCTTATTCATAACTGTTAGGAGTAATGAGAAGGAAATTAAACAGGAATAATATTTTAGTTCAGATCTGATTCTTGATGATATTATTTAGATAAACTGAACAAACTCCCCACAGTTCCCATATTGTTGATATTTATCTTGGAATGAAACAAGCATGAGTTCAGTACATTGATGTCTGAAAACAAGAGACATACACGTTTCAGAAAAATATGACTTTCAAAGTGGCGTACTTCTTGCAATTCTTCAAGAAATCTTCTTTACAAATAACAAAGTATGTCTTGCTAATCTCTGGATAAATCTAATTATTAAGATGCATATATTAATTAAGGTTTACTTGCCTTTTGAACTTGTAGAGGATGAAAGCCCCAACTGCAACTAGACAAATAACAAAGAGAACCACAATAGCCCAGTAGCCACTGCCTCCTCCAATCCTCTGAGAGTCTGAAACACAAAATAAAAGAACAGTTTTGCATGTCCTCTTCCACATCATTCACATTCTTGAGTGTTCTTTTCTATTTAATTGCCAAATAAAAACATTGGTTGTTATTTTTGCAACCTCTTCTTTTCACTCTGTCTGTGGCTTCTTCAGAAAGGCAAAACCACAGAATTAATTGGTGTCTGGTTACTGAAAGACAGAGGACTCATTTTAAAAAAAGAAAGCAACAAAGAGCAAAACCCAAGATCCTGAAGATTTCATTATTTGCATACTCGGTGGTTGTTTGGGTTTTTTTCAGGGAATCTAAAGTTATCATAGTAAATAATCACACACCCTAAGTAGGGCTGTATTAATTTCACAGATTGGGAAATTAAGGCTCTGAACAACAAACGAACTCATCAAGGTCAAGCACTGGTAAAGGCTGGAATAAACATGGGCTTCTTTCAATCCCTTTAGTGCTGGCAAACGAATGCCAGCCCTTTACACCAGACAAGGTACCACAGTGAGACTGTAGCACAATTCTACATTAGCAACTAGTAAAAGAGTTTTGTCCTCTACAGAACACTGACAGATAAAATATCACCACAGCATTTACATAAATTGATAGTGGCTGGCTAAAGCTGTTCCCCCACAACACACTGAAATTAATGAAGAAGGATATATTAAGGGAAATAATACACAAACAAAAATTAAAGGACATTTTCATAAAAGATTCAAGTCAAAGCTGTACTTTCTGGTTAAAACATAATTTTAACATCTCTCTGTTTGAAATACACGTATGTATGCACACATATTCTCTTCAACCAGTTTTCATTACCAGTGAATCCAGAGAGGCAGAAAATGCACACAACTCCCCCTGCCCCCACCCCATTTCCACTTGTTTTAAATAGAGAAAAAACATAATTTATCTCAGGACAGGATTAGCAATGTGGATTCCCTACAGGAACCTTCCCATGATTTGATCAGAAGATCAGAGATACATGGCATAGATACAGCAAGCCTTGTGTTACCAGACCCAGGCAGTTACAGCAGCAGAGTTAATGGCTGATATAAGGGCAAAGAAGTTCTGTTTTCTTAGCAGCCAGTGCAGTCTAAAGTGCCTTTAGATTACCAGATGAATTTTTTGAAGCCTGATTGGCTCTTCCTTCAGAGCACTATTTTGTACAATGAAGGTATTTATTTTATGTTGTAGTTAGACAGAAAAAGCAAGAAGCTTGTGATACAAATTGTGAGGTATGACAAAATGGAAACATAGAAAAAAAATATTTATTTGGTTGTGATTTTTAATAATGACCAAATGAAAATGTATACATATATATGTGTGTGTATGTATGTATGTGTGTGTCTGCATATATATATATGTTAACATATATATATAAAATCATATATACATATGTGTTTATTTATATGTAACAAGTACCAAGTAAGTATATACAGACGTGTTATGCATTGATATAAAGATTATGTATATGTGATACACATTGATAAAAGGATTTTCTCCTTAAATTATTAGAACTTGAACAGGCATTTGAAAGTTGGTCTATTGATATATTGATAGCTTTTTTATATATTTACCTGAACCGGAGTCAGCTAAAGTCACTAAGACCCAGTATCCTCCCCTCAGAAAGAAACTGATGTTGTGTGCATTCAGGGCCTGCTTTATAGCTGCTATTCTCTGAAAATACAACAGAGAGAATGTCAGATGTCTTGTGCTCTGTTCCACTTTGAGATGCTCTGTTTTAAAAGGGAAAACCTCTGGTTCTTTAATGGTGAAAGCACTTGTCAATGGTGAGCTGAAATCTAAAAGAAATTCATCATTTAAAAATCAAACAAAACTCCAAAAGACATAAAAGCTGAAAATGTCACAATTTTATAGCCAAATCTTTCTTTTTGATTACCCAAGTCTTTACGTTTACCCAGTATGACAGACAGCAAGTAATTTGCACGCGCTATTGGATTTACCTGGGTCATAACTCACACAATGCATAATCCATATTAAAAACCCCCATTCTTCTAACTTATCAGAATAAAACCTATGATGTCACTTTGGATTTCTTGCTATGAAAAGTAACTACTATTTAATAATGAACTGCATGTCATAATTTACCTTACCTCCTTACCTATAATGGAATGAATTCCATTTATAGCTAATTTTTAACAATACTCCATAGAAATATATACATTCATCCATGTGGAAAAAAATCAGTATTCTTCCCATTTTCCTCCAGTGGCCAGAGCATAGTGAAATATGGACTTTCATATTTTTATGGAGCAGAACCATTAAATATACCCTCACATCCTAACCCCAGATGAAAAATTGTCTGAATTATATTTTCTGCTTGCTTGTGTCTTCAACATGGTCAATTTTCTAAAAGATCAAAGCTAGTTTTATACTCTATGCCTTTTAATTTGGGACACGACTTCCCAGGGGATGCCAAATTAGAAATTTGTTTTATATCCATGAAATCTTCACAAGTTACTCCTTTTACGATATTATCAATTATGGTGCTCATCTTTTGAAGTATAATGGATAAAAATCCCCGTAGTCCCTCTCATATTATGGACAGAGACTATACCAAAGTTCACATATCATCATTCTTTTTGAGGAATATCTAACATCTGAAGTCATTCCACTGCCATTATTAAATTTTTTCATGTGGGAATGACTCAACGTAAGGGTGGAGTGAGCATGGCTTCAGTTATTTCACAAGACAATTACAGGAGATAGCTCCTAAGTATTTATCTTGTTGCCCAAAGCCTGAAAAGAAAATTGATATGACAACTCCACTGATTAGGAGGCTTTAAAGTGATTCTGCTATCAATGAAATAAAGTTTCTTTGTATCAATCCAGGCTCATTCATGTGTTCATGGTGTACAGTGCAAAAGAGACAACTACTTTAGGTTAATCTGACTTACAGACAGTAAATGAAATTTCTGAGCTCCATAACTTTTGATTCCTCATATTTTCCTGGCAGGTTCCTAACGTTTGGTGTGGTTTTTGCTTAAGTGATTAAGACTTGTTTGTTATTTAACTCCCCACTGCTGGATTTGTACCCAAATCTATATGAACAACAGGCCTCAGGTCAAAAATTTGAATCTCACGTGAATCCAGCCAAAGGTTCTGGCTTATTTATTTCACTGATAGACTGATGGTTTTTTCAGTGCTCATGGGTTGTCTTTTTTCTGCCCCAAGGTATTTATTTGAGCATGGTGCTGCCACCTCTCCAGCACCATTTGTTTTAAAAAACAAATGCAGTCCTTGGAGCTCCTCTCTAGACTTCTTAAGTTAGGGTTCATATACCAGAATTTGAATTTTCCATCTTTTTCTACCTCCTTCACAATGACAATATTTGAACATGTGAACACAATGGCTTCTGCATTATAAGAATGTAAAAGAATGAAAAATGATGACACTATTCAAACTCTTACCCACTTATATGTCTTGGGTTCTGACCTTCCCTTTTTGCCAAAGCAATTTTCATGAAGTAGTTTGTCTGGATAGAAATCTTCCTCAGAGCCCCTGCCTTCCAGATTATAGTTTAATTGCACTTTAATTGACTCTTTCAACTGGACTCATCCCACCTGACATTAGACATGCAATAGATGTGCATAAATTAAGCAACTAAGTCTTCTCTGGAGTCAATAATTAGAATGGAGTACTTTTGAAATTTCTCTGTTCTTGAAAGCAGGTTAAATCACAGTCAGCTTTTATTTCTCTGCATATATTTGAAACAAAAAGGGCTCTTGTCAGAGCAGAATAAAATTTCAGAATTTTCCAAAGGGCTCCTCTTACTGCACTGACAGCTTGCTTACCATCTTTGTTATTGATGGCTACTTTTATCAGTAATGATTCATATTCTACATAAGTAACCTCATAAACAGTATGACATCCCAACACTCCATGTAAAGTACCAATAAAAACTCCAGCAAGAAGGTGTCCTCTGCCTAAGCAAGAAATTACTGCTTTTAATCTTCCTGAAATGTAATATTTCCAAATATAAAAGGTTTTCAGCTGAGAACAGAGAGGTTCTCTTTATGGAAAGACATTTTATAACTCTGTCTAAGTTAAGGGTATCAGGGACACGTCCTCCAAATATGCAGAAAACATTCCAGATTGCTGAGTCCTCACAAAAGTGTCACCACACTGACTTTGAGAACTGGCACAAGCATCATGACAAAGCTTCCTTCCACTGATCCATGATAAAAACCTTCAAGATTCTCTTCTAGTAACAGAAGTGAATGTAAGGAATCTTTAAATATATGACAACATGAGTATTTCCTTGTTGACTTACCATAAGCTATTGCTTCTAAGTTTATTTATATAGGGTATACTTTCAGGACATTTCTCAACTTACAGTTGATTCTGATATAACACATTTTATCAACATTTTTGCCATTCAAGTCTATAGCAACAAATTTATATGCACATATCAATAACCAAAACAATGTCCATTAGCAACAATATAAAAACAGAAATGTAGGCAGCTGTCAGAAGAAGACTGGCTGTACATCTCTGCAGCATTGTATTCTATAAAGCAATCAGTGTTAAAGCAATCAGTGTTCAGATGTGAGACTGTACCTGACTTACTATCACTGCACAGCAGAGGCTGCTCTAATTACTCCTGTCTCCCTTGTTCCTGCTCCAACCCCAGACACCAGGGGTCTGACTTAACCTAACAGTGTTAGAAAGGTACCTATTCTCCAGATTATACCATTACTTTCCCCTTCCTGTGCTCCTCTAGCTCCAGAAAACCTTTGCAAGGTCTTACTGTAGAACTAATTTCCAAACCATGTCCTGCCACAGTACTGTGACATCGCTATAGCCCCACTGAATGGATGGAAGCTTTTCCAAATCACTTGCAGCATGCAGGATTGCTCCTCGTTATGCTCTAAAGTAACACACGTGATGTTTCATACACAAACATGAGAAAAACCTTGACACAGCCCTGATTTGAACTGATACTCTTAAAGCTACCTTGAAGCACAGCACTAATACAGAAATTGAGATTTAAAGGGAACTAATATGCATAACACTTTACACTGAAGTAAAATGTTTGTACAACCAAACAAATCTATCACCATTAGTTTCCTTAAATTATTGAACACATCCATTCCCCACAGGCTTAGAATAAGGAATTTCTTGGAGAAGCTTCACCTTGCTTCTTCAAGAAATGGAAATTTTCAAATAATTTTGAAGCGGTAATATTCCCCTGGCTGAAAACCTTAGTTCATTAATGTGTGTCTATAAAAGAAACAACCTGCTAAAATTAACTATTTCCTGCAACATAATCAGGAATTCAGACTCCCAGGAATTCTCACTGTGACTACATGGGAGAACAGTAAAGGTTTCTGCCAAAAAAGTAGAAAACTTTTTGCACTCAGACTATAGTCCGTGCATTTTAATGATAGACACCTGTTCAAGTAGTTGGACAACTTCAACATACTCCTTTGGACTTTCTGAAATACATCTCATGAACACAATCTATTTGGTTTATGTTAATATGAAAAGTTTTGTCTTACCTACTTCTGCTCTTCAGAGACAGTGACCTAATGTCAAAAAGCAGTAAAATGCCCTTTAAAACTAAAGATACCTTACACTGATTCTTTGTAACTGGCAGGACATGAACTGCAAGGTAGAATAACAGAACTGGGATCTGCTTCTTCTCTATCCCAGCAAAAGGACAAATATAATAAATTTTAAGTGCCAAACAGTCTTTTGGTTTTCAACTGGAATGAAGTCTTTTACTTCATTTACTTCAGGAAACATTGTTTGAAAACAACTAGGGAGAAATTAACGTCCGATTTTCAATCCCGTGTTCACTAACTTTGTTCCTTACCAATTGAAAAGGACATTTTCTTACAAGGGCAGAAAATACTTGCTTGATGCTCTTTACATTATGGGTAAACAACCAAGGTTCTGGGTTTGCTTGGACCTGAAATCTAATTTCCTTCTGAAGACAGTGCAGAGACTCTTTGCTCTACTGGATCTTCACAGAATGACATGCATCCCTGCTATTTCTGTTTAATAGACAGACCAATATTAAATATTCTTGAGAAATACACTAATACCAGAAAGAAGTAGATTATGCTGGTCTGTACATGGTCAAACACAGCAGAGATAACTGCTGTAGCATTCACATGTGTCTTGTCAGATGGGAGTGAGATCTTTACATAAGCAGGGATGACCTCTTAAATTCACATAAAGACAATGAGAGTACAGCCACTTGCTGCAAAACAGGGTGAAGACTGTCCTAGGCAGATGTGCATTGCTCTGGTTACCTTATCACTAGTTATGCTTCTCTTCTTTTTTGGTTGATTTGCTGGTAGTAGCACATGCAAGTCAGCAGCTGTAGGCAGACCAGGTTTCACAACTGTCCTGAGTGTTTCTTCAGGTATACTGGTCTCCTGTGAAGACAACAAAAGCACACTTTGTGTTTTATATAAAACACATAAGTAACTCCACACATGGCTTTCAGACTTTGGTGTTCAGATCCTTAATATTTAAAGGGAATTCCACTAGAAGCTGAAACATGAACAAAGCCAAACATAAATGTAATGAAATGTGAGTTGCTCTTTGGGTATTGGAAGGCCTAAGTGTTGTTATCGCATTAAAGTCATTCAGTGGCATTGCAAAAAGAATTAAAATGAAGAGGTTTTCAGGTTTTATCAAAACTCTGCAATGGCTGAGCACTTCTAAGGTAACATTAAAAACAAATCCCAAGTGATTTAGGATCCTTTGTGGGCCATTCAGACACAGTGTAGACTTCGGAGTGCGTATTCATTGCAGGTAACTTTAGCTTTTGAAGGTTATTTAGGAGGGTGCTTAATGGACAGAGAGAAGTCTTCCAACTTGAGACTAAGAACACTCAGGTTCAGCTCCTGAAATTGTAATGAATACCTTAATTCCCCTGCTAAAAGTCAAATGCATCTCTTCGTAAAATAGATTGTGCAAATTTGGCTTTTAGACCCAAATTTCTCCATGTTTTGTACAATGCAGCCACACAATTCTAATGACCATAACCTGGGCACTTAGCCTTCCTCAAAAAGATTCTGAAACTCTGTCACATATTTTGGCAAATGTTTTAGTAATTATAAAATGCATGAGCTATTTTATAGGGGAGTAAAATATTTTTTGACTGACACCAGTGGAACTCCTTATGGAATGAGTTTAAGTTAATAAAAGCAAGAAATTAATTTGACATTTGATAAGAATCTCAAAAAAAACCCAACAGGAAACTCAATAAAGTCAAAAAGTTCAGAACCTGATTTGCACAATTGCAAATCCGGGAAAAGTAAAGTGATTGAAAGTTCAAATATTTTATAAAATATCTAGCTGTGCCTCAGTGCTGCTGCCCTCATGAAAGCCAGTGAGTGCACCCTCAGTTAGTGGCAGGGTGTGTGCCTGAAGAGCTCTCGAGCTCGAAGTTTCCATGAGGTGATCTAATGCCACAGAACTACTGCACAGTTTGTATTTGATTTACCCTACAGGATTCAGCTGTTCCCAATCCACATTTCTTTTGTGAACATGCTTCAAAAAAACAGCTGTACAAATTGTGTGCCTATATATTATACATAGTTTTCAAAGTTACAGAACAAGCACAGTAAATTCTTTCTTTCTGCTTTGTTTTTACACAAAGATGGTATCTTTTATATTTCACATTGCTTAGCTTCTAAATCTACTTAACTCTTTCTGCTTTGGAGTCAGCAGTGTTTGCTAATATGTCTATCCTTAATCCCAGAGAGCAATTATTTAGCATTAATTGCCAATTAGGCTGTGTTAGACTTAAACTGTCTGTGTTAAAATATCATTGTTGACAGCTTGCATTTAAAAGTGACACTAGGCTCAAACTTGCTTGAAATGTAGCTCATGAGGTTCACCTTATTATTTTGCTCTTCCTCCATTTCAAAATACCTTCTAAATGAGAAGGTATTAACTTAACCTTCTAGCTTTACGAGTGGCGAGGGAACATTTTACAACCAATCTGAAAGAGCACCTTTGCAAGAAGTCGCGTCACGACCCGCCCAATGTCTTCCCTCCACTCTGGGATGTCGGGGTTGTACATGTCCAGGTGCTTAGTAAACTTCAGAGGAAGAACATGAAAATTATCTAGAAAAAAAAAAAACAACAAACCAGCAAGAAATAAACTAGATTGCAAAAGGAGTTGGAGAGAACTAAAAGGTAAAATCCCTATTTAGCACGTTTTGCTGTGCAGTACTGCAGTATCTAGGACCCCTGCTGCTCTCTGTTGTCAGGTGTTGAATTTCTTTCTCTATTTTCATGAACATCATCAAAATTGTGCCCAAAGACTAAAAAAGGAGGAAGAAAAGGAAATGAAGCAGATTTACATACAGGCTCTGAGGTCATAACGTTCAAAATAATTTTCCCCTAGGTCAACAAAGGAGTATTAAAAAGAACTCATTGGTTTCTTTTATTTGAAATGATAATGCACCAATGGATTTTATTCTCACTCAATCATAAGCATATGGGGGTTTTTCTACTATACATTCCTGTTTTCCCATATAAAATGAATATGTTACTCCATAAATTAGATACAAAAATAAGAACAGAAATGATATGACAAAGGCTAACTACTTCTCTCTTTGAAGAAAAAATAAAGCTATATTTCTCTGGATATTGTCAAAAATATCTGAAATACCAGAAATGGGTTGATCCTTAGAAAGCAGTCTCTAAAATCTTCCCTTTCTCCCTACAGGATCCTTGGAAGAAAACCTATAGAACTTAATGCAAAGCAGGGATAGAAAACCTCTGGAATGCACGAGTCAAACCTGCTTCCCCCCAGTATTTCAAACAGAATTTTATTTTAACATGGCCTTCTTTTTCAAAAGTTTCTTTATCTTCCTGATGGCCAGTACTTTAATGCTGTTGATATCAGGATTGGCAAAAGGTGCACTGGATTGATAAAGCCATTGATGTAGTCTCACTAAGGGGTTTATGCATCTAAAGATTTCTAAAAAAGCTGATGCATTTATAAGTGGTGGCACAAATGTTATATCCATTTATCTTAGAAAAGGAGAAGGTTCATAAAAGCTCCATTTAGCATAAGTGGGGATTTTGTCATTATTTCAAATTAGTAAGTACACTAAAAGCAAAAATAACAGAATCTTCATCAGACAATAGAGATGTATCACATCTTGAATTGCATGATATCTGAAGGCTTTTAGCTCTGCATTAAAATAAAAGCTTTTATACTTATCACAATTCCCACATGTGACAGCACAAATACAAATGTAAATAATTTCCCAGCACTACATTTTCCACACTATATTATGCCTTGTTACCACATTATAAAACACAAAAAAGCCGCACCAGGGCACAGTGTGGAACAAGAGATGAAGGGTTATTTAATAATTACAGCAGAGCTATATTTGATCCAAATTCTCAGATAAACATCAAGGTAACAGTGACACATTGTGATAAAAGGCAATTAATTCACATGGTTTTCAATGCTGAGAGCATATACACAACTAAATTTTCTTTTTTTTTTTCAGAGGTATTTAGACTACTTTATTTAAAAATTCTGGCAAACTTTCTAGTCACAGGCCAAAATACTGCTGAAACACATATAGCATCTGAGAACCACAGCAACATCTAATAGAAGCAGAGGAAATAAAATGCTTGAGATTAAACCTCCCATATAATCCCACTGTTCAGCTTAGTGGAGTTATTTAGTGACTGTTCATGCCTCTAATTTCAACAATTAAATCTGGCATTAGATTAGATATAATCTAGACATTAAATACATATATATATCATATATATATAATTATATCTAACACATATATCTAACATATATATAGATATTTTATATATATATATATATATATACACACAGTAGGCTCACTTGTGGTAGGGCTGGTTTTAGAGATCCAATATAAATACATATCAAACAAACAAACAAACAAACAATTAAAAATAATTAAAAATAATTAAAAATAATTAAAAATAAAAGGTCTAACGTCTCACCAAAAACGTGAACAACTTTTGAGTCCTGAAGCATAGAGCTCCCACAGGAAACTTGCACTGTAACTCTGACATCACCTGTCTCAGCAAACTTTGTCACCAGAAAACTCTCCAATGTAAGCAGTGGCTTTAAAAAAACAAAGAACAGTTGAAAACAGAATTTCAGCAACAACCATGAGAACAGTGCTGAAAGAAACTGTTGTTAAAAATACCACAAAAAAAATTCACATCCTATTTAATTTTTTCAATGTTTTATCAAATTGATCAATTACAATTTTCAATGTAGATTTTTTTCTTTCCCTAAAAGGATCCTATATAATCAGAATTCCAGCCAGATGAGGAAAATATTTCTTTTAGAGAATTCAGTTGAGTATTAGGTTTTCAGTTAGATCCCACTAAAATTAATGGAGTCTGAGGGAGACTCAGCAATCTCTACAAGATTATATGAAGCAAGTCATTTGCCTCAAAAATGTAGGGTATGTCTGGGTCAAAAGGATTAATGCTGTCAACTCAGAGCCCACAGTAACCTCTAAGGTGGAGCTGAGATACTCTGTTCCTTTACCACATCCTTTAGAATGACAAGACCCTTCACAAGACCCACAGTGCCTGTTCTTGCAATGGCAAAGTCAATAATGATGAACAGATAGGCTGGGGTTACAGTCAACATCACATTCACAAGAAGAAAGTTCACTGCACTTATTTGAACCATTCCTCTGTCATACTTTGCCTCATAAAGAAAATATTTTACTTATCTGTTTTTGAAAAAATTGCCTTAAAAGAAATTAACCCAGCTATACAACAAATACTGCCGATAGAAATACTTGGATATTTAATGCTCTAGGACATGTTTATATAGACTTTGATCCCCAAATGATTTACACTAGATTGTTTTGATATCCTTTAGGAAAACACATTTATTTTTGATATGACAGTTATTTAAGACTCCCAGAAAATATTTGTCTATACAATGAAAAAAAACCCCCTCAAATTAATCTATATGTATATATATATATTTATTCAGCACTTTATTTACATCACTCACATTATTAGCTTGGAATTGCATAAATCCAAGTTTCATCATTCACCGGTTATGATCTAAATCCATCCCCATATAGAAGTTGTTTTTTTCCACAGGTAATGATTTCTCCCCCACAAAGAAAACAGTTTAGAAATGAAGAAACAACCTTTATTGGAAAGAGATTGAAATAATCTCAGTCAAAACCATTTGTGTACCTGAAGACTGTTTCCTATCCACCAGTAGAAAACTGTCAAATTAGGGTTCCTAGGCAGTATGATGGCTGTCAGGTTCACCTCCTGGTTTCTCCCAATGACTGGAACCACTTCTAAATTTAAAGCCTGGAGAGGAGCTGAACAAAGTTCCAAAAATATCACTGAACAAGAATCCATCAATTTATTAACACTTCCTTCCCCAAAAGCCTCTCATTTGTTAACCATAATGTCCTGAATTTATTTTAACCTCCCTCTTTTCCTCCCTCTTTTATATCCATGTTGAAAGCTATGGACACAATTGGAAAGACCTCATTTCAACCAAAAAACATCCCCCTGATCACTCCAAGACCCCTCAAACAAAATCTTAAAGCAATAAGACAGCTCAACAAAACACACTTCTCTCAAGCCCATTCTTTTCATTCATGTCCAATTCTAGAACACATAAGCAAATACTCCAGTTAAAAAGTGGAAAAGGCAATCTCAGCTTTTTTTTTATTTTTTTTTTTTTACTTAGTAACAAAAGATTAAATGAATAGAAATCTAACAAATCTCAAATTGCTAAGGGAAAAGCAGAAAACTGAAAAAGAATGCTGCTGACTACTCATTTTCATTATAAAATATCAGCTGTTAGGCTCACACCACACAAAAAATCTCATTAATGCATGCTTTAAAATAGATGTGTAGATCAGGGGAGCATTTATTTTCAAATCAAAATAGATAACCTATGTACTACAAAATGTGCCTTAGAGTAAGTTTATTCCTTTCTGAACTACCAAAACCATAAACATTATTATTTGTTTAAAAGAAATGCATCATTACAACAGTTTTATCTGCTTGTAAGTGTTGTGTTTATTGGTGTTGTGCTGTTTCACAGTACAATAATTGTGTTGAAAGAAAATCTTTCCCTCAGAGGATTCCCTGTATATTTTCATCAGAGTGTCTGCAGGTAAAAGCTTTTTAACACTACAGCACGATAACTAGAATTTCTTAACTTCTTCACCTGCACCAACTACCTGGGATATGAAACCACTGTATAGCTCAACATTCGTTCATTACACAGAATAAATACTAACCCATCCATTTCTGTTCCATTCTAAATATCTTTTAACTCATTCAAAGGTTTTTCATCTTAGTGCAAACTTAAAGGTAATTAACACTGGTCTAAACTATTTATCTTATTTTGTATCTTGAACTGAGTCAAGTTCTTGCTCGTTCACTTCTAATTCACTTTGACTAAACTGACTGAAATTCTGAGAGCAACTTGTCCAAACTCCTTTTCTACCTCACTTCACCGGGTCTGTGTGGTGCTTCATCCAAATGTAAGGCTGTACCTTCACTCTGCATTTTCTCCAGTAACTCTTTAACCACCTACATGAATTAAAGAAATTAATCAGGTGCTTTAACAAATAATTTCTTCAGTAGCTTCTAGAGGAGTAAAAATGCTTCTTTGGTGATGGTGTCCTGAAGAAAATTCAGAAATATTAGGAATTCCATTAAAATTGCTCCTCCTAGAAATATATTTTCTTTCTGGAAGGATATGAGAAACTTTTTTGCTTTCACCATAAATTTGTGTTTTCACAGAGGAAACAGATCACTTTGAGATATGGTTTTGTTCCTGAAGAAGATTACTTTCTTTTCCAAAATTTTTAGAGGCCAAGTTTTCTGGTACTTGAATGATGACTAATTTCAACTTTGCTGTTTCTATATATGTTTCTATATATTAAATAAATATATTTATATATTAAATAAGTATTTAATATATATTAAATAAATAAAGCTGAAAATAATTACTTCAAATCCTTCTACTTGTCTGCCACACAATTCTATAATGCATTTGAACAAGCTTCATAGCACCCTTAAGTGTGAACAATTAAGACTGAAGTTATATGGTTTCTATTTAAGTTAAAATTTCAGTAGTGTCCAAAGTTCCACAGTATAAAGGTCATAGTTACATAAAAAATAAAATGTATGCAGCATATGTATTAATGTATGTATTCAGTTCTTCTTCAGTTCCTTTTATTCTGAGTTCTTGGGTCTTTACAGTTGCTGACTCACATTTATTCTAATTCTAATTTCTAATTTCTCTTGCGGTTCATTAGAAAGTTGCAGATTGTTTAATCTGGATCAGAAAGCACAATTTGGATGACAGGCCAAAATTCTTATAATTGTCCAGCATTACAGAGTATCCCATAACAACTTGGCAGAAGTGAAAAAATATTTCCTCCACCATTTGCCTCTGAAAAAATTCCCTGAGAATACATCAATTGGAGTCTGCTGACTCCTGAAAGAGATTCCTGCTTTCATGGTATTCCACAGTGAAAAATATCCCTTAATGGCTATTAGTGTTTCACTAGAATGTAGAAATTGCAGTTTAATTAGTGCCAACTAATTTCCTCAAATCTTGTAATTTACCAAAAAAAATTAAACAGAGTAAATCACATGGAAAGCATTTTCTCAAGCAGGCTGTGTAACACACTCCCATGAGCCTGCTAGTCTGTGCAAGGCAGGCTCAGGAAGGGATCACATCTGCTGCCTCTGCACTCCAGCACCAAAGTCCCCCTAGTGCACCATTTACTTGTCTAAAATAATTCTGTTTTTACCAATTTTAAAACCTGCTGCATAAAAGAAAATCAGCATCTTTTAGTTTCACTGTTTATCCCAACACAGGCCATATTAAAAGCACACTTTGAGAAAGTCTTCTGCTTTCCATCAGGGCTTGCTACTGCCTGTCAGTCTCTGAAGAGTTAGAAGTTCTTCTTGGAGAGAAGGGTGTCACACAGAGTTTTTTCCTGTTCATTGCTTGTACAGATCTACTATTTCTTTGCCTACTCCACTTCTCACCACCTAGAAGTTTCTTAAAAGTAACAGTGAAGCCCAAAGTAATTTATCTGAGCTCTCTGGGGTTGTCAAATGATTTAAAAAACAAACACAACAGATAATGAAACTGAGGTGTAAAATTTGATTCTGATTCTCTCTGATTGATATTAACAGGAGACTGGTCTTTGGCATGAATGTGTTTGGATTCATCTGTTAATCAAAGAACTGGAAACTCTGACTAGCAAAATACATAAATATCAGCAGTCACTAGACAAGCTGACATAAAGCAGATGGCTCTGTGCACAAGCTGGTATATGGCTGCAGAGATTTCCTTTGCTTTGGGATTAGGATGAAGACACACCACTCACAAGAGAGGGAAACAGACACCTAGAGAATGCAAGATGAATATCTTTTCCTTTGATGTTACTAGTTTCTGAATTTTTGAAGCTTCTGAGAACAGGCAATAGTTGTCTTGAGTCTCTAAGGAAGAGGAAAAATCAGTTCCACTTTTGAGTTTTCTTCTTCATTTCAGTTATGAGATGACTGAGGTACATTAAGTTTGCAATGGTGCATGATATTCCCTGGGCCGTGCTATTCTTTATTTTATATCTGTTTGATTGGGTTTTCTCAGTCTTAATTAAGGAGAGGAAGAGAAGCATAAGTCAAGTAATACTGCCTACAAACATGAAGTTATAGCCAAGCACCATTTCAAACTCTGTGAGAATTAACTACCTAAAATCTAGATTTAGAACCACTGAGATTTTGACTATTTTTTAAAATCATACAAGAGCTCATATGTTTCCCAACATGTCTGTTAACTTGCTTTACACTGCACCTGGAAGCTTTACAAAGACATAGTTTGAAGTATTAAATTTTAGCGGCTAAGCCTGACAAGGGGTGTTGAATCAGGAAGATGGATCAAACCTGAAATTTATACTGAAGCATGCTTGTTATTTAAAAGATTAATAAACCATCCTTCTGCCAAATTCAAACAAAACTGATTCTGACCTCCTACTGGATTAGGTTCACGAGCCTCTGCATTACCAACACAACACTGAAAGGCTGCATGAGGACATTGAAAAAATATGTTTTCTCCTAATTGTGACTAGCAATTTTCTTTCCTACTTCAGAGCTGACATGAGGTTTTTATGCAGTGGTGAAAGTAAGAAAACCAAAGAGCTGATTTACAGTTGACTTGCACGAACACCACAGCCTCGTCGTGCCCAGCCACATTCTCAGCCTTGACGGACACACGGTAAATCCCAGGATTCTCGTAGCGGTGACGGATGGGCTCTCCAGTCATCGTCAGGTTCACATATATCGCCTTAAAGCCGTCTCCAAGATCTACCTGGTATTTGGTACTCAATACATCACCCTAAAAGGAAAACACATCAAAAATATCTTAAATGGCCACAACCAAAATGGACAGGACACGTATTCATAACCTTTTATGGAATCACAATAGCATTTTCAGCCCCAGCCAGACATCTTGACCCAATTGCAACAGTTGCAGTAAAACCACTACTGCTATGGCCATTACCTTAGTGCAACAGATGTTTTGTGCACTAATAGAGATAATACCATGTTTACAGAGCAAGGTGCTACCTTAAAATTATGTACCCCAAACCACTAACCAAGCTGTATGGCACAGAAACCACCACTCTTCTCTTAATGCAGATGGACATTTTGTAACATAATGGTGCAGGGCAGCCTCAGGTTCAAAATTGATGCTCAGGTGATTGTAAGCAACAGAAAATCACTATTTTAGCAATTTACTACTCCTCCCATGAGCTTCTAGCCTCTGCAATTATAAAGTAAAATTAATTGGCTGACACGTTTTTCACAACACCTTCCAGCCCCACCTTCTTAGTGTCAGCCATGTGGCCTTTAAGACCCAAGCTGGGATCTTCACACAGAGTTGTAGAGTGCTACACTGAGCTACCAGCATGCCAAGAACTAACATGCTCTAGTGCAAAATTAGATGCATGCTTAATGAGGCAGATCATTCAGCTGAGTTTGGGAAACGGTTTAAAAGCCGAGTCAAATAATTCTGTCATGTCAAACATCTCATGGAATTTATAATTCATCATACTTCTGCTAAGTGCTCCTTTAAGTGACACTGTGTTCCCGAATTCATGCCTAAAGTACCACAAGACTGATACCACCGTCAGAGGACAAACATGCTCATCACTCATGTTGTCATGGCATGGCTGCTCAAGAGAGAAATCAGGCCTGTGCCACATGGACTGGTGATCTGGATGCAGCCAAAGGATAATTCGTTTTAGCTGCGAGCAGCAACATTTTCTCAATACTACTGGCAGCACTGTCTGAGCGAGAGGCCCTGCTTCCTTGATCTCCAGCAGAGTGGATGTTCCTGCTTGCTTGCCAGGGATCATGGCCATCACAGCCATGCAATTCAGACAGGCTGCAGTCCTGCTGCAGCCAGGCTTTGTAGAAAAGCCTCTTTGTTGTGAAAACACAAGCACTGATTTCAAAAACTTCCTTGCCTCTAGGAAAGGAGTGTATATACACGTATGCTGGTCAATTAACATGGAAGGCCATCAAAGCAGAAAAGGATTGACATTAAAGGATTCAAAAATCACTTCATTTCTCCAAAAGGCACTGTCTGAAATTGCTTTATTTCAAAATTTAATCCTAAAAGGCAGCACTAATGTAGTTCTTTTTATTTTGACAACAATCAATGATTGCAATAATCTCCCCAGGAAAGTGGTGAATTACCCAAAATTGGATGCTCCCAAGATTTAGCAGGACAGGTGCCAGGCATCTTATCCAGCCCTGTTTTTTCCAAGAGAGGTTGGATCAGATGAACCTTAAGGTCCCTTCCAGCCTGTCAGTCTATATTTCTATGGTTCTTTGAAAATCAAAGGAGGTACCATGCCTAGAACCTACATACCCTGCCATTACAAAAGGAAGGAAAACATACTATTATTTCCTCCTTCTATTATTTTTCAGTGTGGATTATTTTCTTCCATGTTTTATCACATGAAACGATATTGCTCATAATGTAAAAAATACCCATAATAAGGAACCTGTAGGATTATCAAATACATAAGCACCAATTTCAAGACACATAAAGAACTGTGAAAGCCTCTTCACTGTGAATAGTTTTTTTCCCAAATAACATTTTTCTTTTGACAACAAAAGAGTAGAATTTTCCAGAGGAGATAACATGTTATTAAAGTTTAAAGCAAAAGAGATATCTCCTTGCCAGCAATGTGTTAGTAAGTGGAATCTCTAGATGACATCAGCTTGCCTGCAGTTTTTGTACACTCTTTCTTATGCTAACAAGTATATGCACGTATTTTTTCCAGGTGAGACTGAAACCAGCACTGAAAGACAGTAGAGGAAGATTCTCTTAACATTTTATTCTAATGGCTTCTCTAGTGTAAAGATGAGAGTGCTGTCTTCAAAACACTATTTTCTATGTCCTGACCAGCGAAAACAGAGAGAATGGAGAGATAGCAAAACAATGACAAAGGGAAAAGGTATCTAAATCTATAAGGAATTGGGACTTCCACTTTCATAAAAATTAGGAGAGAGATTGTCATAACATTATTTATTTATATATTCAGCCAACAAAATTTAAGAAAAATTATGATAATGATGATGTATTTATTTCTTATTATTATTTCTAAAGACAGTTGCAAACTGCCCAAATGTACCAGAAGCCTGCTTCCTTTAACCTCTGATTTCTGGTATTCCTGCACCTAACAACATGCATTCACAGAAACTAGCAAATTAATTTTGTTCACCAGAGAAAGTAGTATGTTTTAGTTTGTTGTAGTAGAGCTGTTTCTTGAACTCAGTAATCGTTACAAATTCTCATTAGACTCTGTCATACAGATTAAATCCTAAGCAATGCTAAGGACATTTGAGTTTAAATATTATTTTTAGCCATAGAGGGCACCAAACTGCTACATTTCTTCTAAATCTGTCTTCCTCTTTGATGTATGGAGCAAAGACTTCACCAAAAAACACAGCAAGGGATTCTCTTCAAGATTCCTTACTTCTGAAGATTTGTGAATAATTTTACATGTTTTTCATGTTGCCACAGAGATTTATGAAAACTTCAGTAGGAAAAAAGTCAACCTGCCAATCAAAATCATTAGAGTCCAAATTGTAACCAAATGCTCTAGGCTTACAATAAACATTTCCAAACAAACTAAAAAGAGAAGGCAGCAGAACTTGCCACACAAACTGTTGGGGCACTGCACGCACTGGGACGCAAAGCCTGCGAAGTATTAAGCAGCCCAGCGTTCTGCACGTAACCTTCTTGATTCTATTACAGAAATAAATCCCAAGTGCTCGATTTATAGAGCACAGGTTTGCCAAAATGTGTGAACTTTCTTCAAGTTCTTGCAAACCAGTGGGGTTAGCCAGGATTACAATACTCTGGTAACCTGAGCAGAGCAGTTATAGCCTTATGCTAAAAAACAAGCATGAGAAAACAAACCCATGGCAAACAATTCATCCAAAAGTTATTCGCTGCTGTTGGTCATGGCCTTAGGGCATTGTTTCTCACTAAACAGAAAAAAACCCCACATCTTTGGCAACACAACCAATATATAATAAATACTTTTATTCTGAGCTACTTGCTGATTTCTGTAAAGCTTTGCCTCATTCCTTTCTGAAAAGCTGATTCTCAAAAACACCTAAACCTGAGTATTAAATGTTGTCTGCATTTCTGTTCTTCTCTGATACAGCAGTTGAAATTTTCAGTCCAAGAAGACTTTGGTAATGCAGTTACTCTGACTTTCCAAGAGACCAGTGCCTTTTCTGCTGAGGAGATAAATCCTGTTCTGTGGGTAGAATTTAGAGGTTCACTGAGTTTACCGGCTTGTCTTATTCACTTGAAATCAAGTTTCAGTACTTAGAAAGCTGTTAACATTTGTTTGAAGCACAAATTAATCTTCATTCAGCAGAAAAACAGGTAGGAATGAAACTAACCCTAAAATCATGGATTCAACTTCCATACAGCTAATGTTCAGTACTACCTGCTCTTGTTGGACAATGAAGGTGATGTCTTCCCCAGGTCTAACAGCCAGACTTTCTTCTCTGATTTTGATCTGAAGTCCCTTGGGAGCGATCAATGGGCACATATGGTGTGCTAAGTTCTGCTGCAGGTCTACTCCACCTTCACACACATTAGAAACAACTTTCCTGTACCTGCAAAAACAGTAAACAGTGGACACAGTGAATTGGAGACAAGCAAAAGAATGCCAGCAAAGGCACCAAATGCATGTGTTATTGTAGCTACTGCACTTTCCTTGGCATCACAAACAGACAGGATTGCAAAGGATCAAAGCCAACTCACAATGTAAGTACTTTCACTGGAGACACTGACTTTACTAGGGGAAACCTGCTGAAGAAAGGGGGTGTGGAGCATCATGAGAATTTCACTTGCATGCATTTGAAGTCTGTGTTTTCCAACTTAGAAACATGCCTGACTAGTCCTCGAGGACCTAGACAGTCTGCTGTCCTCTCTGCCATCCCCTTTTCTAGCATCCAAGTCTTCAGTGCTCTAGAGCTCTTGGTTCAAATCCCAGAGATCAAGAAGAAATTACACCAAACAGCTTCTGCATTAACCCAGAACTAATTGCTTAACTGCTGCTTTCAAATCCATTCATTTCTTAAAACACTTAAAGCATTTGTTTAATATAACCATATAAAAGAGTGAAAAGACTCACACTTTTAAACTGCTAATAATGAAATAGTCGGATGTGTACAGCAATTATTTACAGATCACTTTCACACAGGTATGTTATTTTTAAACATCCTTAAAAAGCAGAGTCATATTTCATTCTTTTGAATTCCCATTCTGTATATCACAGCTGTCAGCCACAACCCAAAAGGCAGCATTTTCCTCAGTAAGGTAAATATACAGAGGGACTGTGACTCCATTGCCAGATTGGACATTTTAGCATTTGGTTCTCATCTCCACAACCGACTGTGATGGTGTTATGATAAGCCAGAATAGATGCCAGCTGCAAGTTATTCTCAGCACAGACGTCAGACTGCATTGTAGTGTATATTCCATGCAGTATTGTTTATAGTTACTAAAGCTTTCCTTTGATTCTGAGTGTCCCATATGGTCAGGAAAAGAATCTATTCTCCACAGAACTCCTTACCCTTATGGAAGTGAGAAACTTGGAAATTCTGTGAGATGTTGCCAGTTCCTCAGAGTAATTCATTGGATCCAAACTGAAAATTACTCTGAACCCAATAAATGAGCTAAAAGAAAAGGTTCTGAATGAACATTCCTATCAGAAGTGCAGTAATTGATACAAAAAATTTAAAAAAATTTAAAATTCTGAAATGACAGCTCCCCCTCTTCTCAAATGGATTAATTTTTTAACTACTGTGAATATGCAAAGCAATATTTTTCCTTCATTAGTCTGTAGGAAGCTTCTGCTTATGCCCTATGTCAGAATCAGAATTTTTCCATTTCCCAGTTTTTGCAGTTTGCCTTATCTACATTTCATAGAATCATAGACTGGTTTGAGTTGGAAGAGATCTTAAAGATCAACTCATTCCAACCCCCCTTGCCTAGGAACACTTTCCACTAGATCAGGTCTCAAAGCCCCATCCAACCTGGACTTCAACACTTCCAGAGGTGAGGAATACACAGCTTCTCTGGGCAACCTGTGCCAGTGTCTCATCACCCTCATAGCAAAGAATTTTTTCCTAATATCTAATCTAAACCTTTCCTCCTTCAGTTTAAGGCCATCTCCCCCTTGTTGTATCACTACATGTCCTTGTGTAAAGTCCCTCTCCAGCCCTCTTGTAGACTCCATTTAAGTATTTAAATGTGAATTTCTTTCAAACCACATTTGAGGCTGCTGGTTGAAATATTCTCCCCCTCTCTGGAAGCCTCATCAAGCCTGTGAAATGCAAAATCAGCTTACCCAGTGCTGCTGGTGTATGCCTGCCCCAACACACAGTCTTCAGGAGGCGCTTCTGGGTTAAACCAAAAGTCAGCAAAGCATTTGCTCGACTCTGAGTTCAGAGGTGCAGAGCGTTCAAACCCATAATCACTGAAAAACATCAACACCAAACTTGTTACTATCCCCAGTTCACTCTGCAATCCAGTTTGGGGTGAATGACACTGTGGCAGTAGGGCATGGTGGCACGGAAGATTTCGGGATGTAATGGAAAGTTGGTAACCCCCCTTCTCCACAGAGTATGGTAATGACTCCTGCAATTAGCCAATAGCACCTAGCTGTGATGAAAGCAGATGGGAGTAACATAGTGACCCTAGGTTATAAAATGTCAAATTCTCCAACAATAAATGCCATTTCTTCACCATCCATCACATTGATGTCTTGTGGGTAGAATGGTCCGAGTGGCCAAGGGGGGCCACCGTGCGGGCTTCTGAACCAGAGTGTCTGCCTTGCTTGAAAGGCCACATGACTCTACATTTTTCAAAGTCAATATATTTTTTCAGTGTTATTCTACTAGATGAACATATAAGTTGATGAAGCCAATTCTGTTCTAATTTCAATGGGAACTGTGTACACTTGGGGGAAAAACTGATTGCAATTACTTTGTCAGTTCTGCAAAATTACATCCCTTGGTAAAAAAAGACTTTTTTAAAGGTTTCCTTTGACACTCAGACCAAACATTTTATTTATTTATTTATTTATTTAAAGTAGAAAGGCCTTGCTTGCCTTTAAAATTAATTCAATGGTCATTGTTCAAGTTTTGATCAATAGAAAAGAAAGTCAAGATTTGTTCAGTCAGGTGAAACAAATAGTGAAACATGGCAACATTTTTAAACAAATGCAAATGTAAAAGAAACCTGTTATTCAATTACAGCTTACCTATTTGCTTATAGGCTATGTAGGAACTGGGGAAAAAGGAGGAAAATAAACCTATCTCAAACTCTAAGTAAATATTTATTAGCAATAAGTCAAAAGGCCCACAGTCAGACTCACCATAAGAAATCAGTGTTCACACATTCACAAACTTTGGATGTGAGAGCTGATGTGAAACTTTTCCCTTTAATGCACCATGATGAAATCTTCCTCTTCCGAAAGCTTCTCTGCTGGCCCATGATGCAACGATCACCCTGAATATCAAAGCACTGGACTTATTGCAACAGAACCTCCACCACACAGACCTTGTATTGTCCTGAGAAAGGCTGGCCTTGCTGCCAAGACTGTAAACTTTATCAGTCCTCTGATCCTCAGATGTACAGATACAGAAAGGCCTCACATCCACTGCTGTCCACTGCAACAGGTCGTTGCAGAGTCACAACACAAGCTATATTTCCAGGACATAAATCTGAAGATGCACATGAAAATGCAAGTGCAATTTATATTTCATGATTGCCCAACCTGTGGTACAAAGCTCTGAATGGTAATTTTAAAATCTCATCTGGCTGCAGATAGCTGAATTTCTCTAAATCATCATATCTTGTGTTGGTTGTCCACCTGAAGCACCAACCATGTGGACACGGAATGAACTCCCTCCATACACACTCCACTGGTAACTGGGCAGCTGCAAGTACTCTGTCAGAGTCACTTTAGTAGTTTCTAATTTCTGAAAGACATTTCAGAAATTAGCCAATATCCCAAGATACTGTTACTCCTTAGGCTTAGATCTGCATAACATTCTTTGTTCACACACAGCAGTCCCAAACAAGAGGTGTAAAATTAGGCATGAGAGATAGAAAATGAAAGCTGGAGTAACACTGAGTAGCATGCAAAAAAAAAACCAACCCTGGTGGAAGAAGCAGACATAATAATCAGAATGATTATGAATAAATGTGATGCATTCCATTTAATAAAAAACCCCAACTTATATTGGTCTCTTTAATCAATACGTTGTACAGAGAATTTAGCTTCTGAAAAGTGGATTTGGCCAAAGCATCAGGATTAGCACAGCCCTAGTACATTACTGCAAAAATGGTATTGCCCAAAACAACTGGACTCCATTATGTGATTGGTCCACTGAGATCCTAAATTACTTCTGGAATGGACTTTACTTATGGCAATTTATATCTGAATACAGTATGTGGTCAGGAAGTTGGCAGAACATGACTGCATGTTGAAATAGTTTCAATCAATATTACACACTTCAGTTTATGGAACACGCTTCCCAATCCAGCAGGACCACCTATTATTATGGCAGCCCCCCAGATATACTTCCTCCTTTTTTGGGACACAGATCACACAACCAAAGGGAACACAAAATCCTCTCCCATTTTAAACTCTTGTGAAATCAGCATAAGAAGACTAAGCTGGGCATGTAGCATCCAAATTCAATTTGGAAACATTTTCTCAGCACATAACTCTATATGAATCTGAAAGCTATGGAAACATTTTATCATTTAACACAAAACCATGAATACCTGTAGATTTTTGAGATCCCAAGACTCATAGTCTTCATCAGTGCACTCCCTGGGGAAGGATGGTCTGAAGTCCACCTTCACCAGTTCCCAGTCCGAACGGTAGCTGATATGTCCAAAGACTCTGAACAAAAGACCAAAGGTAAACTCTTACTGCAAAGAAATACCATACAACTGAGATTCAAAATTTCAGTCCTAGCTTATCCTGTCCACAGTCATAGTTCTCTGCTAAAAGGTTCCAGGTTCATTCTTCCTCCACTTTTATATACAACGAGTCTAGTTAGGAAACATTTGTCAATTTTATGAAATTTTACAATGAAGAGAAATAACTCATATATTAAAGGGTTTTTTTCCCTAGCAAACTATTCAGAAATTTAATAATATTTTCTAATTTGGAATCAAATTTTTTTTTGTCTATTATCTTGCTATGTGAAACAGACAGAAGTCTGAGATTTTGACAGGAAGCTCAGATCAGGGAGCAGAATTCCAGATCACCAGTCAGTTTCCAGCTCTGTCACTCATTCCTTATGATTTGCAATCTCTTCAGTTGTTTTTGTTGTGGGATTTTGCGTTAATTTCTACAGTCTTCAGATAGAAATGTGCTATTATTAAAATCACAGCAGTATCATGATACTATTAATTTCTAAGGAATACATTACATCTTCACACTGTGCTCGAGGACTCAGAGTCTCTTCTTCATTTCAGATAGTTCAGTGTATAACAAAAACCAGCCACAAACTGCACAGTTTTTTGTGGGGGGGGGGGCGAAAAAAAAAAAAGGAAATATCATTGCTTTAAAAACCAAGCTGCACTTTCAAAGCCGCCAACATTTTCTAAGTCAAAATCTTTATTTCCAAAACAAAATGGGTAAGTATGACATCCAGCAACAAATTAGAAAGGATAAAGACTCTGTTTGGGCAAAAGTAAAATGTATTTGTGGTTTGTATCAGGCTTATGTGACTTACTTGCCAAAGAATTTAAGGTTAATTCTGAAGCCAACAATTTCTGTGCAGTTCATACCGCACAGAGTTCATATTCCAAGCTGTAGCATCATTCTCCAAAGTAATTAATTCCTTTTGTTTTGCTCTCAGTTTTGTCCAAATCCAGACACAGCAGGAATGGTACAGTTTTACTAAAAGCATTCTGCAGTGCCCAGTCATTTCTCTTGTCCTGAATACCAGGTTCAGATTGGAACTGGGGTAGACCAGACGTGGTTTATTGTCCACAGCACAGAGGCAATACATGAAGCATGTTCTCTGGTAAATGGCTTACAGCTCTGAAATCTACCAAAAAGGCTGAAAAATACTTGGAGACTAAAGATGTACAGTGATTTCCCCTTTTCCTTCCTGGTGTCTTCTCCTCCACAGCAGAGAGATGTAGATATCAATAGGTTATTGCCCACACTGCTCACATTATGATGACTGGGCAACCCATGTTCACAGGCAACCACACCACCAGCAGTGCAGCTAATTAAACACAAACATATGCATTTAGTTTGTACGTCTTTTTTTTTTTGTAAGATTAAAGGACTTGGATTATCTAATTATTTTCCTTCTAAATTGTACCCATGGCTCAGAAGTAGAAGCAAACACAGAAACTAAAAAATGTGTGTCAGTCCACTGGCTGTATGTGCACACAGGTGTGTGGTCCCATTTCTCTCATTGTGCCTAAGGGTTTGGCTCCTTTTTCTGCTTCAGCTGGATCCTGAGAACTGCTGTCACCATATAATCTTCACTGGTAGTTACATACTCAATAAAGTGTCTACTTAGGTGGTCTCTTGCCTTTTCCACAACGCCTGTTTCAATATGACTGGGTTTGCTGACAGACATGAAGTGTCTTTTGCATGCAAAATACCTGTACCTCTTTTCTAAAATCCTTGCTTCTCCATACAACATACTAACATAAGGCAGACTTCACCATGTGCTTATGCAACTACCTACCTCAGTGAATGCTGCTCCAGACATCACAAAACTTCTCAAATTTACTACATTTCTTTTACTAACTCATTCATAAAAAAATACATTCAAGTGTAAGTAGCCAAGTCCTGTTAAAGCTTCACTCCTGACTCAAGAAAAGTATTTTCTACAGAACAAATGAAATTTTCTCCGTTCCTGTTAGCTATCTCAGGAATGATTAGTCAGAAGAAGGAAGAAAGGAGACGGTGTTTTGAATTCAAGGCAGAAGAGAATAATGACATTCTCCTGAAAACAATCTCTAAACTATTATTAATGATCTTTGAAACCTCATGAGTGTGATTGCAAATAACTATGGCAAGGGAAACATGTTGCTTATATACATAAATATGCACACACAACCACACATACACATTTATATATATATATATATATATGTATATATATATATGTGTATATATATATATATATATATATATAACCAGTGATATAAAACAGCAAAACAGAGCTCAGAGAGTTAGAGAATTAATTTTGATATCCACAGAGATACCACACAAATTATTGAGCTATCCACTTCTAAGCACCTTGAAGATAATTAAAAGGATAACAAACAGCTACGACGGATTTATCAAAACCAAATCATGTCAAACTAACGTAATTTTCTCCTTTTACAGGGTAACTGGTTTAGTGGATAAAGGAAAGTAAAAATGTAGCATATTTTGACCTTTTTTAAAACTGTTACACATTTGTAGCTGACATTGTCTCAATGTAAAAAAGAAAACATTAGTGCAGATAAAATCACTGTGAAGAGGAATGGAAACACATATTGAATTAGAAGAATCCATTTTCAAAAGGTAGTTGTCAAATAAAGAATATTTTGACACATGTATCACAAAGATATGATGGGTTCACAATCAATATTTTCATTAACACTTGTGGTCAAATAAGAAAGACAAGAAATTTCTCTGGGAACATAAGGAAGGGAGTGGACACTGAGGGAAGCAATGTTCAGAAATCAATATGATGAAATACTCCAAAACCAAGTGCAGAAAGTACTCCTTGGGATAAAAGAAACCCAAACCCACATCAAAGGTGGAAACCAAAATGGAAAATAACTTTCAAATATCAAATAAAAGACTTGGGGAATTCTGTGGAATTAAAACAGAAATGCAGTGTTGCTGCAAAATAATAAAGACTAATCCTAGGTTGTACCCAAGACTTCAAAACAGAAGACATGGAGGTAATTATTTTGATAAATTTGGCACTGGTGAAGCCTCTGGAAGAATATTGTGTCTAATTTTGGATGTTATATGCATATTTACAGACCCACTAAAAATGAATTTGAAGAGGGGCAAAATGACTCATAAGCTGCTTAGAAAATGTAACCAATGAAGAATGATTGAAAGAATTGGGTTTTTCACTGGAATAGATAAAGCTGAGAAGTACAAAAAAATGTTTTCAGAGTCTTGTTATAGAGTAAAAAGCTATCTTCAAAGAGACCTGGAGGAAGGGCAAGAAAGACGAAGGACAAGGATAAACTTTAAAGATACAGCCACATTATTCTCTAATTCCTTCTCCTCACTACTGGTGAGTTTATATGGGAAGTACTGGGTCCAGTTCTGGGCTCCCCAGTACAAGAGAGAGATGGAACAACTGGAGGGAGTCCAACAAAAGGCTGTGAAGGTGACGAAGGGGCTGCAGCAGTTCTTGTAAGAGGAGAAGCTGAGAGAAGTGGGACTGTTCAGCACAAAGAAGAGAAGGCTCAGGGGAAACTGTCAAAGCCTATAAATTCCTGGAGGGAAGGTACAAAGAAGATTCTTTACTAGGATTGGAGCCAGGTCTTCACTGGTGCCCAGTGACAGGACCAGAGGCAACAGGCTCCAAATGAACCATAGGAAGTTTTCTCTGAACACCAGGAATCAACATTTCTGCTGTGAGGATACACTGTTACAGGTGCCCAGAGAGATTGTGAGACTCCACCCTTGGAGATATTGAAAAGCCATCTGGGAATAGCTGTGTGTGATTGGCTCTGGGTAGGACTGTGTGAGCAGAGGGGTTTGACCAGATCATCTCCAGAGGTCACTTCTGACCTCAGTGATTTTATGATTCCAGAATTCTGTAGGAGTAATGATTCAAGATGTTGAATTTGTTTATTCTGCCCCACTAGAGTGAGAAATCAGAAAATATCAGCATTATAGATAGAGACTAGATAAATATGTCCCAGTTCCACACCCTATAATGATAGAAAAACTATAGAAATTACTCTGGAAATTATGCAAAATCTAGTAGGATAATATGTCAGCTATGGAAAAACCATATGTGCAAACAGCAAAGTCACTGCTTCAGGGGTGAACTATAACATTTCCTTCTGTGGATTTTTAGCAGAAGACTGAAATAACATTTCTGCATGCTGGTCCAGCCACTTGGGCATAAACAAACAAACAAACAAAAAACCCCAACAAAAACCCCAAAAAACTCATTTCCATTATGGCTGTTCTGATTCTACAGACTGAAAACCATGTTCTCACAGAGCACAGTAACAACACAAGTGTTCCCAACATCCTCTGGCTTAAATAAAAATCCCAAAGATTTAAGAAAGTGTCCCAGTACAGTCACACACTCTATTAAAAATGCAGATGTACATCTTTGTAATTCCTAGGATAAATTTTCCAAGGACTGCAATATTCTACATGCATCCACTTTAGCAAACTGTTTGCAAGAAGAGTTTTAATGATTATTAATGCTTTTTCTGCAATATAACATTTTGCAGACACCTCGCATGAGCACATTTAAATGTGCTGCTAAAGAATAAAAAAGAAGTATTTTTTCAAAGTAATAACGGCATGTATTAAGTAGGACTCAATGGATTAGACAAAAATATGAGCTACAATAAAGCAATACATAACAGCAATCACAATATAATTGCTCAGGTGCAAAATATATAATATATATGATTAATAAAATCATTCGAATGAAAAAAACTGGAATGGTGCACCAAGTGTAACTGATGACTAGAAGTTATATATCAAGCTGATAGCAATTCATAAGCTACTAAAACCTTCCTCTTGATTAACTATATTTTATTAGAAAGGCATCAAATCAATTCTGTTCAAACTATAAAAGATGATGCTGTGATAAATAATTTTTCGAAGAAATTCCAATTACCTTGGAAATTAATTTACTTTTATTTGCAAGAATTTAGGATCCATAA